TTTTGACGCTACGCGGCGACCGATAGCATTTTGTTTTTCGACATTCTAGCTGCAAATTCCTGAGCCCAAACGGACACCTAAAATCGTCTTGTAAACTATGTATTAAAGAAAAATATTTTCAATCCTTTAATTGAACACCTTAAAATTTGATATAACTTTTTACAACCTATCTTCCAGAGCACGACCTTTACGGCTTTTACAGTCTAATGGCGAGGTCCACCTCCTCGACCGTCTCAACCCCCGTGCATAACCCGACAATTATCCCAGCCGGGCCCCGCGAGCCGGTTACGGTATAATTGGTGGCCCGGCGGCGGCCTCGAAACGATCGCAGCCTGTCTAACGGGATGTCGGGCAAAATCTAGAGCAAAAAATGGGTAGATCAGCGCGTTGGCTTCGTTAAAAGTACAATAATATTGGTGTTTATTAATTGTTTTAAAGGTAAAAAAATGGAAAAGGTTCTTTTGCATTAACGGGGGGATTTTTCCTGAATCGAGAAATGCCTAGTACGTAATGGTAAGCATTTTAATAGTTGCTTAGTAAAATCTAACTTAATTTCCAGTGGAAAAACAATCTGAAACCCCTTAAAAATTTGAAATTCGTAATTTTGGTCCAAAATCGTCATTTTGTTCGAAAAACTATATTTTTCAAAAAAATTTTGTATTTTAGTGAAAATTTGTAAAGTTTTTACGTTTAGAATGGCAAAAAAAGCTCGGAACCACTTCCTCCATTTAGATTAGAGAAATTGGATCCTTAGAAAAAGGCGTAAGAGCCCTATATCGAAAATTTTATGCAATTACAGCATTATCACGATGAAAAATACGCTTATTAAATGATTTACAATATTTGATAGCGTTATAACCCTTTGAAACCCTACAAATAATGTGGCACGCCCCCGAATTCGAAAATTCAATTTTCCACCCCATCAGGACGCCCTTCGCGCGATGTCGTGACCTTGTCCCAGAATCCCTAAACAATGCCCTCTCCTCCCCCGATTGGCAGCGAGACCCACTTGGCCTTCATTGCCAATTGCTAAAGAAATTTGACGATGAAGGCCCCGGGAGAATAAAGAATGCCCCCGCCCGATAATGGTCGTCAAATGCTACGCCCATCATCGCCCATCGATCTATCGACCTACGCGCCCTCGTTGAATATTTATCGCCTTTTCGGCGCTTTTTCCGAACAACCAACGAGTTTTTAGCCAAATTTTCGAGGTTTAAAAGATGGCTATTCCTTTTTTATTTGTTATTTCAATATCTTGTAAAAATCGAAATCGATGGGCGAATTCCGAAACGATACCTTAGCCGTTCGGCTGTCAGTAGTATCGTTGTGGACGTTCCGAAGCGATACGTTTCCGGCCTCGCTGTGAAAAGTATCGTTGTGGAAATTGGAAAAAATCTGAAATTAATAACTTTAACGTTTTAATTTTAATGTTTTTATTATAAAAATTCTAATCATTTTTAAAGGGGCTCAGAAGTCAAAATCCGTGCGTGCGGGGATTGAACCTATGGGTCAAAAAACGAAAGGGTCACTGCCGAGAAGTGCTAGAAAAGTGATTTGATTGCGAAAAAACGTAAAATGTTTGAGAAAAACCGAATTCTTTTTGGGGCGAAAACGACATTTTGAGTGCGCGGCGATTCCATGTCGTAATGCCTTGTAAGGCACCCAATCTCTCGATCTCGGTGATTCTCTGGCCAATTTTCATAATCTAAAAGTCTGTAATGATCAAAATTCGTTGAGGATTCCAAAAATAGTAGCAGAATTTTTAAATTCAAGTGATTTCGCGTCCAAATAGGGGTAAATAGTCAGGCGACGCGGTCGCGTTGCGGCCGCATCTGGCTATTTGCCAGGAATCACAGCAGGGGGCCGTGGACCAGATTTCGGAGCCCCTTTAATAACGGAGCGGCAAACTTGGAAAATGAATTTTTTTCGGTAGATTTTCGTGGTATCAAATTTATCGGATTGTAATGATTTCACGACGACGATTACGTCGCATGCTAGCCCCCGTTTTTCCAGCTTCTTCTCCATCTCCCCGAAGCCGTTAGTTTTCAGCGCCATCCACCCCCACATCCTCATTTAGCGTGACAATCGATCCGGGGCCACACTTCCTCCTTTCTCCCCGGGCTTCACACCTCCGGCTAAGTGTTTTTCGGCGATGAGTGGGCATTTTTTGGACCATTTTCACGTCACGACATCGCCAGCTGCAAATCTGCAAAAAGCGGGGCCGAGGCTAGAATGAAAGGCCGGTGCCCTTTACTCGGAACTATCGGTCGATTTTGTGAAGTGGCGGTTTGCGAACATTTATCTATTTTCTCTCTTTTCTTTCACAACCCTGCGATGTCCCATTTTTTGCCCTTATTCTCTGCGTCTTTGAAAACATGATTAACGTTAATCAGCGGGGGTCACACAACCGCCGTCCACCCCGGGGTATCAGCCACTTTCCGAACAGCGCCCAGGCAAATAAATGTCGAATCAGCTGCTGCTTCTGCTCGGCCAGGAACGCCTCGGCTTATTGATGGAATTCGAAGAATTGATAGAAGCCATGCCCATGCCCATTCCTATGAATTTCCCAAGCAATTTTCAGACTCGACTTCTTGCCCGCCTCCTCTTTTTCGGCCCTTCGTTTCTTCATACTGCCCCCGAAATTGTTAGTCACCTTTCAACTCTCAAAGTTTTGGTGATGATGCCGAACACTTTTTCATCGATTCTAAGGTTTTGCGGGTTACAAGGAGCTTAAATTTGGGTATTTTTGCCAATTTTGACATTTCTCTGGTACTTGAGATCCTACTAGACGATCCCTTTTGGCTGACATGAGTTGTTGTGTTCTTCCCGGGGCGGAGATAAGCCTTATTTCTTTCTCGTTCTTAGCACCCGCCGCCCTGCCCCCAGATTTTGGCAAAAAAATACCTTTTTTAGCCGAATTTTCTACATCGATTAATTTTTAGTACGTTTAATTTTATCGATTCTAGGTTATACGTCAATCCAGCGTTCAAGAATATCGCTCAATCACGATCTTTGCGTCGATTGTTTGGCAAAAGTTTTTGATTTCAGTTTTAGATTTTCGATTTATACCTTATTTCAGGGTTTTAGGATAGAAATTAGCTTAATTAATTTTATTTTATAGATTTTAGGCGTTTTAGTTAGACCGTAATACCTTTAAAAACGTGGCTAGGTTAAAAAACGGAGCAGTCCTTGCGTATAATGACAAAATTATTGTTTTTATTGAAATGATGTAAGGTAGATTTGCGTTATTAACTTTAGAACTTCATTTTATGACTATCAGGGATTTCCGGAATCGATACCTTCAAAAAATGAGATTCCGAAGAAAACGTAAGGACGTTTTCAAATAACGGCAGACACATACTTTTTTGCTGTAATTATTTCAGGTAGATTTACTTTATTAACTTTGCAATTTATTTTATAAACTTTTAGGAATTTCAGGAATAAGTTACCTTCAAAAAAACATCACCAAATTCCGAGCAAAACACCCGGACGCCCTACATAAATAATTTGGCTAGTTACCCGAAAGCCGCATGAGAAGAGAGGAGGTGAGGGCCTATGTGGCCCGTATTAGGGCCAGCTGGCAGGGTGGTGTGGCCAAAGGCCAGCTGCCCGCAAGCCCCGCTTCCCACGCCACCGCTGCACTATTTTGAACGGGGTGGCGCGAACCCGCGCGCAGCACACGACTCACCACCACCACCCCGAGCCATGCCAAGGGCACCCAACCCAGCCTCGCTTTTCGGCTCTTTAGCGCCAGGTGCCACCATGTCTTCTCCCAGCGACTTACAACCGGCTGAACTCGGGGAATTTTTGTAGCCGGAACCTGCGAAACACGATTAAATATTTTAAAAATCGTTGTACCTTAGCTAGATTTTTAATTTGTTTTCCTTCTCCTCGAAAAAATATGCAGTTTTACAAGCAAAAATAAGTTTCACGTTTTAAATTCGTGATTTCCTTGTCTTCCTAAGCTTGACTTTTACCGCTTTTTCAGATTGCCGCTAAAAAGGCTAGGGAACGAATAGGGAGGGGCTCACCTTTGAAAATTCGAGATTTTATTGTGTTCCTACTCTTGGTACAAGTAGGATAAGCGGGGGGAATTTTAGGCGGGGGAAACCAACTTTTTCCTGGTCGGCCCTGGTGGGGATAGCAATCAAATATAAAGTGTTTTCACATTGTTTTTAGCAAAATTTAAGCCTATTTGAATCCGAAATTTTTTTTAAAAAGTTAGAAAAACGCTTGAAAAAATCGAAAATTTGGTCATTTTTGGGCCGAAAAAAGTGATTTTTAGACCTAAAATTAAATTTTTTAATTAAGTTTTGTAAAGTTTTTATGTTTAGGAATAGCTATAAACAATTTAGAAACACTTCCATTATTTATATAAAAAAAATAGGCTTGAGCGGAAAAAAGTTGGTTTCCCCCCCCCGCTTATCCTACTTGTACCCTACTCTTTTACATTTGCTGTTTTTATAAATCTAACAAAAAAGGCTCAAATAAGTTTATCAAGCTCCGTTTTGAAGCTCTAACTTTTTTTTCAGACGCTGTGAATCGTTAAACGATTTTTTTGAACTGAAAGTTTCGGATTGTCTTGCGCTTTTTGCAACTACAGAACTCCCTTCTTTGATGTTGCCGCTCACCCCAGACACAGTGGAGCTTCTTTACAACCAAAATTAAGTTGCAAAACGGTTGCTAAATTTTAGGCCCATTTACTGCTCTTTACAAGCTCAAATTACTTAAATTGTACTTGTTGTAAAATGTAGCCGCCTTTTACGATCTTCTAAGATTATAGATCCTCAGATTTCACTAGATCCAAGTGCCCATTTTTCTTTCCAAAATATCCCCTGCGGCGCTCTTCTTTTGCACATGTTCTTCTAAACAGATCTCTTCTTACTAACCCTCCCTTACATTGACGATTTTTGTGTGCTTTCGATGCTCTCATTTTCTTAGTTTTCGGAAATTATGATTTCCGTTAATTACCGTCGATTTTCCAGGCGCCGAGGACAGCCATGCCATCGTCCGTCGTCTCGCACAACACGTCGTTCTTCGAGCGGATGTCCACCACGGGGAGCAGCTCGCGGGATGTCAAGGTGATTTTTGGAGTTGGATTTGGGCCTTTTGCACCGCTTTTTTGGCTGGGAAAACGTTTGAATTTCGTTTTTTTTCCCAGATAAATCCCAGTAGTTTTTTTAATTCCAAAATAATACCTTGAAAGATGGCTTTTGAACTTTCACAGGGCAGCTAATTTCGTGTTTTTTATTTTGGCCTTGTCGAAATGAAAAGATCAATCTGGTTTGTTTACTCAGTTAAGCATTTAGCGGTAGTTTCAGAATTTCGCGGCTTTTTATCTCATTTTTTGGCTTTTAGGCAGCTTTGATTTGATTCTAGCTTCAGGGAAGCAAAGTTCGTTTCCGTTAAAATTTGCTGCATCTAGGCGAAAATCTTTAGTTTAATGCGAACGAATAGTTTGTGCGATTCTCACGACTGGACAGTTTTTAAGCTAATTTTTCCGGGTATTGGCTACCAAATTTCCCCACAGAGAATCCGAGAAAAGCTCCAGAATACACTAGAACCCTCCGATCAAAACCCCAGGCTGCTCATTTCCGAAACGATTCCCCGGCCCAAAGACAGTCCTCCCTTCTTCTTTGTTATCTTGACTGCGACCTCCTCCCGCGTCTCCCTGAAATGGCGACCTGTTTGCTGATTCAAACTGGAAACACACACACATACCGCCGGTCTGTCGCCCTCTCTAGCCGGGGCCGCTGGGGTGTCTGTTTGGAAAAAAACGTTGAATCGATGTTGACGGTTGTAGCCATTTGCAAAGTTGGCTAGAATTCGACGAGGGCACCTGTTTTGTTTTGTTTAGGTTTTGCAGCTTGTAATTTTTGTAGAAAGCGGCGCAGTCAACTTGCGAAGAGGGCACATTTTTGGACAGTAAAACAGGATGGATTACATTTTTTGACGATTATACCCCGTCAGTGTCAGCCCAATTCAAAAACCTATAGAATTCGACGCTGGCAGGGCAGGCTAGCAAAGAACATGTAGGAAAAATTTGTCACCGAAATTTTTGACCAAAAACCTAATGCCAGGCAATAACAGAGTCGTTTTTAGGCCAGAATGGAATTTTGCGAGGAGACGCAGCTCATTCGGTAGAGCTTGAAATTCTGAAAAGTTTCATCGTTTTAAAAAAGTAGGAAAATGTTTCAATTTTCCATTTTGTTTAGCGTAAGCGGCAGAATAGGTCTTTTCAGAGAGAATTTTCCCGATGTTCGTTTTCATTCAGCAGTTTTCGAAAGACCGATCATTTTGAGAATTTCAAGCGCTATCGAATGAGCTATCTAACATCACAAACTTTATTATCTCCTAAAACGGTCTTTTTTGCTTGATACTAGCTAAAATTTTTTTTTAGCTAGCAAAGAACTAGAAAAAAATATTATATAGCTTACCATGATCCTAAAAACAGGCTTTCCGGCAGCCATTTCCTAAACCGTAAATAAGAAATATAGCTTCAAAAATTTTTCGAATGAGTCCCTAGATTCGAACTACCCGTCACGGCGGAATGCAAATAGATTTTCCAAGAAAATTGAGTCCCCCACCCTTTTTCTGGCCACTTCTTCTCGGCACCCCGGAATCCATATGGCCGCCTAAAATAACTCGATTCTTCACCCGCCTACTCATAATTAAGTTCCGTATCCAGGCGCGCCGCTTATCTTCGCGTTGGCCATGGAGTAAATAAAGTGACTGGGGTTGGCTGGACGTCTCTCGCTCGTTGCGAATCCCTTGGCATCCATGAAAAACAACCCCCAGAACGGCGCCAAGTCCTACAAACGAGTCTCCCATGTCGATTCTCGCGTAACAAATCGCCGCTATTGACTAGGTGGCGCTCACGAATTGTCCCACGTGGTTTTGGTGGAGGGGTGGGCGCGTTAGGCGATTTTTTTAGATATTGACTCGTTTGCTGGGGGCGTTTCGACAAGTAAAAATTTTTATTCGTTTGAGGATCCGGCCGTTTAGGCGTTCTATATAGCTATTTTAGCTGTTCGAGATTGATTCCTAGTTTTTAGCGCCTTCGACAATTTTCTAAAAACGATTTAAAGCTATATTTTTCAAAGTAATTTAGGTTTTTTCTTTTTAATAACAGACGCTTGTATTTAACTCGAGTTTTTGAACTTTTGTGTTTAATTTGAAACCGAAACCCCAAGGCTTTTCCTCAACCTTACCTACTAATTCGTATGCAAAAAAAGTGGAACAATCCGTTCCAGGCGGCACAAGTCAAAGTGCCCATTTTTCGAAGTATTTTTTAATTAATTTGAGGCGAACGCTCTAGGCTTTTCCAAATTTTTCTTTGCTAAACCTGTGCCTTTCACCCGAGGAGGCAAAAAATTGAAGCCCGCGAATTCCGGAAAGCTTTTTTGGTTTAAGACTAGTTTTTCTCCTTATTCCTATAGTTTTAAGACGGACCCGCAAGGCTTTTCCTCTTTTTAACCTACTACTTGCTGTCTTAATATTATTTTATGCAAATTTTGGATCTATTCCTAATTACGACAACGTCCCACGAATTTTACTTTCGAATTTTTGAAGTAATTTTTATTTGCAAACTAAACCTTGGGGCTTTTTTTATGTACTAAACAGCCGCCTTTTCCCCCAATGAGTAGGCAAAAAAGGGGAACACCCCATTCCACTCCATTCCCCTTCTGCACTGGAGAAACCCCCAAAAACACACACATATGCCGCACGAATATTACTTTGCGCATGCATGTGTGTGCAAAAAGGGGCGGGCCGCGAGGGGAGTGAGTGAGCGAGCCGCACCGAGAAGCCGTGAGATACGCGGAAATTCACTGGGGGGACTGCCTGGGTGAGGGAAAGTGAGGCGTGGAACACACTGGAAGAACACGGCCAATTGGAGGGCGCAGACTTGGCATCCTTGTCGCAGCAGCAGCATCCAGCAGTCCGGCCTCCTCCTCCTTCTCCGCGGCCCGCCCGCCCCCCTAGGGCCATCAAAATGCCCCTCATTTTTTTGGCTGGCTCGCGTCGCTTGGAGATGTTTTGTCGGCGCTGCTGCGGGATGCTTATTGTTTCCGGCGTGCTTTTAGGAAACATATCTTTTTGATTTTTGTGCATAGAAACGGCTCTAGGAATTCTTTGTTTGAGTAATTTTCCGGACGGCTTGATAACTTCTTTTTTCCTGTTTTTTTTTTTCGCATTATCGGGGGGACCGAGATTGTTGGGTGAAGAACTAGAGCTAGAAACGCCGAGTAACTCGTTAGGAAATATTTTATTAGCGTATATCTAAAAAATGACGATATTTCAACTAAAATAACTATCTAAAAACTATAAAAAATTAAATCGCAATTTTTGCCAAAAATCGGGCATTTTTTGGTCGAAAAATCGAGATTTTTGGTGTTTTTTACTAAAATTGTTAAAAGTTTTGCCTAGGGGCATAGTAAAAAAACAGCTTAGAAACACTTCTGCTATTATAATAGGCTTTAAGCTTGCCTTCTAGAAAAGCTTTAAAAAAACTTTGTTTCGAGTCATTACTGAATGTTTTTAGAAAACTAAACCCCCTTTTTTCGTCTTTGCTTGAGCTTTCTAATGATGTAAAAAATTATGCAGATCCTTATGTTTTCCGGATCGCTAGAGAGTGTTTTTTGTTGTTCTTCGGAAAAGTTCTAAAAAAGATTTTTATGGTTGTCTGAGTCCTCGGATTTCCATTGCATTTCCCTTCCGTTTTTGGCATCTGATTTATTGTCCTCAACCACCCCACAAACTGGCCCATTGTAGTCCCCCGGTCGATCGACACCCACCCGTCTTCGGACCTACACGATTCCGAAACGACCCCCTGAATTCCGTGCGGCTAGCTGGCCAACCCCAGCCACGGAGCTCTGCGAAACGACCCGTCGTCCGGCCACCGTCCTATAGTGGCCTTGCCCCCCGGAAAATGAGCCCCTGAATAAAAAGACACCAACCCGGGGCGCAAAATGGGACTCTTTCGAATTGGCAGCCAGAAGAAAAAGCTGAAAGTGGGTTGGGTGGGCTTAAATTGCGTAACTGGGAATTTTGGTCATAATCCCGACGACGAAAATCTTGAAATTCAAAATGCCGACAGCGGAAATTTCGATATTTAAAATGCCGGCACCGCAATTCTCGATATTCAAAATTCCGATAGCCAAGGACATAAAAAAGTCCGACATAAAAAAATAACGACGGCTAAAATTCCGACACGGCATTAAAAATAACGGATACTATATTTTTGTGATAACCTAAAATTGACGTACTTTTTTTACATTTTCCAATACCGTTTTCTTTTACGAAGCTATTTTACATGTCGGGATTTTGGCCTGCCGGTGTCTTGAATGTCGGCATTCTCGCCTTTCCCCGACAATTGGGCTTGGGAATCGTTCATTTCGTCTAATTTCTATGCTAAATTTCCCATTCCAGGTCACCGTCCAGCTGCTCCACGATGAAGAGACCGTCACCGCGGAGTTCAAGGTGCGTTTTTCTAGCCGTTTTTGCTCTTGAGACGGATACAAGCACGCCTTATCATTCCGCTCGCTTTTTTGGGGGGGCGGGCGCTTCGTAGACTCTGATTTATGGGTATTGCGCCAGGCACAGCTGTGCTGGAGGCATTTTTGCCCGCTCGGAGCTTTAGGGGAAACGGTGGAAAGGTTAACGCAAAAAAAGAGCGGGCGCATGTTTTTCGGGAAGTTCGCTGTTAGAGCATGTTTTCGATTCGCAAGGCGTTACACGAAAAGGGTTCTTTCGCATTATCGGGGGCCCGAATTTTTGTTTATAAGTCCAAAAATTGCTAGTAACGTAATAGATAGTATTTTATTAGTGTTTGTAGTCAAATACCACTATATTTCAACCGGAAAAACTAGCTAAAAACTACAAAAAAAAAACAATTTTAAAGTCGAAGTTTTGGCCAAAAACCGACCATTTTCCGTCGAAGAATCTATATTTTTCGTAGTTTTTCATTAAAACTTTGTAAGTTTTGTCTGTTTAGAAAGAAAGCAGAAAAGTTGTCCCCCCGATAATGCCGAAGAACCTAAAAAGGTAAAAAGCAAGCCTATTCCCTTTGCAGAAATGGCCCATCCCCCCATGGCATAAATGGGGCCCAATTGGGAGTCGGAAAGCGCGGGGCAGCGCCTTTTTTTCTGCTCCGACCCCATTTTGCCAATTAGGAACCCCGCGGAATGGGGTTCCGAACAGCGCCAAAACGATTTACGCATGAGGGAATTTGGAAAACTGGTGGATGACGTGATTGTCGAAAAACTGGGAATATCAGAAAAAAAAGAGAAAAATCGGCCTAAAAGCAAAAAAAGCCAATTTCTCTTCAAAAAGAATTCGAAAGGGGTGGATGACGCATTTTCCTGCAAAACAGGAATCATTTAAAGGAAGAACTCATCTCAATTAGAGTCCCGGAAAGCGCCAAAAACGATTTGGGTTTGCTAGAATTTAGAAAACTGGTTGATGACGAGATTGTGGAAAATTTGGGTTAGCAAAAAAAGAAGGATACGAATGAATCTACAAACAGCGACGAAAAAAGCTGCTAAAGCAAAAAAAAACACAATAAAATGGTCTTCGAAATGCTCGGATTACAAGATTTGGTCAAAACTTGGAGGTATGACCATTTTTTCAGCGCTCGGAGCCGGCGCAGGCGATCCTCGACTACGTGCTGGCCGAGATGCACGTCAACGAGGGCGACTACTTTGGTCTGCGATACCAGGACCGCAATCAGAACCGGGTAAGGCTTTTTTGATTAGCTATAATCAGCCAGAAAACGGCTATTTTTCTTGCCGGAAACAAATAGAAAATAAAAAATGTTATCGAATTCATTTCCATTCTTTCTTCTTTTAGTACTGGGTCGACTTGTCGAAGCCGATCTCGCACATGGCCAAGCAGTTCAAGTGTAAGTTTGTGTTGTAGAAAGCAATTTTGATAGCCTAAAAATATGTAACTGCATTTTTTGTCATAACCTTAAGGTTAGCAAAGCGCCCGCGGGCGCGCCCGAAAACCCAAAGCGCCCGCGAGCGCGCCCGAACTGGACCCTTTTGCGCCCCGGGCGCAATTTTTGCAAAAGGGCGCAAAACCGCTCGGGGCGCAAAAAAGCGCCCATGGGCGCAACTCGGGGCGCGCCCGCGGGCGCATTTGAATGGTGAACACCTTTCAATTCTGCGAAAAAACGGCTAAGTTCCTGGCTTATGCATTTATTTTTGTTCAAAATATATATAAATTAGCACAAACGTTACTAGATTTGCTTGGTTATCGTCGTCGAATGTAGAATACAATACTTTGAAGCGCCATGGTGCAGGTAACGAAGGTAAAGTTTTGCTACGCAACCAGTCCCTGCGAAACTTTAAAAATACTTTAGATTCAGATTTATAGATTCTCGATTTATATGAGCCGACCTTTCAGACGATCATGGTCATCATTGCAAATGCGAAGCGCGACGTTTCCGGTATCTTTGGGCGGAGTTGCAAAGTAAGTCGACAAGAAGCAAGTCAAAGCAAGTTTTCAGGAAGCGGGAACAAAGTAAGTGCGAACTACGAAGTTTATAAAGGAAATTATGTAATTAGCTATACTTTTAGGGGCCATCTATCGCGCATTCGAACGTATCTGTAAGTTCCAAACGAAGCTAAAGCCAAAAAAGCAAAAAAAAACATATTTCAGGTGCGCAGTCCGACCATTTTCTCAGGGAACGTGAAGATCTACATTAAGTATAGGGTACAGCATCGCCAAAAGCGATGTAGTGCCCTTTATTAAATAATAAAATCATTAAAAGAACCCGTCCTACGCCGTTACAACGCGATTGGGGCGCGCCCGCGGGCGCTTTCGAGTTTCGGGCGCGCCCGCGGGCGCTTTTGGCCATTGCGCCCGAGGGCGCGCCCGTGAGCGCGCCCGCGGGCGCAATTTCGGGCGCGCCCGCGGGCGCTTTACTAACCGAGTTACCTCCATTAGCTTCTTGTAAACCTGTCGTAACTGTTGGTGCAGGGTGCTATTTTTCAGTTGCAGTCCCGGAAACGCTGCTCCTCCGGCTACGCTTCCGCTTCTACCCCAACGACCCGCATCTGCTGAAGGAGGAGATTACGAGGTGATTTTTGCGATTCTCTAAAAATTACTTTTTTAGGTATCAGCTCTTTTTACAACTTCAACGGGATCTCCTGCACGGTCGCCTCTATTGCCCGCATGGAACGGCGGCGCCGCTGGCCGCCCTCATTCTTCAAGGTATATTTAGTTACTATTGCTTTTTTAATGTTAACTATAATATATTTGTTTATAAATTTAATAGCTTTTTTAGAAAATTTAAATATGTTAAATTCTTGCGTTACCTAAATCGTCAATTAAATTTAAATTCCGTTTTAGCTGAACTCGGCGACTACTCGCCCGACATCCACGGCGAACACTACGCCACGCAGTACAAGCTGCTGCTCAAGCAGACGCCGAAGATTGAGGAGAAGATCGAGGAGTTGCATAAGGAGATGAAGTAAAATTTTTTTGAAATTACGTCATTCTGTTCAGAGGCAAGTTGACGACGGCGCAGGCCGAGCTCGAGTTTCTGGAGCGGGCGGCGGCGTTGGACACCTACGGATTCGACCCCTACACCGTCAAGGTGTGTTCTTTCTATATTTTGTAGTGTTGGTTGTAGTTATTTTGCACTTTGTAGCTTTCGTATAGTTGTAAACTTTTGAAATTGTCGTTTTTGAGGTTTCTAAAGGAGACTGAAGCTGTTACAAACTACCTTTTAATGGGATTCCAAATGTCATTTTTGTAGTTTTTCAACATTTATTTTATTAGATTTTTTTATTTTCGATTCGATCTGATCTGATCTGATCTGAAACTCGTAAATTCTCTAGGGACGAATTTTCATAACGTTTGTCTTTTATCATTTAAAATCTGATTTTCAGGAGGCCAGAGACCCGACGCAAGCCGTTTATCTCGGCGTCACCCACCGCGGCATTCTGATGTACAAGGGAACGACGAAGGTGCACTCCATCCCGTGGAGCCAATTCGACAAGGCCGACTACATTGGCCATGAGGTCCGAATTGCGCCCACCGACGACTACCAGCCGCCCAGCGCCATCCCCGACATGGAACGCCCGGATTTTGACAAGGAAAATGAGGTGAGCGGTTTTTTGAGCAAATCAGCGTTTTTTTTTGTTTATTCGGATTTCGTAACGTCGTTACTTTTAAAAGATTTTTCTTTTTAAGTCTGTTTCATTTGACAATTCTAGCGCCGCGAATAGTTAAAAAATTCTCGTTTCCGTTTTTTGAGAAAAAAAATAGAAGATATCCGTTTTTTTTCCTAGTCAAACTGTCTTAAAAATAGATCCGGCCAAATATTCCTTTTTCAGCCCTCCTCCAGCGTCAAGAAAAAGACGAAAACCATCAAGCTCGAGTGCCCGAGCAGCACCTACGCGAAGCACCTCTGGACGCACATCCTCTCCCAGCACGCCTTCTTCAACGAGCAGACTGCGGCCGCCGTCAAGCCCAAGCACAGCAAGTAAGCTTTTCCGGTCTTGTCGTGTTCAGCGTTGAAACGTCGCTGACGGATTTATCTAGATTTTTAGCTATGTATTTTGATATTTTACCACGTCTTTCCAGGTCTCGTTTCCCGCTGTTCGGCCGAGGCTCGACGTTCCGTTTCTCGTCAAAGCGCGTCCTTCACGAGATTGAGGCGGCGCCGACGATTGTTGAGGAGGAGCCATTACAAGAGGTATTTTCTTGTATTTAAATTTTTTTAATTATTTTTTAGTCAGCCTTCTTCCGGCACACACTCCCCCGACAAGCCCCCAGGGCCGAAGCGCCCTGGCTCAGCAAAACGACTCATGTGGCTTCGTTGAATAAGGTAACGTGTGGACTTGGTCGACTGGGCGATTTCAAAATCTCGAAAATCATGGGGGTTGAAATTTGGGATTTTCGAAATTTATGTAATAAAAACCCGAAAAATCCCAAATCAGGCAAGAAATTTCGATTTTCAATTCTGACGTTTTTTAGAGCTTCTCGTTGAACGGAACCCTGCCGCGTGTGCCCGAAGAGGACAAGAAGAGCACAAAATCCGGCCACCAGGGCAGCTGTAAGCTTTCCATTTTCTGAGTATCTCTTTTTTTGTAGTGCTCGATGAAATGGCGCAGATGATTCTGCAGCACTCTGAGGTGGCCACACACGCCGTGCAAACCGAGCCGGAAGAAGAGGCGACAGTGCGGAAAACGCTGGAATCTGTGAAAAAGGTATACGCTTTTCGGGGTCTTGTTTTATGGAGTTTTAATAGATTTTTATCTATCTCTCTCACTCTCGCTCTCGCGCGCTCTCTCTCTCTCTCTCTCTCTCTCTCTCTATCTCTTTCTCTCACTTTGCAAATGTTTGCAACCTCCTGCATGCCCTCATTCACCCTCCTCCTGCATGAGTTTGAAGTGTACCAGCACCCCCCAATTTTCCAGGACCTCTCCCCCACCATCAACCTGAACAACAACAACAACATTGTCGACAAGCCCCCGATCGTCGAGGTGGTCACCACGGTGCGCAAGGACCCGGTGTACGCCCAAAATAAGGTAACCCTCGATTTTTGTGCTGTCGTGTGCGCTTGTGGCTAACCAGAAGCAGCCGGCCCGACGTTGCCCAACCCGAACACTTATTCCAGGCGCAAATCACGGTGCGCATGGTGAAGTATGAGCCGCTCACTAACACACCGGTATCCAATTTGTGTTTGTAGCCCCCCGTTCCCCGCCCGGGGGGTTTGGTTTGTGCGTGCAACAACCACCCCCCTGGAGATGTCCACATGTTTCTGTGCAGGGTGGCGGGCTGATCCTGGAAATTTTGCGATTTTATGGAGTTTTGCGTGAATTTGTCGCGTTAAAATAAAAATTTGTTAGGAAAATAGGAAATTATTAGGAAAACTTATAAAAATCGGTCTTTTTCGTTTTTTTTTGTATTTGGCAAAGTTTGTATTTTTTAGATTTAGGTGTGAAAACAGTCTTGAAACTCTATTTAGGTGCTTTGGAAATATGGGGGAAACCAACTTTTCAAATGAAAAAATAAGGAAATTTAGGAAAAATTTTTAGTCGAAATTTTAGTAAAAAGTCTATATTTTTGTATTTTTAATAAAATTTGACATTCTTCCAGGTGGAAACAATAAAAAACTCAAACATTTTTATCTGGAGTTTTGGTCGAAATTCGGCCTTTTTCAAAACATAGATTTTACAATTTGTAATGTTCTTACGTTTAGGAATGAAATAGAAACTCAGGTCTCCGCAGATTCTAATCCGATTTGTGTATGTCGTTTCTTGAAAAAGATCCGTTTCCGTTGACTTGATTCCTTTGAAAAAATTTGAAATCTAGGATCAGCTCGGCCGCCCATTCCACTAGCTTACAATCTGTTTCCATAACATTAACCTCTTAAATTTTTACACCACGAATTTCCCCTTTTCAGCCGCCACCCGAAGAGATGGGCCAGCCGTTGATGACCAGCACGCCGACGTCGGCCGCCGAGGAGACGCTCCGACAGCGGAAACTCGCCAATGGCGGCAGTTTTGAGAAGGCGCTGAATGGGATAGCGGTGGGGTTCCTTTTATTTTTAACTACAATTTTTTTAGAAAACGAACGGCACCCTGACGACGAGCAGCCTGAACACGTCGGCGACGGCGCGCAACAAGACGCTGACCCTGAAGAACACGGTGTTCATCGGACTGCTGCTGCTCCTCGCCATCGCCCTCTTCTTCGTCGTCTTCTTTGAGGTGAGGCTGATTCCTTTTAGTATTGGTGTGAGCCCCGTGTCCCGTTCTCGGCGCTTCTAAACGCGCGGCGTCCCGCGGCTTTTCACCCTACACCGTCACTGTCCCCTTTTCCAGATCCAGCGTTCCCGGGAAGCGGAGAAGCACTGGCTGCCAACCACCTGGGTAATAATCCGCGCCTTTCGCTTTTAAAGGGCCGGGCGAGGAATTTCTGAATGCGCCTGCTTCCCGACGTGGATTGTTTCTAAATTTGGCGTCCCTTACGCATAAAAACTACAAATTTTATCAAAAATTGCAAAAAAAATTGCGATTTTTAGAGCAAAAATTGCCAATTTTTCACCTAATGTTTAGATTTCCTAATTGTTTTATGGTTTTTCCACCTCAAAAATAGTTAAATTTTTCGAAAAATACTAGTAAAACACTTGCTAGTACGTTACTGGTAATTTCTGGAACTACAGGAAAACGTTTCTTCCACCCCGTTAATGCCAAAGAACCGCCATTATGTATTTCGGGATTTTTATTTCGATTGCGTAATTGAACACGAGGATCCAGCGACCAGCGCGCTGCGTGTCTATATTTTTAAAAAACTCCGGCCGCTGATCTTGCCCAACGCTTTAATTGGAGAGCCCTCGTCCCAATGTATTGACCAGCCAGAATTTCCGTGAAACTTGGAAATTTAAAATACTACTTTGTTCAAATCCTCCTTTTCAGGACGAGGAACGCATCGAACTTCTGACGCGGCTGCGGCTCAACTACTACGAGCCGATGCGGGGCACGCTCGGCCGCCTCTACGCCCGTCTCCCATTCTCCCGGTCGAAATAAACACACCCAAAAACACTGGTTTCCCCCCACTTGAACATTCCGCTTTTTCCGTTGTTTCAGACGCCATTTGGTGTCGCCCGTTTTGTGTGAATCTATCCATCCCCCTGTGCATTTTTCGTTTGCCGTTTTCGCATTAATTTATTACCCCCTCGATCCCCCATTGAATGTTTTTTCTTGGTTTTTCTAATACATTGCGCCGGTGGTCTTTGATTCTCTACTTTCTCACCCCTTCTCTCTCCCCGGCATAGCTCTATCGTTCTCGTATAGAAGTTGTATAATTACTTTATTACCCGCGATCCCCCCGCCATGGCGCTGATTTTTGAGTTGTGCAAGAAGTCGGATAATAAAGTTTCCTCTTTGTATCGACACTAGAAAATGTTGATGTGGTGATTGTGGCTCCATTTTTATCCGGTGTAGATCTTGGTTTTTTGGTGGCGGGCTCGGCTCAAATACAAATTTTTAGCTGATTTCTTGCGCATTTTCCGGGGGTCCCTAGAAATGCCTGGTTTTAATAGGGCTTTTTTTAGCAGGTTTTAATTAGATTTCAGGTAAAATAAAACAATTCTAAATCGAAATTGTGGTCAAAAAGCAGCCATTCTGATCGAAAATCGATATTTTTTGTATCTTTGAATCAAATTATGTAACTTTTTCGTTTAGAATTAGTAAAGCACAGCTTAGAAGCACCCCGATTATGTGAAAGCACCGAAATTTGAAAAATCAATCGAATTTGAAGAGTTGCCGATCCATTTTCGCTGCGAAATCTAGGAATTCTCAACAAACCCGGCAGTTTTCTAATGCAAACGGCCTTTTCTCACTTTTCCTCTTGTTGCTACCTCGTTTTTTCTTGTGCAAGTCTGGCCCTGCTTTTCTTTCGGTCATTACAAGGTTTTTTTTATGCTTGTTCCTCGCTACCTCCATTTTCCAGGATGTCCGCTTTGAAGTTGGCGGGCTCAACCCTGCGCGAGCTGCGCATCCATCTCTGCCAAAAGTCTGCCACCTCCAAGGTTTGATCCGGTTTCTTACCTAGTATTCATTTTTAGGGCGTGCGAGCCTTCATCGAGAGCGACTACGTCGCCCTGAAGCAGGCCAACCCCGATTTCCCGGTGCTCATCCGCGAGGCCGCAGGGATTGTGCCGCGCGTCTTTGCTAGGTAAGGATTTCGGAGCTTTCGCATTATCGGGGAGCCGTAATATTTTCCTGAGTATCAAATTTCTCTAGTATCATTAGAGGGCCTGTTTCGTAATTTTTTACTATCGCTAAACGTTAAACTTTGAAGGTTTTATAAAACATACAAAAAAAGGTTTGAAATCACGTTAACTTTTTATCGAAAACATGATTGAAATACTTTTTTACGTATCACTAGGTATACGTTACTCGGTAATTCTCGATTTATCGAAAAAGTTAGATTCCCCACCCTGAAAATGCAAAAGAACGAAATTTCCTTCGAACTTTGCTTAGAAACGTGTGAACGTGGTTACGTCGTCCTAAGCTTCCGCTTGCAGGTACGAACACGGCGTCGAGCGGATGGTGTCGCTGGAAAACGCGTCGAAGGAGCAAGTGGCCACGTCCCTCCGCGAGCTGGCCGCCAAGAAGCAATGAATTTGAGATGGTTGCACAGGTTCTATAGACTCCCGCTTGCACTGCGTATAATGATAGCCGTCGCGCCTTTTTGTGGTCTTTTTGTGAACCGGTGTTGAAAATGTCTGTACGGGTCTTTTCATAAATTCTATTCGAAAAAAGGCTATCTAGAGACGATGAGATTTATTGGGTTGACCACGTAAAAGACAATCAAAAAATTCGGTGTGAACATGAAAGTTGAAATAGGTATTAGAAGACTGGTGGACGACCGCTTGGCTCCCATGATCGTTTGCCGCCACCTTGTTGCCATCTAAACGGGGGAATTAAATGGAGACCAAATATCAGGGATATTGTTAGTTGATTGCTTTCCATAATACCGCGTTTTCCCAATGCCGCTTTTTACAAACTTCCGTCTCTTGATAATGCCACTTTTCAGTTACCGACCGAAACGGGTGAATATGCTTTTTTTCTTCCTACGAGTCTCGGCGTTTACCATTTTGCGTGGAAACACATAAAAAAAATGAATTTTTGATCTAAATTTGTAAAGCTTTGTCGTTGTTATTGTCTCGGGTACGGTAAAACCATTTACGGAACCATGCTCTAGACACAAAAAAATGCGGCGTTTTTGTGCCATCAATCAAGCTAAAAAGCGACATTATGAAAAGGCGAGACTTTGAAAAAGCGGCGTTATCCCGGGAATCCAAATATCATGATACAGGAGACCGCGCGTATGTAGACTTTCGAAATCCTTACCCTCCGCCACCGCCGCCGCCGCCGCCGCGTCCTCCCCAATCGCCGCCGCCACCTCCGCGTCCTCCGCGCCAACTAAATTGCATCATTACGCGAAAATTCTGTACAAGCTTACCCTCCGCCGCCTCGGCCACCACGCCAGCCGCCCCGGTCACCGCCGCCGCGCCATCCTCCTCCCCCGCCTCGGTTTTGCTGATTCTGGTAGCCGCCTCTAAAATAGGAAATTTTAGAAAGAAATGCAGCTTTTCGGTGCTTCTGTGTTAGCGGGGGAGCAAGTCCAAGATTTGCTGACAACCCATTTTCTAGCATTCTACGCAGTTTTGGTATCCCAAATAATCTCATCCACAAAAACTTGCGAAATTTGAAATTTTGCTCAAAAATCCATAAAAAATGACGAAATATACTACGTTATTAATAGACAGGCAAAAATTTGTCTTGCTAAAAATGTCTCCCTCGCTAACACGACATTTCCAACCGCTAAAACGTACCCCCAGGGATGGATGCATATCGTCGGGTCGAATCCTCTTTCAATCTTGGCGTAGTCCGGGTCCTGCTAAAACAACAGGCTATAGAAATTACTATCAAATCTTACACTAGAGTAGCGTCCGGCGAACATTGCCTCGTAGTCGGCGAGCGTCTTCGGCGCGTTCTCTAAAATGTAAATTTAAGCGCAAAATCGTAAAATTGTACCTTGCGCGTTATTCGAATCGCCGGAGGCCATTGCGAAGTAGGTCGTATTACCTGAAAACAGATATTTACCACCATTCGATGCACCGAAAATCACAGATAATGGAAATCACGAAAACGGGCGGAAAATTGGAACAACCGCTGCGCGAAAAAGCTTGAGAGCAAGTACACGAAATTAGCTGGCACATAGAAAGGGCTCAATGGGAAATCGTTCTAGTCGTAAGGGCTAAATCATAAATAGGAAATGGAGCACAATTTGTACGAGTTAAGAAATGAGAGAACACGAGAAAGAGAGAAAGATTAGCCCTTCCAAAACCGATAGAAAGCATACATGAAAACGCAAAATAAGATACAGGCCACCACAAAAATGAGCCAATCTTCGCGGACACGCCGGTCAATCATCCGCAGCGTCGTGTCCGAGAGCCCGAGCGTCGCGCCGATATCGAAGATTTTCCGTCGAACGCCGCGTAGGTTTAGGTGTTGCGTGCGCAAGTTGTTCAGCACCTCGGCGCCCTGAAAAAAAAACGTGTAATCTTGGCTTGCGTTTATTTTTCCTATCTGTCCTAGTCGACAAACGCTTTTTTGAGCCTTTTCGAACCTAGGTGATTGCCGCAGAATTTTTTTGATAATCCCGATTCAAAAAGCTACTTAAGAAAAATGAACGAACTTGTGTCATTATCATTGCTAAAGCACAACCTGGTTGATCAGGTCGTCGACGCCACGGTTGGAATGTTCTAACCGGTCGTGCACCATCAGCTCGTGGTCGTTGATGGTGAGGGCGACGCCGCCGTTGGTGCGGTCGACTCGCTGTCGGAGGAGCTCTTCCCGCTGCGCGGCCGCCCTCCATCTTGCCGATATTCTCGTGTAGATGTTCGTCACGGCCTGGCTCGAGTTCTAAAAAAAAGTTTGGATGAGTTATGGCTGTATTTCGGAAGCGGAACACGCCTTTTCGCCCTCAAAAATCAGTTGTTTGCGAGTAATTTTGTGCGCTGTCGACGAAAAAGCATGCAAAAACGTTAAAAACATAACTGTAGCTTTTTAGCGCGCCAGAATAGCGTTTTTCCGAAGGCAGTGGACGAAACAGTCGCCGAAAAAGTCGTTCGAACCAGTTTACGTGCAAATCAACTGATTCTGATAGCGCCACGGATCGCGAAATATACAAAAAAAAACCCCAACCTGATAATCCGAGTACAGCTGGTCGATCTTCATCTTGGCCACGTGCCGGCGTTGCGGCGGCTCCTTGCTGACGTAGATTTGCAGTCGGTCGTAGTTCTCCTGGATGTCGCGGAGCTGCGCGTTGATCGACTGCATTTCATACTGAAAAAACGGGGATTTTAAAAAGAATGCAGAAAACGGACCTGGGCCTCATTTTCATCGCGGGCCACCTCGAGACGGGCGAGGGCGGTGTGGACTTGATTTACTTGGGCGCTCGTTTCTTGGTAGAGCCTGTCCATACGCTGAAAAAAGGCTTTTAAAAGTGCAAAAAATAAAATGGCATAGCACAACAACAAGAAAACTTTCAGAAAACGAAAATTAGCAGCGAGAGCCGTTATTGGTTGTAGTGATTTGTAAAAAGCGCTATTCATTATAAGAAATGATACTAATAAACGTTTAGGAAGCTTTTCTTCTTAGTTAGTACTTGATTAAACGAAGAAGTTTAGATAAATCGAAAATTTATGAAGAACGGACGTTGTCGCCTGTAGCGATTTTGTAAGAAAAGTATTCATTGCAAATAAATGGACTAATAAAGCTTCGTATAATGTAAGACTGTTTAGACAGCTTTTTTAACCTAGTTTAAATCATTTATTTTGATTAGACAAAAAGAAATTTACAAAAAATTGAAAATTTGAGAGACAGGGACGTCGTCAATAGTAGCGACTTGTAAAAGCTCGTTTCTCTATTAAAAATCGAGACTAATAAATGTTATTATAATGAAAGGTACGTTTCGAAAAGTCGTTCGAATCATTTTGCATCCTGTTGGAAAGGCGCGGCGGGCATTGCATCGCCTAATAGCCCGCTGAATACGGTCATCCTGCATCGCTTTAGCCCCTAAGATGCCACAAAGGCGTCCCAGTTTTCAGCCCGCGGTGTCAAAAACGTTGAAAATTAGATTCTTTTTGTGCTTTTTCTAATGTTTCTTATATCTAGATTTATTCTGCTCGTCTCGTTGCCTTTTTCCGGTAGTTGAGAAGCGCTTCGATCAATTAGTATTATCTTTGCAAGACGCGAGAGATTTCTAAGAGTTTTAATCGTTTTTCTTCAGTCTCGTTTTGTTCTTTGGTTTTATTTGCTTTTGTTGTATATCTATTCCTTACCTTTCATTGTCTAAAACAAGCGCTATTTTCAATATCTCTTTTTAGCAACCCAGAAAAGATGTTCCGTCGCATAGGCGCCGCGGCAGCTTCAAACGCTCGAGCCTATCAACGGGCCCTTCAAATGACAAATGCCAGGACGAGGTGAATTCATTGTTCGATATAACTTTGAATTTAGAACATTATTATGAATTCATTGTTCGATATAACTTTGAATTTAGAACATTATTATTGGGCGGCTCGAGCGCGACGTTTGCCATCTCTTTCTTCGCCGCCAAAGAAGCTCCTCAGGCCCCGGAAGTGAAGGTGATACTTCTATGAGCTTTAATTCGTCCTAATGAGTTTTTTAGGTTCCATCATATGAGAAAAACTACGACCGGATCATTGCCGAGGCCGACGCGCTCTACGACGGCTACCTCATTGACAATGCGTATTCGATTTTGAGGAAGTGAGTAGTAATTTTTTCTTTCTATTAATAGACTGACAGAGATAATTATTATACGATACTTTTTGCTCTTTTTTTAGATGCGCATCATCGCGGAATCCAGAATTATTGTGGCGACTTGGGAGGGTCCTTTGTGAGAAAGCGAAGCTTACAAAAGGTATATTTTTTGATTTTCAAGCTTAATCTCTACTGTTGGTAAAAAAACCCTTTTGTAGATTCGAATGAGAAGAAAACGCTTATGTACGAAGCGTTTGCCATCCTCGAAAAAGCGCTGGAAAACGAGGAAAAGCCGTCGTTCGGGGCTCACAAATGGTATGGAAAGAATTAGGCAGGAATGGAGACTTTTTAGGTACGCGATTCTGCTCGATTACATCGGCGAGCTCGAGGGCAACAAATCGAGGATCGAGAAGTCTTATAAGGTAGATTAATTAGATTTTCTTACCTAAAATGGCGATTTTTAGGTTCGAGATCACCTCGAGAAGGCCTTGAATATCAACCAATTCGACGCAACGACGTGGTATATTTTGGGTGGGTTTTGCTTGGTACTGGACTGTTAGCAGTACTTGTCGATATTAATATATTGCTGCATTTTTAGTGTTTTGAGCAGGTTTTTATCGTCAGGAAGTGACAAAAATTTAAAAATTTCGGAAAAGTTTCGGCATTTTTTATACTTTCTGGCCAAAAAGCCAAACATTTTCGAAAATTTTTGGATTTTTATGAGCCGTATAGATTTGAAAATTGAGTAAAACGCTGTAAAAATGATGATAAATACTACTGGAAAAAATTGGCTTCCCCTGCGACGACCTCCCCCCGCTAACAGTCCAGCACCTTTTTTCTTCAAAATTATAACTTCCTTAGGCATGTGGCATTTTGCGTTTGCCGACATGCCCGGCTACACGCGCATGATTGCCAAGACGATTTTCGGCACCCCGCCCAGCTCAACGTACGAGGAGGCGCTACGTCACTTTGAGAAGGCCGAACTCATACAGGTCAAATTCGCCAAAAACGCATTACTAAGTCTTCGTTTTAGCCGAATTTCTACAGCAAGAACACGTTCGCCATCGCCGAGGTCTACGAGCGGCTGGGAAATAAAGAAAAGGCCGTCGAGTGAGTTTTTAGAGACCTTTAGCGTAATGCGCTGTTCCAAAAGCTCGGAACCTGTAGACGAGCAGAGACGCTTTGTGGAAATTACCCTAAACCTTTTTTTCAGGTACTACAAGCGCGCCTTCAAAATGGCGGTGATCAGCGCCGACGACCGAGACGTGCATACGAAGGTGAGCAACCTTTTTGGGGCGTACCACTTCTTTTCCAGGCCCACTCCAAGCTCGGCAAGTTCGGCATCAAGGACTCGCAACTCGTCTAGAAAGCCTTCACCTTTTCTGATTGTACTTTTGCTGTAGTTCTGTGTTGCTCAATTTCCCATGCTGGTCACTGGCTTTTCCTCTGTGATGTGTATTTTTTGAGTTTTTCTTTTGTACTGGGAATAAATTATGAGTTTTTGAGCGGCTCAATTTTATGGAATACAATGCGTTGGAAAACGCGGAGATATCGAAAAAAGTGGCAAACTGATATCGGTGATACATTTTAACGATTTAAAATGTACTAATAAGCGGTGCTTTCGCAATACCGGGGGGGGGGTTTCTCTAGAAGTCCTGAAATGCTTAGCCACCTAATACTATGTCTTTTTAGTAAGATTGAACGAGATTTCTAGTGGAAAACAAAACAAAAACCTTGAATAGGCTTTTAATGGACATTTTGGTCGAAAATCGATACTTCTTTGTATTTTTATCTGGATTTGTAATGTTTTTACGTTTAGGAATAGTAAAAAAACAGTTCGGAAACACTTCCGCTATTTCTTTTAGAAAAATTGGATCCTAAGGAAGTAGAGTTGCCCCCCCCTCCCCCGATATTGTGAAAGAACCATAAATTTTATCGAAATCGAAAACCTTTTTACATAATTAAATACTAATAAGCTAATTTTTTAATATTGATTAGGATGAGGACTCGTCTCCTCCTCTCCCGACCGCTCATCGAGGCGATACGGACGAGCTTCCAACCACAACTTTCAGCGCGACTCCTGGCCACAGCTTCGTCTAGTAACCTTGAAACTAAATTTTTTATCTTTTTTTTCAGGCAAAGATAAGCCGAATTTGAACGTGGGCACGATCGGCCACATCGACCACGGCAAGACGACGCTCACCGCCGCCATCACGCATGTGCTATCGAAGAAAGGTGGGCTTCATCTCGTCTTTACAGTCTAAAATGTTCATTTCAGGCCGAGCGAAGGCCATCAAGTTTGACGAGATCGACAAGGCGAAGGAGGAAAAGAAGCGAGGGATCACGATCAACATTGCGCATCTCGGCTACGAGAGCGATAAGCGGAAGTGGGTTTTTGAACGGAACTAGTGGGGATTGGCTTTGAACACAGAAAAAAGTTAGAAAGTTTCAAAAAACTGTGGAATTTTTGCTCAAAAAATTTATAAAAAATTGGGGCCGAATTTTTTGTGCTAGTCTAAATGCCTATTAACGTAATGGGAAATATTAGTTTTTTCGTAAAATATTACTTTATTTCAACTAGAAAAGCGATATAAAAAGATCAGGAAATTTTAAAGGCTAAATTAGGTCACAAATCGGCAATTTTTGTTCTAAAAGTCGATGTTGTTGATATTTTAATAGAAATTTGTAAAGTTTTTATCTTGAGGGATACTAAAAAGCTGTTTAGAAAGACATTTGCTATTTATATTTGGCTAAATTTACTATATATTTTTTTAGATACTCGCACACGGACTGCCCAGGCCATGCCGATTTCATCAAAAACATGATTTGCGGGACCAGCCAAATGGACGTGGCCGTGTTGGTGATCGCGGCCACGGATGGTGTAATGGCGCAAACAAAGGTCAGTTGGATCGTAATGCCTAAATTCGAACGTTTAGGAGCATCTGGTGCTCGCGCGGCAAATCGGCGTCAAGAACATTGTCGTCTTCGTCAACAAGGCCGATCTGGTCGAGGAGGAGGTGCTGGATTTGGTGGAGATTGAGGCCCGGGAGCTGCTGTCGTTGCATGGATTCGATGGTATTCAAATAGTAATTATCAAATTTGCACGGTTTACGCGTTTTTGACGATTTTCAGCGTAATGCGGCCGTATACGGCCAGAAAAGCGTAGTAACGTAATATTAAGTGTTTATTAGTTTTTAGCAAAATTTAATTATGTTTGGGATCATTTGGAAGTGGAAAAACAACGAAAAATAAACATGGATAAAAATTTGTGGTGATTTGGGCGAAATCGGTCATTTTTGTCGATAAATCGATGCTTTTCTGTATGTTTTAGGCAGAACTTGCTAGTTTTGGCGCTTAGAAATTGAAGAAAAATAGTTTAAAAACGCACCCTCTTAAAGATCGTAAAGATATCGGAAAAATTGGACATTGGAAAAAAGTTGGCGCGCCCGATAATGCACGAGAGTTTCATCCATTTTCTAGGTGATGCCGTCTCGGTGGTGCGCGGCTCGGCGTTGAAGGCTCTGGAAGGGGTGGATGAGGCGTGCGTCTACGATCTACTATCGGCACTGGACAAAACGCCGCAACCGGAAAGGATAGAGGTATAGGCCGATGCTATTCTGCATTGCTTTTTTAGGACGGCCCTCTGCTGATGCCCGTCTCTTCAAAAGTGGCGATCACGGGGCGCGGGACGGTCGTTGTGGGCACCGTGGAGCGCGGCACGCTGAAGAAGGGCGACAAGGTCGAGCTGAAGGTTTGTAAAGTCGCTTAATTTCATATTTTAAGCCTAGGGCGAGGGCAAGGTGCTCCAGACGACCGCCTCGGACATCCAGGTCTTCAACAAGAGCGTCAAAGAGGTATTGATACGGTGCTTTGATATTACCAGGGGGCATTATCGCCTCCCACGTTTTCCTCAGTATTCGATTTTTTTAATGAAAGGGGTAGGAAGTGTTTCCAACCTGCTTTTACTTTCTTTGACCCTAAAAACTTCACAAATGTTTCAAAAAAGCAGAAAAAACCCTAGGTTTCTATCAAAATCTACAAATTTAATTTTTTTCGAAGGAAGAGACATTGTTGTTGCGCTTGAAATATTGCTAAAATTTTATAAACACTATTTTTCAGGTGAAAGCTGGCGATCATTGCGGAATCTTGTGTCGAGGCTTGAAAGGAGAATACGTCAAAAGAGGTAAATCTGGCAACTTTTTCATTCATATAAATTTTAGGCATGTGGATGGGCCATCTCAACAGCGTCAAAATGTCAAACGCCATCAAGGTATATCACCTTTTTTTCTTTGATTTGTGTTTTTAGGGTGAGCTGTACCTGTTGAGCGAAGAAGAAAATGGGCGTCGACTCGGCATCCGCTCCGGCTTCACCGACAAGGTCTTTAGCAGCACCTGGGATCAGGTAGATTTTAGTCTGTGCCGTTTGCCGTGCCGCTCACCGTACGTTTCTATGTCCCTGATTTAGGTGGGACGCTTCGACATGGAGCAGGAGATGCTGATGCCCGGCGAGAACGTGTCGGCCAAGATCACGCTGCTCAAGGAGATGCCGGTCCGCGAGGGGATGCCGTTCACGCTGCGCGATGGCGGCACGAAGCAAACGATTGCTAGGGGTTCGTTTGCTTCTATATTTATCTGATTTTCTATTTCTAGGGATCATCGCCGAAATCCTGGATTCCGTCCAAATCGAGGGCTACAACTTGAAGAAGTCGACGATGGACGAGAAATAAAGCCAAAATTTACTTTTATTGCTCACTTTTCTAGTGCCTAGTCTATTCGTTTGCCGTTTCTTTTTTTTGCGTGTGATTGTTTTTAGGCATAGTTCAGATTTTAGGCTTTCCAATTGTTTCGTCTATTTGTTCGTTATCATTTTTGGCTGATAAAAGATTTTTTGGAGGAGTGTGGATGTGGATAAGCTTGGATTTTGGCGTTGAGGCGCGAGGAAATATCTGTAATATCTTTTTATGAAGTGTCGGAAAAAATGTAGTTCTTTTTTTGTTGCAAAACTTATGTGCCTTCAAACGATAACGTTGAAAATATTTTGCATGCCTTTCTTTTAGACGATGAAGCCGAGCAAATCGGTGGAGGACGAGCTTGAGGACTACATCTGGGGCAAGGCCAACGAGCAGCAATTTCTTCAGCGGGTTGGATTTAACGGGAAACACCTAACACTTTCTTTAGGTCGTAAACGAGACGGGCACCCACCTCGACTCGATGCTGCGACGAGTGAAGCAAACCGAAGAATCCCTCAACAAGCACATCCGGAAAGGAGTACGTTTCAATTCCTTTTGATTTTTCCTAATTTTCTGAATTCTGCTTGCCTAAAATCAAGCTTATTTGACAAAACTCCACTATCAAATTTCAGCCCCATTTTCAGGTAGAACAAAACCTGCCCAAACTCTTCGAGCAGGCGACGGCCCTCGAAGAGCTCGACCGAACGCAGCGCGTCGTCGACGCCGAAGTCAACGAGATCTACATGGTACCGAAGAACTTCTTTTCAAATTCATTCGCCATTTAGAAAAGCGAGGCCGTCCAGCGACGCATACAACAGCTGACGGTCGCCTACGAGAAGCGCTACAAAGAGCTGGAAGAGGCGCACAAGCAGCACCGGCTTCTCAAGGATGTCCATCGGTTGGCCGCTCCTAGTTTTCAGTTTTTACTGAACTTTTTAGCTGCCTAGAACTGATGGACGCATTCGAGAAGCGTAGTGACATTGTCAAGCGCAGCGAGATCATCCTCGAGGTTCGGGAATCGGAAATTAGCGTAAAAATCGATTTTTCAGATTGAATTCCTGGTCAAGGTGAACACGAGGCTGGTGGAGGTGATCAAAACGGTGGTGACGACGAAGCTGAAGGCTGCACAAAATCAGGTAGCTTTTTAATTTTTACTTTTTATTAAATTAAACATATTTGAAATCAAATTTTTAAAATTTACCGGGGCTTTCTGAAATTTCAAATTTCTGGGGAGCTAACTTTTTTTGAGGGCACAATTTTGCTAATAAAAAGTGTTTCTAGACGGTTTTTACGATTTTGCAAACGGAAAACGGTACAACTTTTCACAAAAAAAATACGAAAAATGCAGACTTTTCGACCAAAATGTCGATGAAAACTTTTCAAACTGTTTGTTTCCACTTATAAATCGTTTAATTCCACTAGAAATATGATTAAAATAGTTAACATTACGTTACTAAGCCTTTCCTGACTAAGAGGGGAAAAACTAGATGCTTCCCCCCATATTGCAAAAGCCGTATCTACGTGTCTTAAAAAATAACATTTCTCTCCAGGTTCGCTCATCAGCCGCTTCGGACCTCCGAAGTGCCCTCTCATCACTTGACGCCTCACAAGTTGCCAGCGCCGTTCGCGCCTTGTCCAATTTGAACTACCTAGATGGTATGGTTTCAATAACGATCCTGTTAATTGCTTCTTGGTTTTAGCCGAACTCGACACTCACCTGGCGCGATCTGTGGCTGAAATTGAGACGTCGTTGGATGCCCTAAATCAACAGGTAACCTAAAAATAGTAAAAAACTATCGTTTTTGTAGAAGGACAACGTGCGCGCGATGATGGCCACCGTCAACCTGATCCAAAACAGCATGGAGCAGGCTTCGATGCTCGGGCAACAGCACTTGGCCAAGTAATCTTTTTCAGCCAAACTTTAAGTCAAATTAGTAGGCTAATTGTACTTTGGGTGATGGTGCTTTGGCAATATCGAGGGGGGCAGCTTTTTCCGATAAGATTGATAAAAGCTAATGACTTAATAGTAAGTATTTGAATAGTTTTTAGTAAAATTTAACTATATTTTCAGCGGAAAAAGGAGAAAACTGGTCATTGTAAAATCGTTATTTTGCATGGACTAATTCGATTTTGTCTATAAAATTAGTTATTTCTACATCAAAGCTGGTAAAGTTTTGCGTTTAGGAGTAGTAAAAAAACCGTTTAGAAACACTTCCGCTCTTTAGATCAGAAAGTTGGATCCTTAGGAAAAGCTGGTTCCCCCGATAATGCCGAAGAACCCGAGATTTTATATTCGGATTTATCGGAAATTTATATAGACAAATTTTCAATTTGTGATTTCGGGTTCTGTGAGCGATGCGCGAGGGCGCTGCGCACACGTCTCTCCGCCACCGCGCCCTATTGCCTCAAATTCATTCAGCAGGTAATTTTTGCCTTTTTTGTGGGTGCATTAAGTTGCTAGTGGACTCCCGCCGCTATTCAACATAGCTGAAATTGGTCACTTGTGCGTTACCTTGACATATTTTTCAGCTAAACCGGATTCTCAACGGGCTCTCCGCGGAAGCCGTGGCCCCATTGACGGATGCGCTGCGTCCCGTGAAGAAGGAGATCTTGAATCAAGGTTTTTCGATATTTTCTTGTTTTGTTAAAATTTCTCTCCAGGATTGCAAAAAGTGCAACGCCAAATCACCGAGCACAATTTTGCCGACGGCTACTCGCATGCGTTTGTTGACGGGGTAGTTATATTTTTATCAATTTAAGCCGATTGGACTTATCTAGAATTAAAACCAATCTGCAATCTAGACACAAATCATTTTTTAGTTCAACAGCGCTCTCCTGGAAGAGCAGACGAATATCGAGTGGGATCCCGACATGCGCGAGACGTTTGTGAAAAATGTAAAAACGGTGGGTTCAGTTTTTCAAAGATTTTTAACGAATATTTTCCTATTTAGTGCATCGATACGGTCGCCGTGCGCCTGGAAAAGGAGATTCGCTTGGAGCCAGAAAATCTCTTGCTGGGTGCGTCCTTAATTGTATTTTTTCAATTTTTTTTAATGTTAGGTGATCGTCTACTGGCGGCGCAACAGGCCAACTACTGCATGCTCGGCATCGGCGGACTGCTCGCCTCCAAATGGGAGGGCCAGAGCGAGAATTTGAAGAAATTTGTCGGGAGTGCCCTCGGACGCATCTTTCAGGCGGTAAGGATTTTTGGGATTTGAAAAAAGAGTACTGGTGCGTTAGCGGGGGGGATACGTATCAAATTTAGAATTCTTTTTTATATTGGTTTTGTTAGATTTCGAATTAAGACTTTTAGAAACTTTTAGAAAGCAAGCAACTTAGACATTTTTGACGGAAAACTCAACAAACATTTGCGAATTTTCGGGACCTACGCGGAAAGTTGGGATTTTCTTAAAATGATAGTAATTGCCCTGCCCTCCCCCCGGCTAACGAACCAGCACCGCAAAACGATCGTTAGGTGCGCTCCTCGGTGTCGGCGATCGTCGGCTCGATGCACCAGGAGAAGCTGGGTGGCCGCGAATGCTCGCTGTACATGGCCGAGCTGTTGGCGTACCTGGGTTCGTCATTTTTTTTTAAAGAGAAGTTTTGAGGCTTTTTTTAGAGCGAGTCGGCGGCCACTGCGCGCATCTGGGCCCTGTTCTTCGGCTCACCTCCGCCCTGGGCCCGCTGATCGACCACACGCTGCTGCTCTTCCTCGCGCACGCCAGTCTTGTATCGCCGGTAAATTAGTACACTCTTTCAACTCTCTTCCCATGCTTCAGATGAGCCCGGAAGTGCGAGCCCAGCTGGCGCGTGATGCGACGCGACTCTTCGACGCCTGCACGATGCTTCATGTAAATATTCAGATCTTTCGCTTTATCGGAGGGGGGGGGGATATTATTAGTTTCTATGAGTTAATAATATTATATAGCAGTTTTGCATATTTAGCAATGTTTTAAATGGAAAAACAATTAAAAAACTTGTCAAAAATTATATTTTCGATCGAAAATCGCTATTTTTTAATTTTTTAATCAAACTTGGTATATTCCTTACGTAAGTCCGCCGCAAATTTACCGGATATGGGATTGATAGATTATATAGCTTTGAGTTTATGTGTATAGTTATATTTTACCGTCCATTTTCCAGCCCTCAACCCTTTTTGGCGACGTCCGCCCGTTGGCCATGCTGTTCGCCAGCGACGATGTGGAGACGATCAGCGAGGTAAAGGAGGTTCCGTCTTATATTTTTAAGTTTCCACTTCTACCCTACTTACGTTTTTTTTCAGATCCCGACCTGGCTGATCATCCAGACGCTGATCGCGCAAAGTGACGCCTCGCTGAAGCGCCCCCACGAATCCGTCGAATGGGACCAGGGCCAGTACGTCGAGTGGATGCTGGCGCAGGAGGACGCTGAAAAGTTGGTTATATTTAGAAAAAGAAGCTTCTGATCATATTTCCGGTTTCCAATTTCATCCCCTTTTTCAGGTACTCATTCCTCTCCAACCTGCTCTCCTCCTACACGTCGTCGGTGGTCAGCCGCGGCGGCACCGAGTTCGTCGCCAACTACCCGCGTCTAATCGCCCTGCTCGACCGTGCCGTCAAGGCCAGCAGCTGATGATGATCTGCAGGGCTCTATCTAAATTGTATTCTACCCTTTTTCTTGCAGCATATTACTGTTTCACCCATTGTTTCCTTCGTACTTGTGATAATTTTTGTTTCAACGTATTGTGATAGCTTCCGCCTCCGCCTTTTAGCATCTTTTTTCTGTGATCAAATAGAGGTGTTTTCGCATAGATGTGCATTTTTTGGGATAAATTATTTTTGGCTCGCTGAATTTTGGGATTATTTGGCGTTTGGGCGCTATGAATATCGAAAAAAAACTGATGACTTTTACGAAGCGTGAGCATGAGCAGCGTCGTTGAGCAACTACCGCAAAAAGGGCAGCGACCACCAAAAAAGCTCCAAAATTCGTCTGAACAACCCCATCCCCGGTGTTTTTTTGCAAAAGTTGTTGTTGCTCAAAGCCGCTTTGCCAGTTTCCGATCTGTATCTCATTTTTACTGCTTCCGCTTTAGACTTGCGATGAACACAATACCCAAAGCCGAAAGCAGCTCGGCCGAGAAGCAGCGATACGATGACGAATGGGAGGAGACAACCATGGTCGTAAAGGTTCGTAAATTATATCAACTAATGATTTTTTTAGTTAAACGGCGTCCTAGACGCGCAAGGGCTACGCGAATCCATCGAAAAGGGCCAATTTGCGTTGCGACGGGCGGCGGCAGCCGAGCCAATTCTGCAGGTTTGATTTTGGTTCTTTCGCTTGATTGGGGGGACCAGTTTTTGTTTCTTGGGGGCCCGTTTCTGAAATATTATAGCGGAAATTTTTCTAATATATTTTTTACTATTCCTCAACGTGCAAACTTTACAAATTTTTTTACATCAGATTTTATTTTATCACATAGCCCACCATCTCATTACATCATTTTCAGATAGGCCCCAGCTTGTACCTGGGAAAATGGGAGCACCAGGTGGGGACGGACATCATCTTGGAGGCCGACCACGACAAGAGCGGCACCACCTTGAAGGTTTGGGTTTTTAGATGGATCTAATTGTTTTTTCTTGTAGATGGTCTCCATATCTGATCGAGAGCTAATCGGCGAGAAGGCCCTCATCACGAATCCAACAGTGAAAAAGTGACGTCGGCCTGCACTGCTCGAAATCGTTGAGCACCATTTTGATCTCCTGTACATGTATTGTTACATTGATATTGTTGAACTTCGTTGCTATGATATACCGGTTCACATTTGTATAAAGTTTTTTTTGGCTTTCTGAGCTGTTCTTTCAAATGTAAGGTTTTTGAGGACCGATACCATGACCTATTTTGCTTTTTCTTTTTTGTGTTTCTGTAAAAATTTGTCACGATCATGGGTTCTTTCGCACTATTAGGGGTGATTTTTCCCATAAGTCCCGCAATTAGTTGGAACATAATAACAAGCATCTTAATAGTGTTTTTTAGCAAAATCTTACTATATTGTAAGCGGAAAAACGATTAAAAAAACTATCTACGGACTTTCAAAAAGTCTCAATCTGGGCAGCGTCCATTTCTGGTCGAAAAATCGCTATTTTTGTGTTTTTATCAAAATTTGTATAGTTTTTGCGTTTAGGAATCGTCAAAAACGGTTTAGAAACACATTCTCTATTTAGATTAGAAAAATTACATCCTTAGTAAGAAGCTGCCCCCCCGGTAATGCGAAAGAACCGAAGAAAGTCGTTCGTTATTACCGAAAGTTCATAGCCTCCAATCTTACAACTTTTACTATTTTTAGATGTTATCCCAACGTAAGACGAGCGCTACAAGCTGGGAAGTTTTTCAAGAGGAGCCGGTGGCCCATGAGGATGCCGCCGTCAACACCGACATGACAGTGCCCCCGAATATTGAAGCCTCACGCAGCGAGGATAAAGGTTTGTTTTAGAAACTTTTGCTCTAATCATGGTGCTTCAGAAAACACGTTCTGGCGGGATTCGGCGCTGGCGAAGCGGGAGAAGCTCGACGAGCTGCAGTGTGTGAACGAGGAGTTGCAGCAGAAGATCGACGAGCAGCAAACGAAGCTTAAAAAGGTAGGTTTGAGTATCACGCTTTACTAGAAAAATGAACCTCTTCTCTAGAAAATTTTTCCTTTTTGCTCAAGTGAATTCAAATGGTCTTTTTCGGTGAGCAAAAGGCCCTTTTTAATCAGCAATAGTTCTGGTGAGCTTGAGATCGAGCTTCTAAAGTCTAGCTTTTTAATAGACTTTTTCAGGTTGAGGACCTCTACACGGCGTTCATCGGCTGCCTCCCGAATGCCGAAGATGCGCGCAGCTCGGACGATCAAGAGAAAGAAGCCGCTAAAGAATGAAGATAATCCAATTATCGCCTTCAGTATTCTGTCTTTTTATGTCTCTTGTATACATTCCGGGTGCTAGTGTAGTTCAGGGGGGCAATCCGAAATTGGTAGTACGAGGTTACGAGGCGCTCCGCTCAAGCTGCTTTTTTTAGCTTAAGCTTAGTCGTAAATTAGCTTTAACTAGGCTTAACTTCGGCTTAGGCTTAAGCTTAAGCCCAAAGGAACTCTTGTCTGTTTTTTGTTGCTTAAGGAGTTCAAAATAGGGTCATTTAAGCCTAGGGTTAGGCTTAGCTTAGCGTTTCCGCAGGCTCAGTGTTTAAAAAACGTCGTTTGGAGCGTCTTGTAGTTAAATCCGGACTGCCCCCTCCTAACTGCATTAGCACCCATTCCTCGTGCTCAATTTTCGATCTTGCCAATTTTTATATAATTTTGCTCTCGTAATAAACAGCACGTTTACAACCGTTGATCAATCCATCTTCCAGTGTCGAGAAGCGGTACAATATTCATTTCCATGCTTAGATTTCTCTGTCAATTGGTGGTCGCCAAACGGTGCTTTTATTCATCCAGGAAATGACATAATTTGATCACGAACAAACGGGTTTGTACAAAGGGAGGCAGAAGATTCGGTCGTGGTTGTTGGAGAACGGGCTGACGCGCTACTCGATAAGGCCTGTGTGGCAGGAGGCGATCTGGTCGGACTGGACCTGGGTGTCCTCGTCCTTCTCGGTGTCCTCATCCTTCTCGGCGCCTTCGGCGCCCTCGGCGCCCGTGCTGCACATGCACTACAATAGGGGGACGTTAAAGATCGGGGAGGTCAGCCTACCATAGTGGACAGACTCTGCTGGCGCACCAGCGGCTGATCGCCCAGCTTCTTCTGCCACTCACACAGCTTGTCGTCGCGCCCGCGAACGGCGACGGCCTCCTCGTAGACGAACCCCAGCTGCAAGTCAAAAGAGAAGTCTTAATGTTATGGAATGCCTACCTGTTCAATGTGCTCGTCGAGCAGCGTGACCAGGAGGCTCATTTTTATCTTGGCGGATCGCAACTTCGCCTTGGATTTCAGAATCGCACCGAGGAAAATCTTGGAATAGTTTAGTATGCTTTGAGTGAGTCCTCCAGCTTACGTCGAAGTGGGTGCGGCTTTCCTGAAGACCGGCCGGGCAGACACACCCATAAGGGTCGCAGGCCCTCTTGGACTTGTCGATGATCTCGCGCATAAGGCCGCCGTTCGATCCGAGCACCTCATCGACGATCCCATGGCGGACGACGTACTGAAACGGTCCTTTTTTTTTGGTTCTTTTCTAAGCCTGCCGGATTACCGAGTTCAAAATTACCTTGGGGAGCTCCTTCGGATTGGGGGCCATGATTCCCATTTCGGCGTACTGGTCGACCATCACATCAATCGAAGCGTTTGATGACAACAGATTCATCAGGGCATATGCCCCGGAATAGACGCTGTTGACTTCGAAGATGAGCGCTTCTTTCAGCTCCACAGACATCTCATTGATGCGGGTCTGCGTCTTGTTACCCTGCGCCTTGAGATGCACAAGAGAGTCCTGGAAAATGTTTTTGAATTATCATTTCGACATCACAAAATTAAATCTACGTCAGTCGCAAAAAAAACATACGATCGTAAGGTATGTGCCGGGCATCCGACCATCAACGAAATAGGCGACGATCTCGACAGCCGTCATGCCACTGGCCGGGGGCATGTTGCGCGCGTTTTGTTGAACGGTGGTGAACTGTTCGGTAAGCATTATATATCAGGCAACCTATGCAAATTATGGATGCGGCTGTGTTACTTCCGGTTTCAAAGCTTTGATGCAAACCTTGATTTTGCTGGCTGGTTAATATATGTGGTCGATGGTTCCAAGCCGCCTCATCCGGTCCAAGTAGAAAACTTAGTAGCTCAATTATTCGGACTCCGGTCTATAGCTGACCCCAAGTTTCGGAGGGGGCAGCCTCAATCTTTTTTTGCAAATTCCAGCCAAGACACAAAAATTCACAAAAGAACTGCGCCGCAGGCAAAAGAGGTTGAATAAAAATAAATAAAAATAGCGTCGAAGCGAAAAAATTTTGAGTTAAAAATCATAAAGATTGATGTTTTCCTTTATTTTTCTTTTAGTTTGGCGCTGTATTCATGTTTAAAGAAGTTACAAGGCTTCATAGTTTTAACTTGGCGTGCATATATGCCCCGCGTAGGCCGCCCTGAGCAAATCGGGAGAGCGCCGCTTTTTCATTGGCTTGACGCGCCGTGCGTACTGACAGCCAGTGGCGATTTGATGGCGCACGATGCCTTTAGCAGCTCATCCAGCCCCGCAGAGTGCTCCTAATTTTTGGTAACTTTTAAAATTCCCAGTTTGTGAACTTGAGATTCTTTTCCCATGCAATTTATCGATCCGGGAATATATGCCTTAAAGCGGCTCTGGCAGCACACTGATTACGGCATTTTGGGGACCGGGCAGGACAGGACGCAGAGTTTCTGTCTGCGTCGCAGAGACGCAGAGTTTCTGTCTGCGTCTCTCCTCTGGGCGCGCTCTTTCCCTCCCTGCCGCGACGCACCCGACCGCGACGCTTCCACGAGTCGTGGAAAAAGGGGCTTGCTGCCAGACGCCCTTTAAACTTTTCTGTGATATGATTCTAGTATAGATTTTCCTAGTTAATTAAAATTATCTTTTCTTTTTTTGCCGCTCTATCGGTCCCGCTCACCGATCACTTCTTTATAAGTCCTTTCGGCTAAATACTACGTACAACATATAAGACAGCAAGTGGGTTTATTTAAAAAAAAAGAAGAAAGAAATAAGGGAGTGGCCGGCCGGCTGACACCTTTGGTGGGAAAATTCAGGTTTACGGTACTCTCCCAAAATGCGGTTTTTTGTGTTCAAATCGCTAAATAAAGGTCAGAAACGGACTCATCGACAAAAATTAGGTGGCGGAAGGCACTTTTTAGGGGAGAAAACCTCATTTTAGTTTTGAGATCGGGTACCGTAAAGTAGTATACGGGGGTGACTACTTTACGGTACTCGCCCAAAATTTTAGTCTTTCTGCACGAAAAGAAGCAGTAAGGGCTGAAACGAATCAAGCAGCAAAAATAATTTGGCGGAAAGGCCTAAAAATGAGTGATTTGAGACTTCGAAGTTTGAGGCTTATGACATGTCGCGCAAGGTGGGCCGTCGCTTCGGATGGGCTGCCGCTCCACTCTTTCGAAACCAGGGCGCCTGGGCGCTTCGCGCTCCTCGGGCGCCCCGATTTCGAAACCCTGTACGAGCTCGCACCCATCCGAAGCGACTAGGCCCCGGGTGGCACAAAGCCTTATTTTTAGGCTTAAACTGGTGTGATATAGAGATGGAATCTGTGTCCGAATCTTCCCTTTATAGGCCTTTCCGCCCACTTATTTTTGCTGATTAATACGTTTCAGACCTTGCTGCTTCTATTCGTGCTGAAAAAGGAACATTTTGGGCGAGTACCGTAAAGTAGTCACCCCCGTATACTACTTTACGGTACCCGATCTCAAAACTAAAATGAGGTTTTCTCCCCTAAAAAGTGCCTTCCGCCACCTAATTTTTGTCGCTGAGTCCGTTTCTGACCTTTATTTAGCGATTTGAACACAAAAAACCGCATTTTGGGAGAGTACCGTAAACTTGAATCAAGCCCCTTTGGTGAGAACAGCTTCAACAATTTGCATAGATCGCCTAATATAGAACGCCCACCGAACAGGCAAAAGTTCACAATCGCTCCTACAAAGCGCTCCTACAAAGCGATCCTTCAAAGCGCTCCTTCAAAGCGCTCCTTCACGACGGCGGCGCCGGCGGGATGAATGCTGTCGAGATCGTCGCCTATTTCGTTGATGGTCGGATGCCCGGCACATACCTTACGATCGTATGTTTTTTTTTGCGACTGACGTAGATTTAATTTTGTGATGTCGAAATGATAATTCAAAAACATTTTCCAGGACTCTCTTGTGCATCTCAAGGCGCAGGGTAACAAGACGCAGACCCGCATCAATGAGATGTCTGTGGAGCTGAAAGAAGCGCTCATCTTCGAAGTCAACAGCGTCTATTCCGGGGCATATGCCCTGATGAATCTGTTGTCATCAAACGCTTCGATTGATGTGATGGTCGACCAGTACGCCGAAATGGGAATCATGGCCCCCAATCCGAAGGAGCTCCCCAAGGTAATTTTGAACTCGGTAATCCGGCAGGCTTAGAAAAGAACCAAAAAAAAGGACCGTTTCAGTACGTCGTCCGCCATGGGATCGTCGATGAGGTGCTCGGATCGAACGGCGGCCTTATGCGCGAGATCATCGACAAGTCCAAGAGGGCCTGCGACCCTTATGGGTGTGTCTGCCCGGCCGGTCTTCAGGAAAGCCGCACCCACTTCGACGTAAGCTGGAGGACTCACTCAAAGCATACTAAACTATTCCAAGGTTTTCCTCGGTGCGATTCTGAAATCCAAGGCGAAGTTGCGATCCGCCAAGATAAAAATGAGCCTCCTGGTCACGCTGCTCGACGAGCACATTGAACAGGTAGGCATTCCATAACATTAAGACTTCTCTTTTGACTTGCAGCTGGGGTTCGTCTACGAGGAGGCCGTCGCCGTTCGCGGCCGGGATGACAAACTGACTGAGTGGTTTAACAAATTCGAGAGTGACCAACCCCTTTTGCGTAAGCAAAGTCTGGTGTCACTGGTAGGCTGACCTCCCTTATATTTGACTTGCCTTTATGACAGTGTGCCTGCTTCACTGCACTTGGTGATGGCACCATGGTAGAAGAGTGCGAGCCTTCGGCAGATTCTGAGGGGTCCGGCAGTGACAGTGCAGACGAGGGCGTCATCCAATCACACAAAGGCGCGCAATTTATCGTTTGTCTTATTGTTTATTTACTTCTCTATTTATTTTGTGTGGCTGTTAAGCTTTTTTTAGCCTGACCCCTAAAAGTTTGACCGCCTTTAGGTCACCTTGATGGCTTATTTTATTTTCAGGAGGACGAGTGAAGCGGGAAGACGGTACCTGCACTTGGTGCAAAGATCGAACCGAAGTGTCCAAGCATTTTGGACCTGAAACATGCGATAAGTGCAATCGCCGCTACCGGTAGGACTGACGTTTAATTCTAAATCGCTAGAAACCTCGAGCGCTAGAAAAAAGCAGTTTTTGCAGCAGGGCGCTGCGTGAGTACATAGAGGGGCAGCCCTGCACTTGCGGCGGAAAATCGGCCAAGAAACGTGAGCATTACGAGTAACACCTATTTACCATGGAAATAAGTTATCTCAGTGGGAGCGTTTCCTTTTCCCTATCAATGTACTTTTATAGGTTGCGCATTGTGCACCATCATGGAAGCCGAAAGGATCGGCATGCAACGTGCTAACTACAAGCCGCGGTATAAATAAAAACCGGAGATTTTTTACTCTAGAGGCAAAATCGTAGCGTATTACATATTAGCAAAGTCCAGAACTCGCTTTGAATGCGAATTAAAATCCTAAAAATCAAGCATCGAATTCTGAGGTTTTCAGCACGATCGCGAAGAAGGGCACGTGAAGCAGTTCTTCCGCTAGGGCACCGAGCCGACCGCGTTCACAGGATGTCGCCTTGCTCTTAGCCAAGTTATGATCTCTTCTGGTTGTCGAATTGGTTCATTCGGGACCCCCCCATTATCAATTAATTCCCCTCCCACGACGTTGTGATGATTATTTGTGCAAATAAAAACTTTGAAAGTTTGAAGCTGTTTGCAAATTTTGCTGGGCAATTTGCCGGAGGAGATATGTAACATATTGCGTGGCAAAGGCAACGCTGCTGCAGAAAACAGTTACCCCGCGGTCAGGGGACCGCGGTAAAGCATCCGCATCATTTATTAGGCAGTTTTGCTTAATGTTTCCTTGAAATTCCAATGATTTATTCACATCTCATCTTAATTTTCATTAATTCTCATTTCAATTTTATAAATTTCTAAGGTCCGTACGCCCAACCGACCGGGAATTCAATCCCGCCGCGAACCCCCAAATATACCACTTGGGGCTGAAAATTTTCACCGGAGCCATGCGTTTCGCCTTTTCCCCCTTGGAGGGCCAGCGCTGAACCCCCGCGGAGCGGGGAGTCAGAGCTGGTATTTAAATAATTTTAAAAACTGTTTCTTTTAGCCGGGCGGCGCCGCCGAAGACATGGTGATCGAGACGATAACGGCGGAAAATGCGAGCGTCCACGAGGTTCAGGTGTGCAGCATTTATTGTTTCCGAAAACATTGGCTCTCAGGAATGTCTGGGGATGCTGCGTTCCGACAAGGCGGCCGGCCTATCCACCGCCGAGACGACGCGACGCCGCCAATTCCACGGGTACAACGAGTTTGACGTGAGTTTTTAATGGTTAAAACGTACGCTAATCCGTAACTGAGTACGCCTCTTAAATAGTTTTATTGAAATAAGGGCTGGTTCTTTTCTATTATCGGGGGGACCGAAGTTTTTCTATAATCCAATGATTACTGGCGTAACAGGACGTATTTTATTGATTTTTAAAAATATATAAAGAAAAAGAAATTGAAAGAAATATATTTAAATATATAAGCCAATTTCGACTAGAAAAACTGTCTACAAACTTTAAAACAACTTTTTAAGTCGAAATTGCTAAAAAATTCGCTATTTTGGTATTTTTAATGAAAATTTGCAAATTTTGGAGATTTTGGAAGTAAAAACAGATTAGAATCACACGAAATTAAAGAAATATGACGTATTGTGATCGATTAACAATTTATTCAAGCGTATATAAGTTATTTTTACGTCCAATAACTACGATAGGTAAAAGCAAGTTTAAAAGCTAGCGTCGTTTAAATCGGTTCTATGTTCCCCTTTTTTACTCCCAATTTCCAGGTCGGAGACACGGAGCCAATCTGGAAAAAGTACGCCGAGCAGTTCAAGAACCCGCTGATCCTGCTGCTCCTCTCCAGCGCCGTCGTCTCGATTCTGATGAAACAGTTTGACGACGCCATCTCCATTACGGTGCGCTGGATCTTTAGGGGTTGATGATTTTTCTCCGTTTTTCAGATAGCTGTGGTGATCGTGGTGACGGTGGGCTTTGTGCAAGAGTACCGCTCGGAGAAGACGCTCGAACAGCTCGCCAAGCTCGTCCCACCCGCGTGTCATGTGTAAGCAATTTTTCTAATGGTGCCGCAAAGCCAGAACTCTGGGTTTTGGCGGGTACGGATCCGCCATGAATCACGCAGCGACCGCGACACGTACAGTCCAGAACAGCGTGCGCGTTGCGTATCGCGGCACAGCATATACGGAGATCTCTACCTGGACTGCACTGTTAGCTGGCGGCTTTAGCCGCGAGAAGCTTATTTAGTGCATTTTCCTAACGTTTTTTGGTATTTTGCTTGCGACGCAATTAAAAAATCTGAAAATGTTGAAAACGAGTAGTGTTATAAATTTTTGTGACTTTTTTTGGCCCCTTTTCATACACTTTTTACCAAGAACTCAAAACTTATCATATTTTGTATTCGGTGTTTATAGCTAAAAACGTTAGAAAAAGCTATAAAAATGGATTATCTTACGTGCGTGTCGCGGCGCGGAAATCCGCCGCAGAACCAGATCCAACAACCCTCCCTCCCCTTCAACGTCACAAATGCCAAACTTTCAGCCTTCGAGATGCGAGCTCGTCCCCGGCGACGTCGTGCTCCTCAACACTGGAGACCGAGCGCCGGCCGATTTTCGTCTACCCGAATCGGCGGATTTGCAAGTCGACGAGTCGTCGCTGACCGGAGAGACCGAGCCCAAGCACAAGAACATCAACGCCGTCGTTGGGTAAGCCATTCTGATTCAGCTTTTTCGAATTCTGTAGCAAAACGGGCTTTTGCAATTTTCCTGTCGTTTACGGTTAAACTGGGAAAACGAGAAAAACTAATGCCGCTAACTGCCATTTCCATGTCGTGTACGATTATACCCCCCGGCACAGCGTTCAGAGCCCTAAGAAAAAGGTTCGTCGAGCGGGGACAGGATGGAGAGGGGCTCTCTGCACTCTCGCCCTTCCAGCTTTTTTCTATTTCTGATTTTCTATTTCCAGGTCGGAGACACGGAGCCAATCTGGAAAAAGTACGCCGAGCAGTTCAAGAACCCGCTGATCCTGCTGCTCCTCTCCAGCGCCGTCGTCTCGATTCTGATGAAACAGTTTGACGATGCCATCTCCATTACGGTATGCCTTCTATTAAAGGGTTGGTGATGTGTTCCGTTTTTTAGATAGCCGTGGTAATCGTCGTCACCGTCGGTTTTGTGCAAGAGTACCGCTCGGAGAAGACGCTCGAACAGCTCGCCAAGCTCGTCCCACCCGCGTGTCATGTGTAAGCAATTTTTAAAGGTGCCGGAAAGCCAGAATCACGCAACGACCGCGACGCGTACAGTCGAGAACAGCGTGCACCTTGCGTATTATTTCGCGTATTTTCCTAGCGTTTTTTGGCAGTTGTTGCCTGCGACGCAATTATTAAACATGTTGAAATTTTGAAAATGGATAGTTTTTTAAATTTTTGTGATCCGTTTTGGCCCCTTTTCATACAAGTTTTACCAAAAACGCAAAACTGTCGGAAATTGTCATATTTTGTATTTACTTTTCAGCTAAAAACGTTAGAAAATGCCATAAAAATTGATGAAAAATGGGTTTACTGCCGAAAAATTGGTTTCTTCCCCCCGTTAACCGTACAGTTTCAAGCAGTTCGTGCATTGCGTTGCGCGTAACGTACAGACGGCGCAGCGCGGTGCGTGTCGCGGCGCCGTGAATGCGCCGCAGAACCAGATCCAACGACACTTCAACATCACAAATGCCAAACTTTCAGCCTTCGAGATGGTCGTGCTCACGAGATGCTGGCGCGCGAGCTCGTCCCCGGCGACGTCGTGCTCCTCAACACGGGAGACCGAGTGCCGGCCGATGTTCGTCTACTCGAATCGGCGGATTTGCAAGTCGACGAGTCGTCGCTGACCGGAGAGACCGAGCCCAAGCACAAGAACATCAACGCCGTCGTTGGGTAAGCCATTCTGATTCAGCTTTTTCGAATTCTGTAGCAAAACGGGCTTTTGCCGTTTCAAGTCGTGTACGGTTAAACCAGGGAAATGAGAAACACTAATGAATTCTCTGTATCACTCCGTAACTGCCATTTCCATGTCGTGTACGATTATACCCCCGATGCGACACACTGAGACGCGACGCATTTATCATGGCCGCAATGAATAGTAGGCCTCGTAATGCAACACGAAACGGCGGCGTCGGCAAGCCGTTCAGGGGTTGTACTCGATGGGGAGGTTCTTCCTGCGGACCATGCCGTCGCCCTGGAACCACTCGCGGCGGAACTGCTTGGCGGCGCCGTCGGGGGTGTTGGTCCACTCGATGGTGACACGGTCGTTGTTCGTGTCCTCAGCGCCGAACTGGAAGGAGTCGCACGAGACGGCAACCTGGAAAGGGGGATTAAACGAGGTCGAGCAGTTCAAGCCGTTCAAAGTAGCAGAACATGCTCAAGTAGTTCGAGCGGTTCAGGGGGTTCAAGGAGTTCAAGCTCACCCACCAGAACCTGCTCCTTGGGGTCGAGGACACCGCACGGCGGGTCGACTCCGAGGCGCTTCATGTTGGTGGTCTTGAAGGCCCATCCGATGCGGCGGCCGCCAGAGTTGATCACCTTGATGTGGTAGGTGTGCTTGTCATCGTAGGGGGCGTTGAAGACAATCTTCGTGCCGGGCTGGGTGGTGATGTCACCGGGAGCGACGGATTGGGCCATCTTCGAGGTTGAAGTTTGGGTGCTTCGGGCTTTGCGGGGGCTTCTTATATACCTGGGAACGCATGGAAATCGAATGATGTAGATGAGCAACTTCCGGGATTGTAATGAGTTTTATTTAATGTTTTTTGATAGTTTAAACCTGTGGAGATTCGGGGACTTCAATCAATTTGATTTGATAGGTAAAATGTGTATGATTTTAAAGTAGCAAAATACAGAAATCGCGATTTCTCGGATTTTAACAAGTGTCTACTATCAAGGCTATTTAAGGACTTTGAAAAGCCTTAAAAATCACGACGAAATTTATGCGTTGGGATAAGCAATTTTTAAGCAGATTTCTGCTTTTAAAACTTTAAGACACTTTTTCGACCTTTTTCCGGAATTTAATTGATTGTTTGAGATTTTAAAATTAAAAAACGAAATATTTGGTCGAATTGGATTTTAAAAATTAAAAAACGGAGTAGAAACATGATGAACGCTTCTATTTTCATGCTTGTATCTAAGAATATTTTTGATGGGTTTATTTGAAGTTTTGAAGGTTTAAAAACAGCATAAAAAGCCCGATAGCGATGAATTATTAAAGTTAACAATTTTCTAGGCTTTTCAATCAACAGTAATTGATTAATCTTTTATTTTTCAGGCAAAACAATGGCGGCCACGTGGAGCACATGACCAACATCGCGTTCATGGGCACGCTCGTCTGCTCCGGAAGGGGAAGTGTAAGTGGCTTCAAGTTGGCTTCAACTTCAGAATCTAGGGCCTCGTCATCTCCACCGCCACCCACTCCAAATTTGGCGAGGTGCTGAAAATGATGCAGGAGCAAGAGGTAGCCATTTTTTTATTCTTTTATTCTGTGGTTTTAGTCGTCAAAAACTCCCCTCCAAAACTCGATGGATCACTTGGGGAAGCAGTTGTCAATCTACTCGTTTGGTATGTTTTCAGGAGTAGCTTCGGCTTAGTGAGACTTAACAGGCTTAGCCTTAGGCCGGTCTTCGACTTAGCCCGGCCCTATCCAAGCGTGCGCCATATTTTCGAACCACTTCAAAGCCTCTAAATCCCTATCTTTCAGGTGTGATCGGCGTGATCTTCGTCATTGGCCTCGTGCAGGGCCACAACGTCCTCGACATGTTCACCATCGGCGTCAGTCTGGCCGTGGCTGCAATCCCCGAAGGGCTTCCGATCGTCGTCGCCGTCACCCTTGCCATTGGCGTGATGAGGATGGCCAACCGGAGATGTGTCGGCAAAAAACTGCCCGCTGGTCAGTTTTCAGCTTGTTTGTGTCATGCCCGGTTCCATTCTCGGTTCTGGTTGGTTACCTCACGTCAGACCACAATCAGTTTTCGTAACCCAGAAATGTCTGTTAACTTAAAAGTCGGATTTTAATGGTGTTTTCAGCCACATTTAACTGGTTTTAATTTTTTATGTTTTTATTTAATTTAATTTAGCGCGAAAATTAGCAACAAAGTTTTGGTTGAAAATTAGGTTCGAAACTCGGTATTTTTTGTACTTTTTTGTACTTTGATCAGAATTTGTAAAGTTTTTCGTTTAGGAATGGTGAAAAATCGTTTAGAAATACTTCTTCTATTTATATTCGACTCCCCTCCGATAATGGGCAAGAACCGCGAAATCTTATTCATTTAAATTCTGAATTTCAGTGGAAACGCTGGGTTGCGTGACGGTGATCTGCTCGGACAAGACGGGCACGCTGACGAAGAACGAGATGACGGCCACCGTTGTTGTCACGCCGGAAGGACGGAGGGCTGAGGTGGGGCGAGGATGAGCTTTCCACCTTATCTCGTGCTAGAAATGCCGGATCTGAAGACTTTTTGCACCATTCGAAAGCCCGGAAAACGGAGGATTTTGCTGCTTTCAACTAAAAACTTCAAAAAACTCTAAATTCATAAATTTTGGTCAAAAAAATTTGTCAAAATAAAAAAAAATGAATTTTTATAAAAATTGGCAAAAATTTTGCGCTCAGGGGCTATTAAAAAGAAAACTTAGAAACCAGAAAACGTTATTTCGATTAGAAAATGGCCTACTATAGGAAAATTTTCGATTCCTCGCCTGAACCCCCCCCCCCGCTAATGCAAAAGAACTCATGGCGGGATGCCGCGGTCTTCGGAGTCATCCTACCCTGCAAAGTCGACGTACTATTTTTTCAGGTAACCGGCCTCGGGTACGCCGTCGACGGCGGTATCTGCACGTACAACGGGCAAACGGTCACCGGATGGAGCCACCCCGAATTCGCCTCCATCATCGAAGCCGGCGCCGTCTGCAACAACGCGGCCATCGTTGGGGAAAGTGTCGTCGGGCAACCAACTGAGGGAGCCCTCGTCGTGCTCGCCAAAAAGGTGAATTCACCTTCAAATAGCTTATATCTCATTTTCAGACCGGTTTGGAGCAATGCCGATTGAGCTACACTCGCCAAGGGGAGATCCCGTTCTCGCACGACAACAAATGGATGTCCGTGCAATGCGTCAATCAGCAGGGCTGGTACCCAGATGACATTTACACGCGTGTAAAATATTTACACCTCGGATTTACACGCGTGTAAATAATTTACACGCGTGTTTTTGGGATTTACACTCGTGATTTTGCACTTTTAGAGGGTTTTGGTGCCGGAAAATCCGTTTACACGCGTGTAAAACTATTTACACTCGTGTGTTTTGGATTCAAGCCCCGTTTTTTGAAAAAAACATCTATATGAAGGAAAGAATACATAAAATAAGATGTAGTCACTGGAAAATTTGCCGTTTCGCGGGCTTGCGAAGGATGTAAAAATTATTCCGATCCGATTCTCTTATGCGAAAATACAAGGAGATTGATTTTTTTGCACCCGGACTGTTCGAGAAAAATCCCGTTGATTTGATGAAGTATATTTCGTTAAGGTTTAGTCGATTGATTAAAAATCAAATTTGGGAGTGCAAAAATCATTGGCTCAAAATATGGGCTCGCGTGTAAATTTTACCCCATAAGTTTACACCTGGGAGAGTAAATCGGTCAAAAAAAAAAATTTGGTCAAAAATTTCTAGAGTACCTAGCAAGCCACAATTTTTTTCACTAATAGTTGGGACCTGTCGCTACCCCCTCTCGTTTTCATGTTCACAAAAAGTTGGCTCTACAATTTTCTCGAGCCCTTCAAAGTTGGAGTGTAAATTTAGGCCGCTCGCGTGTAAATTTTTTGCTTTTTTTTCGTCATTTCGGCAAAAACCCCGTTTTTTTACACGCGTGTAAACTTTTTTACACGCGTGTAAATATTTTTACACTCGTGTAAACTTTTTTACACGCGTGTTTTTGATTCCTTAATAAATTTGTTAAGGAAATTTGCTAAATTACACGCGTGTAAATATTTTTACACGCGTGTGAATTTTTTTACACGCGTGTAAGATTTTTTACACGCGTGTATAAATTTCACGGGTGTAAATTTTATCTGGGTACCAGCCCAGGTGATTAATTGGTTCTTTTGCAATAACGGGGGTACCGGGTTTTTAAAGTCCAGACATAACTTTGCAACATAATAAGGTCTTTTAGGGGCAAAAGGTCCATTTGATTGAGCAAAAGGTCCATTTGATTCAGCAAAAGGTCCTTTTTAGGGGCAAAAGGTCCATTTGATTGAGCAAAAGGTCCATTTGATTGAGCAAAAGGTCCATTTGATTGAGCAAAAGGTCCATTTGATTGAGCAAAAGGTCCTTTTTAGGGGCAAAAGGTCCATTTGATTGAGCAAAAGGTCCTTTTTAGGGGCAAAAGGTCCATTTGATTGAGCAAAAGGTCCATTTGATTCAGCAAAAGGTCCTTTTTAGGGGCAAAAGGTCCATTTGATTGAGCAAAAGGTCCATTTGATTGAGCAAAAGGTCCATTTGATTGAGCAAAAGGTCCATTTGATTGAGCAAAAGGTCCTTTTTAGGGACAAAAGGTCCATTTGATTGAGCAAAAGGTCCTTTTTAGGGGCAAAAGGTCCATTTGATTGAGCAAAAGGTCCATTTGATTGAGCAAAAGGTCCATTTGATTGAGCAAAAGGTCCTTTTTAGGGGCAAAAGGTCCATTTGATTGAGCAAAAGGTCCATTTGATTGAGCAAAAGGTCCATTTGATTGAGCAAAAGGTCCTTTTTAGGGACAAAAGGTCCATTTGATTGAGCAAAAGGTCCATTTGATTGAGCAAAAGGTCCATTTGATTGAGCAAAAGGTCCTTTTTAGGGGCAAAAGGTCCATTTGATTGAGCAAAAGGTCCATTTGATTGAGCAAAAGGTCCATTTGATTGAGCAAAAGGTCCTTTTTAGGGGCAAAAGGTCCATTTGATTGAGCAAAAGGTCCATTTGATTGAGCAAAAGGTCCATTTGATTGAGCAAAAGGTCCATTTGATTGAGCAAAAGGTCCTTTTTAGGGACAAAAGGTCCATTTGATTGAGCAAAAGGTCCTTTTTAGGGGCAAAAGGTCCATTTGATTGAGCAAAAGGTCCATTTGATTGAGCAAAAGGTCCATTTGATTGAGCAAAAGGTCCTTTTTAGGGGCAAAAGGTCCATTTGATTGAGCAAAAGGTCCATTTGATTGAGCAAAAGGTCCATTTGATTGAGCAAAAGGTCCTTTTTAGGGACAAAAGGTCCATTTGATTGAGCAAAAGGTCCATTTGATTGAGCAAAAGGTCCATTTGATTGAGCAAAAGGTCCTTTTTAGGGGCAAAAGGTCCATTTGATTGAGCAAAAGGTCCATTTGATTGAGCAAAAGGTCCATTTGATTGAGCAAAAGGTCCTTTTTAGGGGCAAAAGGTCCATTTGATTGAGCAAAAGGTCCATTTGATTGAGCAAAAGGTCCATTTGATTGAGCAAAAGGTCCATTTGATTGAGCAAAAGGTCCTTTTTAGGGGCAAAAGGTCCATTTGATTGAGCAAAGGTCCATTTGATTGAGCAAAAGGTCCATTTGATTGAGCAAAAGGTCCATTTGATTGAGCAAAAGGTCCATTTGATTGAGCAAAAGGTCCTTTTTAGGGACAAAAGGTCCATTTGATTGAGCAAAAGGTCCTTTTTAGGGGCAAAAGGTCCATTTGATTGAGCAAAAGGTCCATTTGATTGAGCAAAAGGTCCTTTTTAGGGGCAAAAGGTCCATTTGATTGAGCAAAAGGTCCATTCGATTGAGCAAAAGGTCCATTTGATTGAGCAAAAGGTCCTTTTTAGGGGCAAAAGGTCCATTTGATTGAGCAAAAGGTCCATTTGATTGAGCAAAAGGTCCATTTGATTGAGCAAAAGGTCCATTTGATTGAGCAAAAGGTCCTTTTTAGGGGCAAAAGGTCCATTTGATTGAGCAAAAAGTCCATTCGATTGAGCAAAAGGTCCATTTGATTGAGCAAAAGGTCCTTTTTAGGGGCAAAAGGTCCATTTGATTGAGCAAAAGGTCCATTTGATTGAGCAAAAGGTCCATTTGATTGAGCAAAAGGTCCTTTTTAGGGGCAAAAGGTCCATTTGATTGAGCAAAAGGTCCATTTGATTGAGCAAAAGGTCCATTTGATTGAGCAAAAGGTCCATTTGATTGAGCAAAAGGTCCATTTGATTGAGCAAAAGGTCCTTTTTAGGGACAAAAGGTCCATTTGATTGAGCAAAAGGTCCTTTTTAGGGGCAAAAGGTCCATTTGATTGAGCAAAAGGTCCATTTGATTGAGCAAAAGGTCCTTTTAGGGGCAAAAGGTCCATTTGATTGAGCAAAAGGTCCATTCGATTGAGCAAAAGGTCCATTTGATTGAGCAAAAGGTCCTTTTTAGGGGCAAAAGGTCCATTTGATTGAGCAAAAGGTCCATTTGATTGAGCAAAAGGTCCATTTGATTGAGCAAAAGGTCCATTTGATTGAGCAAAAGGTCCTTTTTAGGGGCAAAAGGTCCATTTGATTGAGCAAAAAGTCCATTCGATTGAGCAAAAGGTCCATTTGATTGAGCAAAAGGTCCTTTTTAGGGGCAAAAGGTCCATTTGATTGAGCAAAAGGTCCATTTGATTGAGCAAAAGGTCCATTTGATTGAGCAAAAGGTCCTTTTTTAGGGGCAAAAGGTCCATTTGATTGAGCAAAAGGTCCATTTGATTGAGCAAAAGGTCCATTTGATTGAGCAAAAGGTCCATTTGATTGAGCAAAAGGTCCATTTGATTGAGCAAAAGGTCCATTTGATTGAGCAAAAGGTCCATTTGATTGAAAGGTCCATTTGATTGAGCAAAAGGTCCATTTGATTGAGCAAAAGGTCCTTTTGACTGGTACAGAAGATATTGCGCCCGCCTCATAGGAAGATACGGTGCCCGCCGTATCATCCTTCATATTTTAAATTCCAGTTTTAACTATTAAAATTGTTCGAAAGTTCTGATCTTGATCAGTTTGGGGCTTTCTGACCGCACTCTATCCGAATCCTAAGAGAATCTGAGATACGGTGCCCGCCGTATCATAGCCCATATTTTATAAAGTGATTTTTAATAATTTAAACAAAAACTTTTGCATAATTTTTTATCACTTTGGGGTTTCTGACCACGCTCTATCCGAATCCGTAGAGACCTAAGCTCCTTTCCCCTTCGAGTTGAATCTTGCAGCACACACACGGACACCTCTAGCGAATCATTATAGTTCATAGAAAGGTGCTGTTCGAATGGGCGCCATGGGTGTCGAGTGGAGCGCCGTGTCTACTCGGGCTGATCAATGGCACATTGCGACCTTGCCATCCGTTCTAAACCTAATTTTATCGATCCGCGCTAACATTTAAGTAATTTAGCTATTTAGGCACCTAGATAGCGAAGACAACTACCGCGTGAATGAATCCTCATCACCGAGGCTTCAACAGAATTTGAAATAATGAGGAATCCAGGGTTTGTGGGGATTTCTATATTTTTAGGATAAGCCGCGGCAAAATCGCCGTCTTGGCATAAGAATTGGCTTGCTGGCGACGAATGTAAAAGAGCGAGATAATAGGCTTATATTGTTTCCAGGTTTTGCCCGAGTTTTCTAGGCTTTTGAGCTTCTAAAGCTTCCACAACGTTGGCGGTCTTGGAAGGTTTTTTATGGACCTGATTTAGCCCGGAAAGCCTAGCTATTTTAGACATTCTCGATCATCTCTGAAAATTCCAGTGTCGACTTATCGACTTTCGCCGGATGATCGAGCGACGACAAGCAATTTTACGGTCTCGCTCGCCCCCAGCTGAGCGCCAAGGCACACAGATTGCCGGCGGCAATCGCCGTGTTCTCCCGAATGATAACAGCACAGGAAACGGATCCCGTGCAAAAAACTTTGCCCAATGCTTCTACCGAAGGAAAGATAGCTGGACATCTGCCGGGCGGCGCGGGAAAGAATTGGGATTAGCCAGTGTGTTCAAATAGGGAAATTCAATTTTCGGAAGCTCTAAAATGCGAAACTATAAATTGCAGTATCTGTATATTTCAAAATATATACATTTTTTAATATCTAATCTTCAAAATCTCTAAATTTCGGGCTAGCAGTCTAATTAGCTTCGATGGCTACTTACATTAATCGAAAACCCTTCGAAATATATCGAATCCGGTGGATTTTGGCCATGCTAAAAATGAGAGTTTTCTGAAATTTAGATGTTTTCTGAAATTTTTATTTAGATATTGTGAAAATGACTGTCTTTTCCATTGTTTTCCATTTTTCGTTGTCCTCGATAGCTTTTCCTATATGATTTTTTTGCAGGTATGCCGCCTAGCACTCGAAAGAGAGGCAAGGCACAAGAAAAACCTGAAGAGGTACGCAAATTTGGTGCTGAACATCAAATTTTGTTTTTCAGGAAACGCCCGCGCCCGAGCCGCCGGCTCCAAGGGTGACCCGTGCCGGCAAGCGCGTAGGTTTTAACTTGTACGATATATTTTGTTTCTTTTAGCGAGATTCGAGCGCCTCTACCACCTCATCTACCGCACCACCATCGAAGAAAAGGCAACTTGCCGGTGAGCATTAGTAGCATTCATTTGGAAACACGGAAAAGATGCCTAAAAAATTGCTTTTTGACTAGTGATCCGTTTTTAAAGATGGATCCCGTTTAGATGAAGCCCCGACCGACGTCGTGAAGCCGGAAGAGCCGGAGGCCACCAAAGACGAGCCAATCACGCCGTGCTCCAGCGAGCCGGCCACCTCTGCCAAGCCTAGTCGACGCAAGAGCGCTAGGTTGCAGAAAGAAGATAGCCCGAAGCCGCTCGTCGAAGTGGTAAATTGTTTTTCTGTAACTTTTGGAGGTATTTTGGTATTTAGGATCCTATTTTGCTCTTTTAGCAAGAGGAAACGTTTCTAAACGGTTTTTACTGCCCCGCGTCGTAAAAAAACTTTTCAAAACGTCGATTTGTGACCAGATTCTAAATTTTAGGGAGTTAAGTTTTTAAGTATTCTTTTCACTTGAAATCTAGCTAAATTTTGCTAAAAAAACTCATTAAAGGACTGCCTGAGGCGTTTCTATGTACATCTGGACTTACGGGGAAAAACTAGTACTGCTCGGAAATACCGAAAATTCCCTTTTCCATAACACTTTCCGGAAATATCGTTCCATTTCAGTCAACGGTGAAGAAGCCGGGTCGCCCGCGTGGCCGCCCGCGCACTCGCCCCTCCGAGGGCACCCCTATCCCTGCCGAGCGCAAGCCGAAAGTTGAACCCGGATCGGACACGGCCCTCGTTGCCTACTCTGATTCTCAGGGTGAGGGATTTTTCATAAAGTTCAAATTGCTTTGAAGAATCGGCCGATGAGCGCAAACCGGAGCGGGAAACCGACGAGAATGCTGGCCCGTCCACAGAGATGGATATTGGTGAGTTAATCCTTTTTGTTTTGGCAAAACTGCTTTTCCAGATTCAGTCGAAAAAGTCGACGAAACGCCTGACCAACGGGAGGCTGATGGCCCGGAAGTGATTGTGAATGGGGGAAGAGCCGAAGAAGCTCAGCCCGAATCGAAGGTCACCCCGAAAGAGGAGCCGCTCGAATCGATCGGTAAAATTTAGCCTGAATTGGTTCTGGTCCTTCTGAGAAAATCAGCCCCGAATTTAATGGTTCTACAACTCCAAAAAAAAATGACGAAAGAAGCGAAAGAATTTTCAAATTAATTTTTTTTCTATAAATTTTTGCGATCAAAAACTACGAAAAACACTTTAGAAATACATGCGATATATTATCAACGGACGAGGTATAGGCGCCAAAAACCAAAATGAGTCGTCCCCTCTGCTTTCAATTAAATTTTTTGCGTTAAAAACCTAAAAATACGTCTTTTAATAATGTTTAAACTCAATTTTTTATTAAAAAGAAATTTTATGTAATTTTTTTAGAAGAGCCTCCGCTTGAACCTGCCCAACAAACGGTGCTCGCCGCCGTGCACGAGCCCAAAGAAGAGCCCGCGGAGCTGGTGGAACTTCCAGAGGAAGGAGCGCGTCAAGAAGAGCCACCATTGCCGGACGTTGGCCAATCGTCGTCAGTCGGCTCGCCGGCGGACAGTGACGACACGAACAACGAGGACATCATCCCCAGCGAGACCAGCCCGTCCGGTACGGTTTTCTGGTAGCTTGGGGAGGCAAATTTCTCCGGTTAGGCACATTTTTCTGATAGCGTTTTATCGTGTAATAAACAAATTTGTGCCCATTTCTGAGAAATTCACAGTTTTTCATAAAAAAAGTATGTTAAATGGAAATGCTATTTTTGCAAAATATTGAATTGTAGAAAATTTCAAAATATACGTAAAAACTAAAAAAGCCGATCTGTTTATTTTAAAAGCATTGAAAAAGGGTTTTAGAAGGTTTAGTGTTCGAAAACTACGAAAAAGGGCCAGAAAATATTTGTTATTTTATTGCCGGGCAGATATAAGCTAAATTTTAATGTTTTTTCTTTGCTTCGGTCAAGCAAATGTAAGAACCTGTGTTTTTTAAAGTTTACAAACCGTTTTTTTCAGACATGGACCTGACGGACGCGGCTCCGGATTCCGTGCCGACCGTGGTCGGCGATTCGGCGAATGATGTCAAGCCTTCGGGTTGCATGCTCGAGATGACGTTGCCCACCGAGCAGCCGGAGCAGAATAACGACCAAATGGAGCAGGGTATGCTATTTGTAAATGTTTATTAGATGAAAGTTTATTAAAGCTACAGTTGCAGCAACTCTATCTGTTAAAAAAACATATCCTTTGACCAAAACTCGCTGCCGTGCGTATTTTATTGTATTGCGATTGCGAATCTATCAATTTTAGAGCAACATCACGTCGCGGAGGAGAAGGTCGAAATCGACAATGAAGCTTCACCGGAAATCGGCTCCGAGGGAATTCCTTCCCATGGTGAGTTTTTCGAGCATTTTCTTTAGCGAGTTTTCAAACGTCAATACATAATTCGTTTTTAGCCTGCTCCACTGAGCCGACCACTTCGGCGCCAGCTGATGAAGCCGTTCGCGAGCCCAAGACCGAGCAGTTCGAGGGCACCGAACGGCCCCTAGATCGCCCGCCGAGCCCGAACTTCAATATGGACGACGTCTTTGAGGTCCGTGTTATTTGCCCGAAAGATCATTATAAAAATAGTTAATTTGGAGTTTATGTTATAACTTATAGGATAGGAATTTAATATTAAATTCAACCTTTTTAGAACGATGAGATGGAGATATCGGACGGCGAGGGCGAAGATTTCGAAATGAGAGAAGAAAAGGCACAAGTTGCTTCGGCACACAACAGCGCCGAGTTTTACGCCACGCAATTCTTGCAGGTATGAAAAAGGATATTTTTTTGCGTTTTGGTATTGGGTTGTTAGCGGGGGAGGGCTTATTTTAATTTTCGCGTCTGCTTACCCATCGGTTAATAGTTTATCGTGTACCTTTATAGCGTTTTGCTTGTTTTGATTGCTAGGAAATTCTAGAAATATTTTTAAAAAATTTAAAATTAAGATGTTGCTTTTTTTCGGCCAGTTTTCGTACATTGTTGCCAAAAAAAAAACAGTTAAAAAATTACCCAAAAAGATCCTTCCCCGTTAACAGTTCAGTATCCAAATCTCTGCTGCTACAAAATTTTAGCTAAGAAAGAAACGTAATGTTTAGATTGCTACGACTGCTCCTCCACCCCCGCCGCCACCTCCCGAGCCCCAGCAAAGCAAGATGCCCGAGTTTCAGCTGCTGCACCGCAACGACTATCGGATCGATTGCAAAGATGTGAGTTTTGGCCCTGGATTTACAAGAAAACGTCTTTCTTGTGACTCTTGCGTCTTTATCCTGTTTTTCTTTTTTATTTCCGTTTTATGAAAGAGACCAGGAATGGCCAGTGACGTAATTCGGCTAATTTTGGGAATATTTTAGCAGATTTAACAGGTTTCGAGTGAAAAACTCTCAGAAACCTCGAAGGTTTTTTAAACTGAAGATTATTAGTTAAAAATCGGCCAAAAATTCGATTGAAATGGTTGTATTTTTAATAGAGTTTTGTAAAGTTTGTACGTTTAGGAACACTATCGCTATTTATATTAGACAAAGTGCTTACTAATGAAAAAAGTTCGTCCCCCGAATGCCCCGAAAGCACCATTTTTTCTTATTCGCTCTATTAATTTATTATAATTTCAGAGAAGCCTCTGCGATTACTGCACATGCCGAGAGGGGAACTGCACGCGTCAGTGTATCAACTGGAATTCATTGGTTAGCGCTTTTTCTCAGCCTATCATACTTACTTTGTGTTTCAGATCCAATGCCCGGACGGATGCCAAAATCCTGGATGCACCAACAACTTCTTTAGAAGGGTCAGAATTTTGCGATTTGTTAAAATTTTTAAACTTTTCGAAAGATTTTTATCTTAAAAAGTTCTTTGATTCTCGAGCTTCATCAAATAAGCTTCATATACTTCAAAAAAAAATATGTACATTTTCAGCGCCGATTCGCCGCCGTGCAGCCGTTCGACGCTGGCGCGAAAGGGTGGGGCGTTCGCGCCGAGGAGACGATCAATCCCGGCCAGTTCATCATGGAGTACGTGGGAGACGTCATCGGTGCTGAGACGGTAAGTTATCTCGTTCTCTCGCTCTCTCGCTCCATCTATCTCTCTCTCTCTCTCTCACTCTCTCAAACTAATAGCGTCTTTCTAGGTTGATCGCCGGCTGAGGAATTACGAAAAGGAGGGAATCAAGCACCACTACGTCTTCGCTGCTGGCAACGGTAAATTAATTAGGTTTTCTCAAATATCCATATTTTTAGGCGTTTTTATCGACTCGACGAAAAGGGGCAACATGATGCGCTTCGTCAACCACTCGTGCAATCCGAACGCCGTCGCTAGAGATGTACGTTTTTCGGTCGTAAAAATTCCTATAAATTCCTGCTAGTCGGGCCTTTCCTGAAGATTCTCTGCTAGCCTGCCCGTTCCTAAAACATCTCTGCTAGCCGGCGTTTGCCTAAGATATCAATTTTCTCTTTTTTAGTGGTTCTCGGATGATAAGCCGGTGATCGGCTTCTTTGCGACCCGAACGATCCTGCCCGGCGAAGAAATTACGTTCAACTACCGCTTCTCCAACAACGGCGAGCCGCAAAAGTGCTATTGCGGCGCCGACAACTGCCAGGGCATCATCGGCAGCACGAGGACCAACAAGAGCCGACAGGCCGCGGTAAGCTAAAGTTTTTCTGTTCTGCGGAATTTCTCCTAAAAGCGGATTTGGATAGCAGCGTACTATCGTATTTAAAAATCATTTTAGTAAAATTTATCCAGAATTGAAGTGGAAACCTTTTTTGACAACTTGAAACCGATTCAAAATCTGAATTTTTGGCGAAAATTGGCCATTTTTACTTGGAAAATCGACATTTTCGGTATTTTTTTGACGTTTTTTCGTAATAGGAAAATTTTTTAAAGTATTTCGTTGATTTATATCCCAAAATCGATCCTGATTTTTGAAAAAAATTAAAAATCCCGGAAAACTTATTTGTTTTTAGGGCCAGGACGCGCCCAATTTCGACGAGGGCAACAGCAGCGACGAAGAGGTGGATGATGATGAGCATGTGGTACGTATTTCCTTCTACTCTTTGAATTGGCCGCTTCAGGACGCACGTCGCGCTGAACGCCGTCTCTACCAGAACCAACTGCTCGACCAGCTGAGCACGTCGCGCGTCGCCAGCGAGATGATCGACGATCTCGTCAGTCTGCTGGTCAGTGTTGATTTCTTCTTTCGATTTTGCGCGATGATTTTGAAATTGCGTTATGCGAATTTGTGAATTTTCGGGACCCCGAATCTTCATTATACAGGGCTTGCGTTATATCGGATTTTCGTACTGCCAAATTGTCATTACATCAAATTTTTCTTTATAACATAACATCAAAGTTCATAAGCCCGATGTTCCTAACATAGAATTTAATTTTCCGAATTTCACAATGTCGAATTTTCTAGATACCGAATTTTGGTAGTGCCGAATGTTTGTATTTCCGAATTTTCTGTATTTCGAAATTTCGTGGCGCCGGATTCTCGTAGTGCCAAATTTACATGATACGGAAATACCGTAATATCGAATTTTTGTAATTTCCAAATTGCGCGTTTTCGTAATAGTACGTAATTGTACCCAGCCCGCTTTGATCTTCATAATTGGAAAACACGGAGCCTGGCTGATCTAACGAAAATTCCGCGTCTCGTTCATTAGCGGGGGATTTTGGGATTCTGGAAAATTCCGCATATGGCAAATTCTTCAGTGTAAAATTCGAGCATTAGAACGATTCGGCGTTATCAAATATATCGCCAATTGCGAATGAATTCTCTTTCTTTCAGAACAATCGCAGCGACCCGTGCGAGCTGCGCGTTCGGTCGCGCGTCATCGAGATCCTCAAGGAGCATCATGGCCTCGGGAACATCGCCTTCGTCCGCGGCCTCGTCGACGCGGGCGGGCTGCTGAAATTCGGACATTGGCTGCGCCGGCGCTACACCAGCAACACTATCGGTACGCTTTGAGCTCAAATAATTTTTTACTTTTTCATTTTCTCACTTTCTGTCGCTCGCTCTCTCTCTCTCTCTCTCTCTCTCTCTCTGTCTTTCTATCTATCTCGCGCGCTCTCTCTCGCTCTCTAAAAAGCCTCTTTTAAAAGCCCTTTAAAACCCAGGGTTTGCGTTATTTTCCATTTCCATGTTACATATTTCCATTTTTCAGGCCACCACGTCACCCTGGTCGAGCGCATCGAGCTGACCACGCAAATCCTCGAATTTTTCAACCTGTGCCCGCTGTCCAACTTCCATACCCAGGTAAGGGATTTTTGTAGGGATATTAAGAAATCAATAAATATTTAGTTGACTCGTTTTTAACAGATATCTATAAATTATCAAATTGTTTTAGGTGGCCCCCACCACGCTTGAAGCAACCGTGCACGCCATCGAGGCTGAGCGCCTCGACGAGATTCCCGGCGCCGAGGAGTATGCCGTTGGTGACACACTCGGTAATTATGTTTCGAAGCCTTTTTGTATTATTTAATTAGCATTTATTTATTTTTAAGATTGGAATTACAGATATGGTTAATATTAAAAAAGTTTATTTTTTCAGAGAAGATTTTCGGCGAGCTCTGCCCAGATGAGGCCCACGTCGATCGAACGTTGCCCGTGTTACACGAAAAGGTAAATTTGGCTATTTTTATAATGATTTGGTTAAATTCGAAATGGGTCACGAATAGAAAACCTTTCAAAAAAAGGTTTAAAATTTTAAAAAATTGGCATTTTTGTCGTTTTAGATAAAAAAAATCGGTTTTCCTCCTAAAATTGTAACTATTTTTTGGTTTTTTTTAATGAAATGTTGTTGTTTTTTTTATCCACAGAAATAGTTAAGACAGCATAATAACGCCGCTTGTTATCTAAAAAAAGCCTGAGATTGCGCCTAAAAATAACCTTTTTTTAATCTTAATAGCGGGTTTATTGATCGCATTTTCAAAATCCAGTAATGAAAATTATTAATTAATAGAATTCTAATTCTTTTAGATGATCATCCAGGCCCAAAAAGTCTCGCGGAAATGGGCGTTCTACGGCAAGAAATTCGTGAAAAAGGCGAGGGTCGAGCGCTCGCCATCGCCCGCGCGGGAGCCCGAAGGAGTCCGGCTGCGCTCCGGTCGTACGGTTGTGGGTGAAGAGGAGCGTCCCGTCCGCGCTCAGCTGCCCTACTCCCGATATCAACAACCACCGTCACTGTACGTTGTTATTTTTATTTTATTTTATTTATCTTTATTTATTTCGCACTTCGTTCTAAGGATTAAATTTTTGTAACGTAAATTGAGGAAGGGTTTCTAACCTATTTTTGACTATTCCTGAATGTCAAAACTGACCAAATTGATTATAAAATACAAAAATATAGATTTTTCGAGATAAATGGCCGATTTCTGTCCAAATTTTCAAGAAAATTATTTCTGTGAATTTTTGATTTTTTTCATGTGAAGTATAGTTAGCTTCTATGAAAAAAAAACTATTAAAATACTTTTAATGATATAAAAAATTCGCCCCCCCTCCCGCCGATTCAAACTAATTTATCGAAAAGTGACATTTGCATCATTTTCGTCATCATCGAAAACTTTGTTGCGAAAGTTATTAAGACTAAGTTTTATTTAGAATTTGAAATTGTCCTGCTTGGTCCCCCCCGCGCCCCTAAAACTCATCATCAACCCTCCTTTTCAGCGAGTTCGGCAAGAGCGCGGAGGCGACGCATTTCGGCCGGCGCAACATTCACCACCACGCGCGCGACTGGCGCCAGGATGGCCTCGGATCGGTTGGGGGAGAGACGAGGTCGCGCTACAGCGTCGACAAGGATGACTGGCAGACGAGGGCCGCTTCTGGCACATGGCCGCAGCGTGGTTTCGGTGGGTTTTTACTTTTTTTACGCGTTGATTCTGTCTCTCTCTCTCTCTCTCTCTCTCTCTCTCTCTCTCTCTCTCTCTCGCTCTCGCCTCTCTCTCTCTTTGACGGTAAAAAAGCAAAATAGGTTATTTATTGCCATTTTTCCAGCATTCTTCCGTGGCACTCACCATCAGCCTCAACGACACCACCACAATGATCGCCAACATTCGTCTCGCGTCGTCTCGTCAGAGGATAATTCGGAATCCAGCCACGGTGACAGCCGGCGGAGGCGCAGCTCCGGCGGCGGAGGATCGCGATCGGGCTCACCGGAATGGCGGCGGAATGGTGGGCAATAATTTGAGATAATATTAAGGTTTTTTAGTTCGCCCAATGCAATCGCCACCGCCGAAGAAGCGCCAGTCTGGCTTCGCGTCGCAACTGCCGCGCGGCTGCTCGCCTAGCGTTTCGGAGGTGGTCGTCAATAAGGTAATATATCTCTCCCGCTCGCTCTCTCTCTCTCTCTCTCTCTCTCTCTCCTTCTCCCTTTCTCCATCTGCTGATTCCAGAAAATTGAAATATCTAATTTTAACTACGCGTTTCGGTATTTATCTCTTTACCGTTCTGTCTCTCTCCCTCTCTCTCTCTCTCACTCTCTCTGCCTCTCTCTCTATCCCGCTCTCTCTATCTCTCTCATTCTCGCTCTTTTTCTCTCGCTCACCGCTCATTTCTATTTTAGGCAACTACCCCGGGACTTTGCAAGAATCCACAACTCGAGAAGCCGAGCCCACAGAATGGCGTCAACTGGACCCAACCGCAGTCGGATGCCGAACGGCTTCTACAAACGCGCGAATGCTCCTTCAAAATAGCCCGCCAAATGATCCAGCGCTACGTGCAATGCTCCATTGGTTAGTTTAGATTAGAAATTAAAAAGAAATAATGGTGAAATTCTTTTAATTCTGGATTTGCTAAAATTATATTAGCTAAATAAAGGAGTGAAAAAACTTTATTACTGTCTTTTTTTTTCAGAGCTCGGGCTCTCGAATGAAGACGCATTCAACCAAGTCATCTCCCGTCTGAGCAACGACTCGGACGCGCCACCGAAGCCGGTCAAAGAGCGTCCTCTTGAAGAACCCGCGAAGCGGCGCCCGTCCGAAACGCCGACCTTCGGATCCCACGACGAACAGTCGAACTCCAGGCCCGAGTCCTCGGGATCGGCACAAATGGAGTTGCAAAGACCACCGGTAGGACGATTCGATTTTCGACTTCATGCTCACTTTTTCAGAGCCGCTCGAAGCCGCTCGACCAGCGCTTGGTGGAGCTGAAGCTCCTTTCGGAGGTGGGAATTTGCTTTTTAGGTTCTTTTGCGTTATCGGGGGAAGCAACAGACTTTTTTAGTATAAGCCTCAAAATGCCTGGAAGATTTTTATTGGTGTTTTTGGTAAATTTGATTATATTTAAACTAGGAAACTATCTCAAGCTGAAATATTGCAATTTTGTTCAAAAATCGGCATTTTTGGTCAAAAAAATCGATGTTTTTAACAAGAATTTGTAAAGTTTTTACGTTTAGGAATATTAAAAAAAGTTTAGCTACTTCCGCTATTGATATCTGAAAAATTGGATCCTAAGAAATAACATTTTTGTTTAGATTAGTTTTATTTACGCGTAGAGGGAAAACTAGATTTTTCGATTGAATCAAATTTTTTTATTCGCACGCGTTTAGGCCTCGTTCTCCAAGACGGACACCCTGGCCGAGCCGCACATCGTCGAGAAGCGCCCCTGCACCCCGCCCGAGCCCTGCCCACCCTCGGCCGTCGAGCCGGTGGTGTTCACGTGGAAGGAGATCAACCTCGGCCATCAGACCTACTACTTCAACAAGGTTTTTACGAGTTTTGGGCACCTTAATTATCGTTTTTAGGAGACCTTGGAAACGTCCTGGGAGCCTCCGGTTCCCCGCGATCAAATCGACCCGGCCGACGAGCTTTCCAACCAATTGGTAAGGTTTAACTTAAATTTATTACTTTATAAACCTATTTAATCGGTTTAGAACCGATTGATTTAAAGTATATTTTTTAATAATTCTTATTATTATAATTAGGGGTTGATGTAATAATTTTTAAATTTACTATTATTAGTTACTAGCTTTAACTATCATTAAAAACGAAAATTTTTTGAATTATTTACATTTTTAATTTTTAATTTTCGTTTACATTTTTAATTTTTAATTTTCGGTTACATTTTTAATACACCCTTTTCAGGCAAAAGAACGACATCAGGCCCACGAGGCCAAACTGGAAGCCGAAAAGCTGGCAGGTCCCAACGCCGAAGAGGAGAAGCCGGCAGCCGAAAAGCCGATCGTCGAACTTGCCGCTGTCGTCGAGCCGAAGGATGTGAAGAAGGAGCCGAAGGAAGAAGTCGAGGTATAGAATTTCTTATTTTGTGGTATATAGAATCGTCCAATAGCTTATTAAATATTTGGAATAATTCTAATATTTTTTAGATCAAGCCGGAACCGCATCTCCTCGTGCCCAGACAGATCGTCGATAAGAAGCGCCGTTCCTCACTTCCGAGTGACCGCTGCGACGTCACCTCGTCGTGCGCCACCATCCAAGCAGAGGTCACCGATGAGGCCAAGAAGAAGTTCCGCTCCAAGATCAATGATGTACGTCTTTTCAAAAAAATTTCTAAATTTTCTAAATGGTTTTGAAATTAAATTATAGCTAAATTCTGTTTAAATTCTATTTTATTTAAAAAGGATACGAATATCATTTCTAGCATCGTACGGTAGCATTCACTTTGAAGATCCTAGCTTATTCTTTTCAGGTGGTCCAAAGCTACCTGAAGCAATTCCGGCACAAGCTCAGCCGCGACAAAATGCACGAATATTCCCGCGACGTGAGTTTTCTAAATTTTCTATAACTAAAAATATTTTTTTCAGGCTAACAAGGGCTTCCTGAAGCGCCACCTTTTCAAATATCCCGGTGACTATCACTGGAAACAGCATGTGCACGAGGCTGCCAAGGAGTTCACGAAGCACTACATCGACCGGCATGTTACCGTGAGTTTCCGGTGGTCGATTTCTAATCTTTCCGTTAGAGATTCCCGGTTCTTTCGCATTATCGGGGGGACGAATTTTTTCTAAAAGTCTAGAGTAATTTAACTATATATTTAAAATGAAAAACGATCAAAAAAGTAATAATTTTTGAGCTGTAATTTTAGTCGAAAATCTCGATTTTTTTTGTATTTCTTTAATCAAAACAGTAACATAATCGTAAGTATTTTATTAGTATTTTAATAAGGAAATTTCAATTAGAAAAAGTTTCTAAAAACGTAAAAATTGGCAATTTTTGCGCAAAAAAAATCGATATTCTTGTATTTTTCTAATGAAAATTATAAAGTTTTTCGGGTTTACGTATCGTAAAAAACATTGTAATAACTATATTATATTAAAAAAAATTGATGAAAGTTGGTCCCCCCCTCGATAAGGCAAAAGAACCGCTGTTTTTATTGTTTTTAGACCCTAATTTAATCTTTAATTCCAGCCGTACCTCGAGCTCGACGCGATCTCCTCAACGACCTGCCTGCCCGCCAGCGGCTCTTCTTGAATCTCACATTTCAACGCCAAAGCTTTTGCCCCCCATATCCGGTGCCCGACTTCAAACAAATTTCCCCCGTTTTGCCCCCCGAATATTCCCCCCAAAAAAGCCATCGGCTCCCCGTTGCTCTCGTTTGTTTTCCACTGCCATTACTAGGTATCGCTGATATATGATCGGGCTAAACTTTATTCCCTCCCCAGCCGGGCGGTTCCCAAAATTTTTCGACATTTCCGATTTTTGTCGGGATTTTGACTCGGTCATTTGATAGAGCATCAAAAAGTACACTATGCGTCTTAATTACACCCCAAAATACTGTAATGTAAAAAAGTTATAGCGAAAAAACTAGTTTCGGGACTACCGGCTGGGTGAGTAAAGTAAAGTCTACCCCTCTAACAAAGTAACCTCAATACCGGTTTTAGGCCCAGTGCTGGAATCTTGTCCCCCCCGATATTTCTTCGCCCCCGATTTTTTGTTAAACCCCTCAGGTACCGCCCGGCCCGACCGGAAATTTGGCGCTTCGCCGGCGAAGCCGCCGCCCACCCTCTCTTTCTCCCCGCGTTTCCGCACGTTCGATGTATAAATAAAATTGTTCAAAGATTTCTAGGCCCTTTTTCGATTGCCCCACGCCCGCCCCATGTTGTCTTTCCAAACGTTTACTTCAAGTTATTCTCGTTATAATAATAAATTTTATTCTGAAAGTCGTTGCGCGTGTTTATCTGTTAGATTTAGGTTCGGTTATTTTATTGAAGGTTTTGAAGCCGGTTGGAATATTGAAGGATCTGGAGAGGACTGGCAGCCATTTCGCGTGAACTCGACCATTTTCATAGCCCAATTTTTGACGAAAATTGAACATTTCTCGAAGTTTTTGCGAGTTTTAATGTTTGAAACGCAGTTCTGATCTTTAGGACTAAGACTTATTGCAACAATTTAAAAAGTGCTGAATTAAGATTTGCAATATGTGTAAAAATGAATAAAACAATGCTAAAAAATGTTTCCAAAAGTTCAGCTAAGATCTTTGTGGGAAATAGTTAGGCGAAACGACGTTTAGGCTTTAGACGATGTGACCGGAAGTCCGAAGATATAGAAATCTAGGGCGAAAGGCGCGATATACGCCTTATACATTTTAAACTGATGTAAAAGTTGTAAAATTTGTTGTGAAATGCGTATATAGTTAAGCGCTAGATCTCAAACAGTGTTTCAGAATCGCGTTTTAAAAACATCGTAATCTCTTGCCAATTTTGCATCTGAGGTTCGAACATTTTCTACACAATTTCAGGCATGGCCGGCCGGGTGAAAGTGCAAATCGACCATGCCCCGAATCTGTTCTACCATCGCGTGCTGCTGGCCTGGAAGACGTCGCTGGCCCCGGATGTAATGACTATCACCTTTTTTCCAAAATTTACTTTTTTTTCAGGACCGACAGCACCACGTGCTGTTCAACGCCGCCGCCAGCCTCAAGCGCTACCCGTTGCCCATTCAGGGGATTGCAGACCTCAAGCGGCTGAAAGGTATTAATTAATTTGATCAATTTTAAGTATTTTTCGTTACTATATTTCGATTGGGATCAAAAGCTTATAAAAAATCTTTAGATCGGCCAGTTTTGGTTGAAAAATCCGTATTTTTGTGCTTTTTTGATCAAAATTTGTAAAGATTTTGCATTTAGGAATAGTAAAAAATTGCTTGGAAATGCTTCCTCTATTTTATTAGGAATACTTGACGCTTACAAAAATCCCCCCTTCCCACGATAAGGCGAAAGCACCAAAATATATCTACTTTTAGGCATTGGCGATCAGATTGCTGTCCGTCTCGACGCCTGCTGGGAGGTGTACGTCGAGAATCTGGGCAAAGAACCCACGCATCGAGACGTGAAGGTATGGCCTTTTTGCATAGGAATAGTCAAGCGATAAAATTCAGTAAAAAAAAATTAATTGTTGGGCGAAAAACCTATTTTTAATTTTTTCATCAATTGCTTCAATTTCTTACACTTAGAAATAGCGAAAAACGGTTGGAAACGTTTTCCCTCTTTAGGATACAAAAAAATTGGACAGAAAAAGTTGGTATCCGCCCCGTAATGCGAAAGCACCTCGATAATTTTGAAAGTGCAAAAATTGTTTTTGAAGTGAAATTTGCGTTGAAGTGGCTGGCCACCGAAAAACGATCTCGATAACGAATGAAACGATTTTGGCTTAAATTCTTTCAAAAATGATGAATTTGGGGGCGCAGACCGTTTTTTTTTTGAAGCGTCGAAAATGGTCCGAACATCGAAAATCGCTACCTCAACAGACTCTTAATTTTAGTTATCCGAGATTCAATTTAGGCCCTGAAAAACGACGACGTCGTGCCGCTGCTCGGCGCCACCAAGTCGGCCAAGGCCCGCGAAAAGGAGAAGCGCCGCGGGGATTGGATGCCCGCGCTGCCGGTAACTTGGTGCTTTTCTCTTTTCATGGCTTTTTTAGGGCCCATCCAAAGCCCCTGCCAACTCGGACGATGAATTCAGGGAACCGGATGCCCCACCAAAGGTCTGGTTTTCCAATTCAGAAGAATTTTTCCTTTTTAGAAAAGGCCCAACATCCAGCGCAACAATAATGGAAGTCAGGACAAACCGGTAATTTCGATTGAAATAGTAAAATTGGGGTTTTAGGGTCCCTCCCGGAAAACTACAGGAAAACCTTCGCCGGCCAAGACTCGACCGGCTAGGCGAAATTGGGCGGATGAAGATGATGAGGTGAGAAAGTCGTTTTTATTGTTTTCGATGGCTCTCTTTCTCTCTCTCTCTCTCTCTCTCTCTCTCTCTCTCTCTCTCTCTCTCTCTCTCTCTCTCTCTCTCTCTCTCTCTCTCTCTAGCTCTCTCTCGCTAACTGGCTCCTTCAGGGTTAAAACCCTCGGAAAACGGGTGACAGTTTCCCAAAGAATCGCTGCTCGTTGGCCCTCGGCTGTTTTGGGCAGCTAGCGGAGATGCTTTCGGAAATTAGAGGGACGATTTTCATTTCTCAATGCCTTTAAAAGTGGATAACCGGGTTTACAGCTTGGCCTTGATTCTTTCTCTCGTTCTGGTGCTGTCTCGATCGTTCTCATTCTCTCTCTCTCTCTCTCTCTCTCTCTCTCTCTCTCTCTCCCTCTCTCTCTCTCCCTTTCTCCCGGTCTCTAGCTTCCTAGATTGATCTTTTGTTGTTTTTAGTTCCGCGAGACTCCTGGATCGTCACTGGATGGTTTCGGAACCAAATCCCAAACTGCCGGCTCGTCACGCGCAGATGGTGAAGAAGTTCAATACCTTCGAATTCGGCCCGACGAAAAAGCCGAGGTATTTTGGATTCGAGAAATCACTACTTATCACCAATTTTGAGGTGATTCTGCTGTGCGACAACCGGGAGGTGTCCCGCAAATTCAAGAAGTCAGCGGGCCCCGTCGAGCACTTGATGAAGCTTGGAATTCGGGTCAGCCGGCTTTGATTTTATACGCGACGGATCGTTTTTTTTTCAAATCTTTTTTCAAGAACCACTTTTTCGAACATCGCGGTTTAGAAAAATCCGCTTTGATATTATTGGAAAAACGAGTTTCCAAAAAACTTACATTTCTTTTTTCTCACATTTTTCGAAAAATTAGGAGCTTTCGCATTATCCGGGGACAAAATTTTTGCTATAAGCCTAGAAACTTAATAGGCAATATTTTATTAGTGTTTTTAATAGAAGGTAACTATATTTAAACTAGAAAAACGATCTAAAAAGCTTTTTGAAAACTCAAAATTTGATCGCAAATCGGTCATTTTTGGTGGAAAAATCGATCTTTTAATATTTTTGTAAGAAAAATTGGTACGTTTTCAGGTTCAGGTTTTCAGGCGGAGGTTCGAACGCTGCCGGTCGGTGACTTTATGTGGGTGCTGAGGCGGTTGGACGGCCAGGAGATGGCCATGGAATGGGTGGTCGAGCGGAAGACGTGGGATGATCTCTCCCATTCCATCATTGGGGTCGTTTTGTTTTTTCATTTTCTATCAAACAGGCTCAGGGCCGATACGGTGACCAGAAGCGCCGCCTACGCCAGGCTCCAATGTCCAATCGCGTCTATTTGGTGGAGGGACGTGGGAATGGTGATGTCCGTTGTAATCAGGTGATTTTTTTGGACTCCGAAATGTTTGGGAAAAGGCTAGAAATCTCTAACTTAATAGGAAGTATTTTATTCTATTTCAACTAGAAAAACTATCTAAGCTGTAATCAGGTGATTTTTTGGACTCCGAAATGTTTTGTAAAAGGCTAGAAATCTCTAACTTAATAGGAAGTATTTTATTCTATTTCAACTAGAAAAAATCGTCTAAAAACTATCGAAAAAAATTTCAAAAAGGTATTTTGGTTAAAAACACGTTTTTGGGGTAAAAAAATCTTATTTTTTGTGTTTTTAATCAAAATTTTTAAACTTTTTGCGTTTAGGAATAGTAAAAAACAGTTCAGAAGCACCGCCCATATTTATATGACAAAAATTGGATCCTTAGAAAAAAAAGTTGCACCCCCCCCCCGATAATGCGAAAGCACCTTGCCTAATTAAATTCTTACTTTCAGGCCCTCGCCACGACGCTGACCCACGATCACTACCTGGTCCAGCGCTGCGAGACGGCCAAAGACACCGCCCACTTCCTCGAGATCCTCCACCACCGTCTCGTCCACCAGGCCGAAACCAATACGGTAGCTTAGCTTATATTAATTTCCAGAGTTAATATGTGTTTTAGATAAAATATTCGTTTTTCGATAAAGTCATGGATATAAATTTTGGAATTTAAAAATTTAGAAAACACCGAAAACGCTTCGAAATTTGAAGTTTCGAGTCAAAATCGGCAGTTTTTGTTCGAGAAATCGATAATTTTGTATGTTTTAGTAAAATATATGGGAAGCTCTAAAATGTAAGAAAAATGTTTTCGATGAAATTTTGGTCGAAAAACGACATTTTGTATTTTTTTAGTAAAAATTTGTAAAGTTTTACGCTTAGAAATAGTAAAAAAACAGTTCAGAAAAAATTCTTCTAATTTTAATTCGTCTATTTCTACTTTTTCATGTCAACAAAATTGGATTTAGAAACCCTCCCCCCGATATTGCCAGAGAACCTACAATTTTAATTTTAGTTGACCGGCGTTCGATACGACGATTTGGGCCAATTTGCGAAGAGCTCGAGCGTGCAAACTGTCCGCGACAGCTGGGTGCAAATGCTGCAGGTTTTTCAGTTTTTTAGGAAAATGTAATGTTTTTAGGTGTGCCCCGGAATGTCGCAGCGTCGAGCCGAAGCGCTGGCTGCCCGATTTCCTTCCCTGCCGTCCCTCGTCAGCTTCTTGCGCTCCGGCGAAGATCTTCAAACGGCCGCCCCTTGCCTGCCGAAATCCGTCATGCGCCAATTGATGCTCTTCTTCCAGCCCCAGCTTGACAAATAGTTCATCTACTTTTTCGGATGCTTTTGCAGCATTGGAGGGGGGGGGCAATATCCAATTTTTCGAATAAAATAAGTGTTTCTACATTTTTTACTATTCTAAACGTAAAAACTTTGCACACGTTTATTAAAAAAATACAGAAATTATCGGTTTTACGACCAAGAATTGTTTGCTAAATTTCCTCCGCTTGAAACTTAGTTTTTAATATACCTAAACGTAAAAACTTTAGAAGTTTTCTTTAAACATATGAAAAGATAGGTTTTTTGGACAAAAAATGGCCAATTCTCGATCAAAATTTCGCCCAAAAATTGTTTGCCAAGTTTTTAAAATTGTTTTCCACTTGAAATATAGGCAAATTTTACTAAAAATACTATTAAAATACTTACTATTACATTACTAGGCATTTCTGGACTTATAGGAAAAGTTGGGACCCCCCCCCGATAATGCGAAAGTACCCTTCTGTTCAAAAAGCTCTTTTTCATGCCTCTTACACAATTACTGGTGAATCGGACTTTGTTTTAGCCTTGCAAAACATTTCTCATTGTTCTATGCTCAAAGCCTCGTTTCCGTTAATACATTCGAAATCTTTGCTTTCGTTCTAAGCACTTGTATCTACTGAATCTTGTAGATTCTTTTCGAAAATATCATGCTTTCTTTCGCAAGAAAGATTCCCTTCTTTTTCGCTAATCCATTTATTTATTTCTCGCGTTGGTAACAGCAAAATAAAGAATTTATCAACTTTGAAATTGGCCTTTAGCTTGTTTTGTTACAGGCGTTATCTATTTGTGTTGTTTATTCTCGATCCATATTTGTTAGTTATTACAGCTTTTAGTATGTTTCTATTAGTTGAAAAAGTTTAAGGTTTTTCTAGTTGATTGCCTCGCGTTTTGAGCAGAAATTATAAGCGTTCGCTTTCCACGATCAAAATAGCATAGATTGTTTACGATTAAAATTTGCTCTTATTTTTGAGGAAATTTACAAGGATCCGCAAAGTGTTTCGGCTAGTTTTCCCTCGCGTGTTCGCCCCCAACTTGTTTGCCTTGGCTTCCCTCCGCGCCTTTTGTCGCACCGCGTTGCCCTTTGACGCAATTTATATATTCTTTTTGCAATAGTATTAGCGTTTTGAGCGATTCCGACGCCATTTTCTTGTTTTTTTTTTGGTTTTTGAGCTACCCGAACACTCTTGCTTTTAGAAAACATTTTTTCCAGATGGCCGCCTCGCGTGAAGCGCTCATCGAAAACGCCGGGCAAATTTTGGCCGATGAGGGCAAGCCGCTGAAGCTGCGTTTCCGGTACGTTTTACTGACGTTTTTGCCGTGTTATCCAACGCATTCGATAGAGTTTGAAATTCTGAATCAGTTGGTTTTTTCAAGAACTACGGAGCGATAGCGGTCTTGATGAAATTCGCTCTGAAACGCATTTTTTTGCGTTTTGAGTAACTTTTCTTTGAAGACCGTTCTCGTGCAGCTGTTTATGAAAAAGTAGCATTGTTTAGACCTTTAATCTCTATCGAATCAGCTATAAAACATTGCCTTTAATACCTGAAACTCCTCGTTATGCGTTTTTCAAATTTTCTAGTTTTAGTGGCCTGTTCGCGCTGCGCAACTTTGGCTGCGACCGCTCGGTGGAGCTGATCTCGAAGGTGTTTGTCGATCCGTCGGCGTTGTTGAAGGTATTTTATTTATATTTCGAAGAATTAACGACAACAAATTTTAGCACGAGCTCGCCTACTGCCTGGGCCAAATGGGCAACCCGTCGGCGGTGCCGTATTTGATATCGACGCTCGAGGATAAGAAGCAGGTAGAATTTTGGATAGAATAACCTAGGAAACAGGAAGGATCAGAAAATGCAGGAATTTATGATTTTTCGTCGTTTTCGCATCTTGCGTGCGGCAAAGCTTTTCCTGGGGCCTATATTTATCATATGAAAAGGTATTTATGATGTTTTCTACTGCTTTAAAAACCTAAAGCTTCGCAAGTTTTGTTAATGAAGCATAAAATATGGCTTTTTCGAAGCTACGAGAGCCGTGTTGGCTAAATTTGGAAATCTTTAAGCACATTTTGAAAATGTCATTTTCGAAGTTTTTGAAACGATCTCTAAGAGACGAAAGAGAAGGAAAATAGCTAAATTTGGCGAAAAAGACCACTAAATTCCCAATGTAATGCTAAACTAATTAATAAGGACTTTCTCAGCTATTTTTTTTCTTTTATTTACTAGTTCTAAACTTACTTTCGTTTTCAGGAGCCAATGGTTCGCCACGAGGCCGCTGAGGCCCTGGGCGCAATCGGTGACGCCTCAGCTAGGGCGGTGCTCGTCGACTATTGCAAGGATGAGTCGCCCGAGGTATTTTACCAGCTTTTTTTAAACAAACCCGTTTTTCTAGGTAGCCGAAACCTGCCAGCTAGCCCTCCAACGTCTTGATTACGTGACAACGGGCGGGGAAACAAGTAAATAAATTTTGATTTTAAAATTTAATGGAATGGCTTAGATTCCCCGTACAACTCGATCGACCCGACGCCGACGGCTTCTGATGATGACGTCGCGTCGTTGCAGGCCACTCTACTAGACGCGAAATTGCCGCTTTGGGATAGGTAATTTAACAATTTTTTGGGTTTGGATGGAATTTTCAAAGAGTAGCGTAGCCGAATTTCCTTATTCTACTGATGGTTTGGTTTCTGAATAGAATTTTTATCTTGGAGATCAGCATAAAGAATAACTCTTTGTTTTTTGCATGTTTTTAAGCGGAAGCCTTTATTAATTGTGGTATACGAATAAAAATATCTATAGAAAAGTTTATTTATTTCTTTCCTTTCCCAGGTACCGCGCCATGTTCAAGCTGCGCAACCTGAACACGGACGAGTCGATCAAGGCGCTGGCGCAGGGGCTCTACTGCGAGGACAGCGCCCTCTTCCGCCACGAGGTGGCCTACGTGCTCGGCCAGGTGCAGAGTCCGGTCGCCATCAAGGAGTTAACGGTCGGTAATTAGGCATTATATTCCTTTTTCTCCGACGAATACAGTTGTCTTTCTCCAAGGAGGTGTTTTTGCAACAAAACATTTCAGGATCGCCTCGTGCTCTCCACCGAGAATTCAATGGTACGCCACGAGTGTGCAGAAACCCTCGGCTCGATCGCCACCACCGAATGTATAGAGGTAGCGCCTTACTTTTTTATCCTTTATACGCCCACCATGGTGATTTAAAGAATGCCTATTTTATATAATGCCGATTTTAGTCCCATTTCTTCTCGTGAAACCTAACAAACAAAATTGGCACTATTCGGATAGGAATTCTGCAAATCAGCATTCAATAAATGGTACTGGACTGTTAGCAGGGGGGACTGATTTTTGTTGGTTTTTCGCCAATACCTACGTGTTATAACTAAATAGTGTCGTTTCTTTAGTAGTTCAAGGCTTTTAGTTGTTTTTGATTGCTAGAAACTTACACAAAATGTGTTAAACGTTTTTGAAAATGCGAAACCTTCGATTTTTGGTGATTTTGCATTTTAACCAGAAAGTCCGAAGTTTAAAATTGCTATTTTTTTTCTGAGTTTTTATAGCAAAAACGTTGAAAAACGCGATATAAATGGTTTATATTTTGTTCAGGGGGCGAAGAGGTTAATGCGAAAATTAGCCCCCCCGTTAAGAGTCCAGTACCCTATAAAGCGGCATTATATCAATCGGCACCGTTTTATACCGAGCTTTTTAGACGCTCGAAAAATACGCGAAGGATTGTGAGCGTGTGGTGCGCGAGTCGTGTGAGGTTGCGCTCGACATGGCCGACTACGAGAATTCGGGCGATTTCCAGTACGCGGGCGCCACCCATTGATACGGTGAATACAGGCATCGCATGTGTTTTTCTTTGATGAGAGAGTTGTTGAGCTTGAGCGTTTTTGTTATTGTTTTTCTCAGATGTTTTTGATTGTTAATTTTGGAAATGTGGGAGATAATAAAGCTTGTGGGGAATCGAAGGCGCTTAGAAATACACGATTATGGACTCGGAATACGGTTGCATGCGAAATAGAGCTTGTTGTGTGATGTAAGTTGGCTTGACTTGGGATTTTGGCTTCGCGGGCTTGGCTAGCTTCATGTAGTCTGGCTACACGACGCTCCAAGATACGTTTTTGCGCTCTTAGCCTATCTCTAAAATCGAAGCTTGAGCAGTAATAACCGGAAACCCAAAGGATCTTTATCATTATCGGGGGCAGCAACTTTTCTAGGGATCCGAGTTTTCTAATAAAACTAGAATAAGTGTTTCTAAACTGATTTTTTTGCCATTACTGAACGTAAAAACTAAAAAAATTTAGTAAATACAACTAAAAATATCGATAAGATGGCCGATTTTCGACAAAAATTCCGATCTAAAGGTTTTTTATAAGTTTTTAGCTGGTTTTGTAGTTAAAATATATTTAAATTTTGCTAAGCAAACTATTAAAACATTTGGTATTACGTTTCTAGGCATGGAATTTTTAGGGGAACCCCCGATACTGCCAAAGCTCCCCGAGCGCTTCGTGCTGAGCGCGAAAAATGGGGTCTCGGATCGCCAGACTGATAACCATCAATCTTCCGAGGCGAAAGGCTCGCCTTTGCACATCTACCACTTTTTGTAGCATCCCCCCCGCGATGCCGATCATTTTCTAGCCGGGCAGCGAAAACGATAGTGCCGTTATTACAGAGCCCCCGCGGGGGGGGGATCGTGGCGCGTGGATCAGGCACCTTTTTGTCGCCGACACATAGCGGACATCTCCCCCCGGCTAGCTAATTCCAGTCCTTTCTCCTCCTCCTCCTCCCCTATTTTTTGGATGCCGGGGCGTATCGTGTGCCATCCGCTCGAAAGAAGGGGCGAATGTTGGTGGAAGATCCACCAGGCCGATACCAGCCGAAGAATCGAAATCTGCCACCACGGCTAGCGCGCGCTTCTGCGCGGGTTTGCCCCCCGCCGCGCTCTGGCCACCACCACCGCGCTGGCCGTCATTTTTGTGAACCGGTCGGCCGGGTGGTGGGGATAGATGATGGACAGACGCGTGGTGGGTATTTGGGATCGGATTATAGCCAGCATAAGGAGGCAAGAGAAAACGAAGAATAAGTTCGAAGGAGTGCGGTGCTGATCGGGTTTGACCGCAACATTGAGGGGTTTTTGTCGGGGGTGGTGTCGTTAATTGGGGTGATCATGAAAAATACAAATAAAAAGGACGTTTTGTAACTTAGACTTTGTAAACTGACTCTTACTTTGCAAAGAAACTAATCGTAAGCTAGGCTCTTTTGCATTACCGAGGGGGGAACCAAAATTTTTTGCATAAGTCTATAAATTCTTATAAGCGTAATAGGAAGTGTTTCTAGCCAAATTTAGCTAGATTAAACTAGGGAAACTATCTAAAACCTTGAAAAAAATTTTACAGGCTAAATTTAGCCAAAAATCGGCATTTTTCGTCGAAAAATCGGTATTTTTGATGAAGAGCTGTAAAGTTTTTACGTTGAGGATCAGTAAAGAATGGTGTTTTTTGAGAGTTTTCGTTGCGTAGTGTTGCGTAGCGTACCGTAGCCTGGGCTATTGTTTATGGTACATCAACTTCAAGTGGTCTTTGAGAGTTGCTGACTGCGTAATATAGCGTAGCATAGCGTCGGTTTTGGCGTGTTTTCTACCGAACTGAATTTATTTGAAAATGTTTTGAAAATATGGTTTGGAGAGGAATAAAAAGCTATTTAAAAATATCTCACTTCGCAAAGATTTTTTACTTATTTTGACGTTTTTGACTCTGGCGATTTTTTTTGTATTTTGCATTTAGTTAGTGAGTTTAATAACGTATGAGGAATGAGCGGAAATTCTGGTAACACCATTTTTCTGGCGCTTAAAATAGGATGCGCCCGGGGCAAGCCCCAAAAAGGGGAAAAAAAAAAATCTCGAGCACCTGTCACTTCCGGTTTTTCATATCAGCAACGCACCCGAATTGCGCGCAGGCTTGATTCCTGAAATCCCGAGATCAAGATGGGTGCACGATGGAGCTCGAGATTGACCGTCATCCGTCCCGTCATTAATCTGAGCGCGAAGCGCGTTTAGGAAAAGCCGTCTCGCCGCGTGGGGGGATTTGATAGGGGAGAAAGTGTCTGCGCGAGGTGTGCCGTGCCATCCCCCGCGCGCGAAAGGCGCTCGTGGGAATCTGCGCGGAGATGATGCTCACCCGAGTTGACGTGTGGCGCCTAGAGGCAGTCGCGTAGTCCACCGGAAATGGGTTTCGCGGGGGCAAGCTTGCAGTGAATCGTTGAGGAATGGTTTCGCCTTTTCCGGGGAGAAAAGGCGGGTGGCATTTAAAAGCCTATTACTGTAAGGGAAACGCATGGCCAGTGTAAATAAAAATGGAAAATTGCTCTTAAAATAGTATTTTTTATATTGCAGCGCTTTCGGCTGTAAGAAGCCGTTTTTAGTATGGTTTTCAGGCACGAATCGAGTTCGGGAAGCGGCACCTCCTCGACGCAACGTCTCGGCTGAAGCTCCTATGCGATCCACGGTGACACAGAGGTGCATTTTCGTAAATACTAGCGTAGTTTGAGCCTTCTAGCATAGCTTAACGTATTATTGCGTAGACTGGCGTATTCTCCGGCGTCCTCTATCGTAGTCTAGCGTAGCCTAGCCTATACTAGCGTATTTTATCGTATTCGTGCTTATTCTAGCGTAGCCTGAGGTGTTATCGTGTCGAGAGCATTACAGCGCAGTCTGGCGTGATCCAGCGTTTTCGTGCGTAAACTAGTTTATTTTAGCGTATTCTTGCGTCTTTTGCGTCGTGTGGAGTATTCTAGCATATCCGTTGCGCAATCTGACGTATTGTCGCTTAGTCTGGCGTATTCTCGCGTCGAGTAGCCTACAGTGACCTAGCGTGGTCTAGACGATTCTAACGTAGACTAGCTTATTTCAGCGTAGCGTATGGTAGTCTGGTAGTCTCGCCTAGGGTAGTTTAAGCGTATCCTAGTGTAATCTCGCGCATTCTGGCGTATTTCAACGTAGTCTAGCGTAGCCTGGCGTAGTCTAGCGTAGTCTAGTCTATTGTGCTTTAAGCGTATTCCAGTGTAATCTGGCGTATTCTAGCCTAGTCTAGTGGATTCTAACGTATTCTCGCGTATTCCAGCGTATTCTATGGTGCCATAATGTAGTCTTGCGTAGTTCAGTGTATGCCAGCCTAGTCTAGGGTACCATAGCGGTGTCCAGCGTATTCTCGCGCGGCGTGGCGTGGCCTTGCGTAGTCGCGTAGTTTATCGTAGTCTAACGTATGGTGGGACTATGGAAATTTTGCGCGGGTTAGATAAGATTCTCCCCCAAATTTGCACGCCCCGAAGGTGCCCATTTTCCAGGCCGCGGGCCGACCGGCTGATACCGGTTTCGGCAACAAAACGTGCGCGTCCAGGCCTAGAGGCTGTGGCAAATCCCAAAGTGGCGGTACTATGCATGTTGGTGGCCAATGAGCCGAGTAGTGACCATGGGATCCCAGGGGTTGGGCAGTCAGCCTGGAGCCGAGCTTCGTTTTTGTAGGATCTTCTCTGTCTCTCTCTCTCTCTCTCTCTCTCGCCGCTAACCGGTCTGCCAGCATCTTCGAGAAGTCACACGCTTCGTCCGGGGCGCGCTTTCGGAAATTATGCGATGCGCCTCTTGTCAGGGGGATTGTTCGGAGGTGTCGCGCGTAGTCGCACCTTTGCGGTTGGCTGCGCGTTTATGGCGACGTGGTGTGAGATCCGGGCGTGCCAGGTTTTTTAAAGGGATCAGGAAGGCAGGGGTTCTTGAGGGAGAGAGAGAGAGTGAGAGAGTGAGAGAGAGGGAAAGAGAGAGGGAGAAAGAGTGAAAAAAAGAGCGAAAGGCGCGAACTAGCTGAAAGTCTTGAGGATCTTCTTGAAAATTCGCGTAGCTTCTCCAGGTTTTTCGAATTTTCTTGCGAGCGCCAGAGTGTGTCAGAACGAGACATAGAGAGAGAGAGAGAGAGAGAGAGAGAGAGAGAGAGAGAGAGAGAGAGAGAGCAGAGCGAGAGAGCGAGAGAGAGTGTGAGTAAGAGACACAGAGAGAGACAGATGAGTGAGAGAGAGATAGAGAGTGAGAGCGATAGAGCGCGAGAAAGAGAGAGCGAGACAGAGAGAGAGCGAGAGAGAGATAGTAAGAGACACAGAGGGAGACAGATGAGTGAGAGAGTGAGTGAGAGGGAGAGAGACAGCCAGACTAGCAACTTTTCAGTTTTTTTACACCTTTTTTTGCACTGTGAGTAGTATTGCACCGGAATTTCCCCCGCACCGAGGCGCACCTCGACTTTCTAGTTGGATCGAAAAGAGGGTCTAGCCGTGGGGGGTGGGGAGGGGAGGAATGGGGCACATCTCGTTCCACGTATCCTCCAAGTTCTGATATGCCCTGAGGAAAAGGGGGATAGACAGACAGAGAGACAGACAGACAGACAGACAGATATACAGACACCTTCACACACTTCTAGACTTCTCTTGCCCAACCCTGTCGTGTTTTCACTGATGGGTGCCCCTCCCTAGGGCGCGCCCCCCGCATTTTTCAAGGGCAACCCCCGCGGGGCGAAATTCGGGTTTTTCTGCCACACCAACCATCGCCCTGTCTTGCCGTGTTTTTTGGGCAGATTATAGGGCGCGCCCGGAAAAGAAGGCGAAACGCATCAAAATAAAAATAGGAAAGCGAGCTTTTTGGACTTTGACCCGTTGGAAAACGAGCTTGGGATTTGATCGCGACATGAAAATCCGCTAGTGTAGTTAATTAAAGTAATGAATTAAAAAAATTACTTTAAAAACGACAAGCGAGCAGTGATTTTTGAGGAATTTTTAGAACATTAGTTTAGAGCTTAGAATTTAGAATTTTGGAATTTTCAGGAAATTTAGAAATGTAGTTTAGTTCCTCGGGAAGAGAACAGGCAAACAAGCAGTGATTTTTGAGGAATTGTGGGTTTTCGTGGTCGTTCGTAATCGTAACGAAAGGGAAAATTCCGACAGCCGTAACGCCCTACAAGCCGCAATCCCAAAGAAAAAGAATGCCGACAGCCAAAAAACCGACCACCAAAATCGCAAAATTCCGACAGCCAAAAATGCCGACATTCCAGAATTCCCGGTTTTCCGACTAGAAGTTTCGGCTTTTTTCCTCGGTTAGCACTTCGCAGGGCGCCAAAAAACTGTACGGCTCCGTGACGTCGCCGCAAGTGATGCGGATCACCCTTTGGGGGGCATTTGTCACCCTTCTTTTGCAAACAACAACGATGGGGCAATTACCCGCCGGCTGGATTCTGCTAGATGCTCGATTTCCCCCGGCTGGAATGTGTGCACTTTTTAGGGCTCATGCTCCTTTTCCAGCGGCTGTGACTCAGGGGCGTTGCGTGCGTTGCCATTCGGAATGGTTCATGGGCAGGCGCGCTAGCAGAGATTCTTTAGGAAAGGGCAGGCTAGCAGAGATTCTTTAGGAAATGGGCAGGCTAGCAGAGATTCTTTAGGAAAGGGCAGGCTAGCAGAGATTCTTTAGGAAAGGGCAGGCTAGCAGAGATTCTTTAGGAAATGGGCAGGCTAGCAGAGATTCTTTAGGAAAGGGCAGGCTAGCAGAGATTCTTTAGGAAAGGGCAGGCTAGCAGAGATTCTTTAGGAAATGGGCAGGCTAGCAGAGATTCTTTGGGAAATATCTAATAGCTTTTCACACATTTGATTTTTGATGAGCTTCTCCCGCTTTTTCATAGGTTTTCACAATTTTATTTGCAACACTACGCCCGGCTACTTTTAACAGGTGTAATTTGGGTTCTTTTGCGTTATCGGGGGGATTATTAAGGTGTTTTTTGTATTACTAAAAAAACTTGAAATGAATTAAACATGAAATTAATCAGCTCCGCCCCCCGATAATGCAAAAGCACCGTAATTTCATGTTTTTCGGAATCTAACTTTTCGATTTTCATGGCGTAATCTGAAGTGAGTGAGTGGAATGTGTGCACTTTTTAGGGCTGGTGCTCATTTCTCGGCCTCGTGCTCCCTTTCCGGGGGGCTGTGACTCAGGGCCGTTGCGTCGTTGCCATTCGGAATTCCACGCTGCCCCTCCCCCTGGCAAGGCGGATCACTTTCACCTCTTGCTCCCCTCTGCTAAAGGGGGCGGGATGAAGCGGCGGGGGGCGGAGCCCGGATGCCCTTCGAATAATGGGCATCTCGGAGCCCCGAGGGCATCTTCAGTCTCATCCTCAGACCCACACAGCCAGCACAGTTCCTAGCTCTTCCCCTTTCCACTCAACTACGCAAAGATGGTACGCGTTTATTGGAGTGTCGTGTAGTCGCTGCGGTCTATGATGGTTTTAATTTTTGTCTGGCTTAAGTTTGGTCTTAGGCTTAAGCTTAGATTAGGCTTTGGCTAGGCTTAGGCTTGGCTTCGCTTAGCTTAGGCTTAGCTCAGGCTTAAGTTTGGCTTAGGTTTGGGCTAGGCCTGGGCTTTGGCTAAGCTCAGGCTTAGGCCTGGCTTGGGCTTAGGCGTCGGAATAGGTTTTCGATTGGCTTTGATTTCGCTTCGCATCGGCTTGGACTTAGGCTTCATCGGCTTAGTCTTAGGCTGGATCTTCGCTTTTACGACTTGTGCTTTTCGGCTTGAGCTTGAGCTTGAGCTTTGGAGCTTGAGCTTGAACTCGACCCGATCCCTTGAAGCTTTTTTGCGCTTAGGTATAAACTTGAGCATGAGCTTGAGCTTGGCTTACGCTCAGGCTTTGCCTAGGTTTGGCTGGAGTTGAAGCCGATTACGACACAATTTTCCGCATTTTTATCGCCAAGTTACGCCCGGCTCCTTTTAACGGGCGTAATTTGGTGCTGCTCGGAGCTCGAAACAATCATTTTTAAGGTTTTTGGGGCTTTTTTAGCGCTTTTGATGCCCTAGTCACTTAAAAACCTATTTAAATTTGGAGGTAGGCTAGCAGAGATTTTTTGGGAAAACTGAAGAAATTTTTAGGACTTCGATATCCCTTTAATTTCGCTTTTCCAGTACCGCGCCGTGATCCTTGTGGCCACCTTCTCCTCCCCGATCCTCGCCTGCCTCGGAGGAGGTGGTGGTGGTGGTAATTGTGTACGCTACACTCCAATTTACACCCCCGGATTTAGGCTGCTGCGGAGCCGCCCCGGCCCCTAGCTGCGGAGCTGCCCCGGCTTGCGGAGGAGCACCTATCGGAGGAGGCGGAGGGTACGTTTTTTCGTGTTTGGCGTAGTGTAACGTAGCTTGTCGTAAAGTAATGTCACGGAACGTAATAAAATTCAAGAGAATTTGAGAACTTTCGCTGTTGTAGTGCCGCGTAGCGTAGCGTAAAGGATCGTAAGCTAACGTAGCTGGTCTTAGCGTAACGTAAAGTGACGTAGCGTAACGTGGGCGTGTGGTAAAATTTCTGGGGAGTCTCTCATTTTTTTTGGTTGCGTATTCTAGCGTAGCCCTGCGTATTTTCGCGTATCATAACGTAGTGATTTCGGTTATAAAAACTTTAAGGACCTCGCAAGCAATTTCCGGGTTTTTTTTGTTGCGTAATCAAGCGTATTCTCGCGTAGTCTAGCGTAGTCTAGCGTAGCGAAGTACCGCGGCGGGATTTACACGGTTCAGAATGTTTTCTTTATACTTTTTCTATGTTCAGCCCTCGTATTCTAGAGCCTAGAACCCACCGATCGACACCAAAAATTCGATTTTCTCGTTTTTGCCTGCCAGAGGCGAAATCGGCCGCGCCGCGTTTTTGGCCGTTAATTTTTCCGGTTTTGATTAACGGCCGGTGGTGGACCGGAAAAGAGAGAAGGGAGCTTGATAGAATCTGGTGGAGGCAGCGAAGATACCTTAAAAAGTTAAAACAGCATTAAAACATGGAAAATTGATGTTGAAATCCCCTCGAAAAGCTACGAAAACAACGCTATTTTTTTCAGTTACGCCGTCGCCCCGTCTTCCGGATACGCCGCCGCCCCCGCTGCCGGAGGATACGCCAGCGCCGGAGGATTCGGAGCCGGTCAGTTTTTGTGGCTATCTATCGCTCTCTCGCCCTGTCTCTCTCTCTCGTCTCTCTCTCTCTCTTTCTCTCTCGCTTTCTAGCTACTGTATAACAATATGAAAGCCGTAAATCCATCCAGTTCTTGGTTGAATTTTCTAGTAAATATCGAAAGATCTCTGCTAGTTTGCCTGGCTCTCTCTCTCTCTCTCTGGCTCTCTCTCTCTCGGCTATCTCAGCTCGCAGCTCCTCTTCTCTCAAGCTCAGGGTATTTCTCGGTAAAATTTAAAACTATCTACCTCTCTCGTCTCTCTTACTTCTCGCTCTCTCCCTGCTTCTCTGTCTCTCTCTCTCTCTCTCTCTCTCTCTCTCTCTCTCTCTCTCTCTCTCTCTCTCTCTCTCTCTCTCTCTCTGTCTCGCCATTTCCCATTTTTCCAGGACCCGTCGGAGGAGGCCCCATCGGAGGCGGATACGCCGGAGCCGGACCTATCGGAGGAGGACCCATCGGAGGAGGAGCTGGATACGCCGGAGCCGGACCTATCGGAGGAGGACCCATCGGAGGAGCCGGTGGATACGCCGGAGCCGCTTCTGCCCCCAGCTTCGGAGGAGCCGCCCCCAGCTATGGAGCTGCTGCTCCCGCTGCCGGATACGGACAGGCCCCCGCCCAGCAGGCCCCCGTTCAGGTTTCTTTTTCAAGAATTTTCAAAATTTTCAAAAAGCAAAAATTCGCGGCGGACGGGGCTCGAACCCGGGTCTTGCACTTGGCAGCCTAGCGCACTACCAATTGGCCAGCGTGAAATTGTTTTAAGTTTCAGTGTTTTACTATTTTTTTCCTTAAAACTTTCCCTTTTTCCAGCAGGCTCCCCTAGCCGCCCAGGCTGTCTCCTACGGAAACCAGATTGAGCAGCAACAGCAGGCCCAGCAGCCCGCCGCCTACCAGCAACAGGCCCCCGAGGTTTGCTAGAATTAGATTTATTTTTATAGTGATTTTTTCCAGCAGGTCCAGCAAGTTCAACAAGTCCAGCAGCAGACCGCCGCCCAAGTCGACTCTGCCCCCCCAACAGGTCGCCGTTGAGCAGCAGCAGCCGCAGACCGGAGGATACCAGCAGGATGCCCCTGTTGAGCAACAGCCCGCTGCCGCCGAGCAGAGCTATGGAGAGGTGAGAGAGGGAGAGAGAGCGTGAGAGTGGGAGAGAGGGCGAGAGGGAGTGAGAGAGAGCGGGAGAGATATAGCGGGCGAGAGCGAGAGAGAGCAAGCTGGCAGCTTTTCTGGGTAAATTCCGAAATTCGGGAACAGTTTCTGAGGCAAACTAGCAGAGTTTTCGCGGAAAACGAGAGAGAGAGAGAGAGAGAGAGAGAGAGAGAGAGAGAGAGAGAGAGAGAAAGAGCGGGAGAGATGACGCGAGAGCGAGTGGGAGAGAGGGCCAGAGAGATAGCGAGCGAGAGTGAGAGAGAGAGAGAGAGAGCAAGCTAGCAGCTTTTCTTGGGAATTCGGGAACAATTTCTGAGGTAAACTAGCAGAGTTTTTGCGGAAAACGAGAGAGAGAAAGAGAGAGAGAGAGAGAGAGGCAGAGAGAGAACGAGAGAAAGAGAGAGATAGACAGAGACTGGAGACCGATCTAAATCTAGAGTTTTTTTCAGCAAAAGACCGAGGCCGTCGCCGCCCCGGCTGCCGCCTCCTCCGAGTACCAGCACCGCATCCTGTAGATGAACACCGCCCCCCAAGCAGCTCAACCCCCTCCCTCAACTCGGCAATGACAGCCCCCACAGCCCAAACCAATTTGCTCAACGCCACGCGAAGATGCGCGATATTTATTTGACGTCGGGGAGGTATGATTGAAATTTTTGGAATTTTCGACTTATCTCCCCCTCCTCCCCCCATCCCACATTTGGTCTCAGCTACAGATATAATAGACCCCACCACGAGATTTTATGTGCCCCTGATAAAATTAAATATTAAAGAAATGAAAAACAAAAATCACGTAAAAAAATTGAAAATGCACCTTAATTGAAAGACAAACAGAAAGCGAGAGAGAGCTAGAGAGAGAAAGAGAGAGAGTGTGAGAGAGAGAGTGAGAGCGAGAGCGAGCGAGAGAGAAAGAGAAAGAGAAGAGAGAGAGAGAGAGAGAGAGAGAGAGAGAGAGAGAGAGAGAGAGAGTAAGAGATAGAGAGAGAGAGCGTGAGGGAGAGCGAGGGATAGAGGGAGGGAGAGAGTGTGAGAGAGAGAGAGAGAGAATGCGGGAAAGAATGCGAGAGAGAGAGAGAGAGAGATATTGAAAAATCGAGAGAGTCAGAGTGAGTGCGAGGGAGCAAAAAATAAATTGTAAAAATACAGTTTTAAAGGGACCGAGAAGTTAAAAAAACCTTCGTTAATTTCAAGAATTTCCATTTCAAGAATCTCTGCTAGCTCTCCGTCCCACCCCCAGCGGTAACGAGCAGAGATCATTTTGGAAATGCTAGCCCCATTCTTGCGTTTTTTTAAAGGATCAGTTAGTAGTCTTAAATGCCATATTCGGAAAGCGCCAATTTTCCAAGATAAACGAAATAGCAATTTCGAAGGCAATAATTAGCAATCTTGGCCCGTTTTCTCGCTCTAAATTCTATAGAGATTTTTGACATCTATAACAATCAAAGGATTTTCGCATTTTTTGAAGCTCTAGTTTCAGGGGTTTTAGTTTATTCTTAAAATGGTAATTTTGGCAGTGATTTTAGGGACATTTTTTAGAAAGCAATTTCTCCCATAAATGGCGCCCAAAAACGCACCCACCAGCTTTTTACGGGCCATCGACTCGCAAGGCTGGCAGACTGGGCCGGGCGCGTTTTTCCATTTTTGTTTACCCGTGTGGAATGTCCGGGGCTCTTTTCGGGCAGGCGAGAGAGCGGGAGAGAGAGAGAGCGACAGAGAGAGTGGGGGAGAGAGAGAAGGACGCGTGAGGAGGTGTATCGCGGAATGGGAGGCCGTCAAAAAGAGAGCCGACGATGAAAACATGAGGGGGAGAGAAGGGAGAGAGAGCGAGAAAGGGAGAGAGAGAGGGAGAGAGAGAGAGAGAGAGCCATTTCCTATTGATCTCTCTCTAGCACAGGGCACAACACAACCAACACCCCCACCCCCACTTCTCACTATAATCATTTTTCGGCTCCTAATAATTTAGAAGTGATGCCTAAAGTGTAGTTTGTAGCTTAAAGGAACTTGTAAGCCTCGTTTGGTACCGGAAATCAGCCGGTTTTAGGTGTATTTTGTAGTGTAACGTCGAAAAACGCTCGATTTTCCTCAAAATAAATCCCCAGACAACATTTAGAACTGTTTCGGTTCTTTGGCATTATCGGGGGGAGGGGGTTTCTTGCCTGGAATTTTGACGCGTTTCTAAGCTGTTTTTACGATTCCTAAACGGACACTTTTTACAAACTGTTATTCAAAATTCCAAAAATATCGATTTTTCGACGAGAATTGGCCCAATTTTGGTTCCTAATAATGTAGAATTGATGCCTAAAGTGTAGTTTGTTGTTTAAAGGAAGGAAACGGAAATCTAGCTTTTAGGTGTATTCTGTAGTTTAAGGCAAAAATACCTTATTTTAATCAGAAAAATGTATTTTCCAGTTTTTTAGGGTATGTGTAGTTTTTAGAAATTCTTCCTCGTGTTTCTTTTGCGTCTTCTTCGGCCTATTCCATCGAATTCTTCGCCCGAAAACAACCAACTTTTTTTCTTTCTCTCTAGTTTCGTTTCTATGCCCGCGATAACGCATTCCCCGTTCATTCAGCTGCTTTTTTAATATGTTTTCGCCGCATCCCATCTTTCCAGCCCCCCAAAAAAATGCCCATGATTTAGCGTGTGAGGAGCCATCTGGTTTCGCCTAATTTTACGCCGCCCCCCATTCGCCCGGCCGAAATTCGAGCGCTAGAGCCAGGCTTTCGTCCTTTGAAATGGCCCTCATTTCCTGAGCAATCTCTGCTAGCCTGCCCATTTCCTAAAGAATCTCTGCTAGCCTGCCCTTTCCATAAAAATCACTGCTAGTCCGCCTTTTCCCAAAGAATCTCTGCTAGCCTGCCCTGTCCGAAAGAATCTTTGCTAGCCTCCCGATTTCCTAACGAATCTCTGCTAGCCTGCCTTTCCTAGTGACTCTCGGTTCTTTCCCATTATCGGGGGGGACTTTAGTATCAAACGTTTCTAATCTAAATAAAGTGTTTCTAACATCCAAAAAAATATAGATTTTTAACGTTCTAGAAGTTTAAATTTTAATTTTTAATGTATTTTTGCCCTGAAATATTGTTAAATTTTAGTAGTCTTAATTTTAAATACTTATAGTATTGCGTTACTAGCATTTCTGGAATTCTAGGGGAATTCCCACCCCCGTTAATGCAAAAAAACCTTTTTCCAAAGAATCTCCTCTAGATGGCCCTTCCTAAAAGTGTTGCCCTGTCCTAAAGAATCTCTGCCAGCTCACCCTCTAGAGTCTAGACGATTCCCTGCCTCGCATCACTTTAATTGTTTTTCTCTGCCCGTCGTGCTCGATTTCTCTCCCGGAAAGCTGCCGCGAAATATTTTCCCCTCAGCCACGCCCTGGTCACCATGACTAAACATTTCCTATATCGTTTAAAATCGGTTTAAAAACCGTTTTTACCATTTTTTTTACCGACTTGACGTGTAGTTCTTTCCCTCGCGTAATCGATTGCAATTTTCTAAACTTTCTGCAGAGGAAAAACTCTTTTTTCAGCCATGACAATAGAAATCGCGGCCGACGGGCATGTGGTCGAAGGATCGCCCTTGCTTGGTATTTTCTTATTTAAATTTTAGTTTATTTTTAGCCGGAATCGCCGACGACAAACTACGCGGCTTCCTCTCCACCGACCCAAATTCACTTCTACCCTCGCAGCGAAGTCAGGTGTGCTTTAAAAGCTTGAATTTTAAGCCCAAAAATTTCGCAAGAATCTCTGCTAGTTTGCCCAGCTTTATATAGGTTTTTAAATGTATTTTTTAAAGTTTTTTTAGGTACCCGGCGAGGGCGGCTTCCTCGTGGCTGATGTCACTTCCCCGCATGGTGTCGGCCATCGCGTCATCTTCAATCGGCATCTGAACGTCTTCCAGTTTATCCTACTAGAGTACGTTACAGTCCTTTTTACGGATCTTTTTAGTTGGAAATCGTGGTGTTCAAAGAGTTGTAAAGATTTGGTCGTTTCTGGAGTTTATTTGGCCATTTGTTTGCGGAATTTTTGGGGGTGAGGAAATTTTTTTGAGAAGAAAAGGCCAACCACATCTTTTAAAAAAAAGGGGGGGGGGAAAAAATTTTTAAAAAGGGGGGGGGGGGGGGGGGTTTTTGGGGAGAAAAAAAGTAAAAAAATTTTAAAAAAAAAAAAAAAATATTTTAAAAAAAGGGGGGGAAAAAAATTTTTTAAAAAAAGGGGGGGGAGAAAAATTTTAAAAAAAGGGGGGGGAGGGAAATTTTAAAAAGGGGGGGGCTAGCAGAGATTCTTTAGGAAATGGCAGGCTAGCAGAGATTGTTTAGGAAAGGGCAGGCTAGCAGAGATTCTTAGGGAAATGACTTCAAAATTTGTATTTTTTTTGTCGTTTTCAGAGACCGTGGTTTGGCGTGTTGGCGGCCTCGGGCCCAGTAAGCTTGTGGAATTTCATGTGATATGTCTAAACCACGCTAAAGCAGATTGTGATGTAGTTTGTGGTGCGGAGAGAGCAAAAAAATGAATTTTCCCTAAAAACACCCACCGTCTTCTAGATGTTCAAGGGAAACTGGCGGCATGGAAGCTGTTGGACGCGTGCGGGGAGAGAGAGAGAGAGAGAGAGAGAGAGAGAGAGCGAGAGAGAGCGAGAGAGAGAGAGAGAGAGAGAGAGAGAGAGAGAGAGAGAGAGACGCAACGCAACGCGCCCAAACGCGTCTAAACGGCCCTCTGCAGCCAATTTCCCTTTAATTGGAGCGTTCCAGCGAGTTTTTTGTACCCAAAAATCCTGTTTTTTTAGGATTATTTTCCATTAAATTGCAGCTGACACGCTCCTTTTAACGTATCCACTAATACCCTGTCGTTTCCTCTTAATTTTCCCCATTTTTTCTAGTGGCAGCCGAAAGCACGCGATCACCTACCGCATCGACGAGCTGCTCTGCGTGCGCGACGCCGCCGTCAAGTTGAAAAGCGGTAAAATTTGGGGGATTTTGAGAAAATTTTTGAAATTAGGAAAAATTAGGTTCTTTTGCATTATCGGGGGGGGGGTTGGGGAGAAATTGTATTTATTTATCTAATTTTATGGTTTTTGATAGTTTTAGTAGAAATTTAACTATTTTCAGGTGAAAAACTATCTAAAACTGCGAAAAATTTAAAATTTAGGCAAAAAAAGCTATATATTTGTGCACGTTTTGAAGGAATTTGTAAAGTTTTTGCATTTAGGAAAAGTCAAACCCAGTTTAGAAATCAGGAAAGACAAAAAAAATCCATATTTTTGCATGTTTTGAAGCAATTTGTAAAGTTTTTTTGCGTTTAGGAAACGTAAGAAGGCGATTTAGAAAAACTTCCTACATTTATATGAGAAAAATTGGAAATTGGAGCTAAGGAAAAAGCTGAAAAATTTAAATTAATCAGGTTTAAAACGCATTTTTTAGGCATCCCAGCATTCACCGGGAAAGAAGCCCTCTCCACCAACACGCTCTACTTCTACTTTGTCTACCGAAAAGATAAGAAGAAATGGAGGTTAAAGGTTTGAATTTTTTTATTTTTTTAATATATAAATTGGTTTGCTTAAATTCAATTACAATTAAATTAATTAAATTTGGTTCTTTTGCATTATCGGGGGGGGGGGAGAATTTTTTGTTTTAATTTAGGAATGCCTAGTAACTTAATAGGAGCTGTTTTAATAGTGTTTCTTAGGAAAAAATTACCTCTATTTTACGAGTAAACTAATCAGAAAAACGCGTAGGAAATTTTTGCTGAAATTTTGATCGAAAATCGGCCAGTTTTGGGCAAAAAAAAAATCGATATTTTTTACGTTTCAGAAAAATTTCCGCAATTTATATTTAACAAATTGGTTTCTAAGAAAATAATTTCTCCCCCCCGATAACGCGAAAGCACCAATTACTATCACGTTTTTAGGAGCTGCCCGTCCGCTTCTCGACGCCCAGCGAGCGCAACTACTGGCAGTCGATCATCTCGGCCACGTTGAGATGTGGGTAGATGTTTTTTGGGGTACTGGGCTGTTAGCAGGGGGAAGTACTGTGTATATTAAAGCGAGTAAATCGGTGCTCATCACTATTTTATGCTATTTTTAAGGTATACGACAGCGTCCGCACAAACTGACGCTGTTCGTGAATCCGTTTGGCGGCAAGGGCAAAGCACGGCACATTTACAAAACACAGGTTAGAAGCTTTTAAACGGTTTTTTTACGGAATTTAGCCAATTTTAATTGACGTAATTAATTTAGTCCTATCCCTAAACGTAAAAACTTTACAAAGTCCTATGCAAAAAGACAAAAATGCTATTTTTTTGACCGAAACTGGCCGATTTACGACCAAAATTTTCACTAAAATTTTTTTATAAGTTTTTTAAAAGGTTTTCGACTTTAAATTTAGTTCAATATCACCAAACACGATTAAATTCGTCGTATTAATTTTTAACTTGGGATTTCTACGCTCATAAGGCAAAATTTGATTTTCTGCCGAAATCCCCTGGGGTTTCGGTGCTTAAAAACGTATTTTTAACGGTGAATAGGGTATATTAGTGCAATAATCTACCTTTTTCCAGGTGGAACCCTTCTTCCTGATGGCCGGCATCCGGTGCGAGGTGATCGAGACGCAACGCGCCAACCACGCACACGACTACGTGCTGGAGATGCCGCAGCATGAGTGCGTTTTTGGGAAAATTGTAACGTTTTTAAAAGGCTTTAAAAGCTTCTAACTGGTTTATGAAGATTTAGACACCTTTAGAGCCTCAAAAAAACTAAGCGCGTACTACCGGAATTTCTTTTTAAAATCGCGATTTTTTTGTGGATTATATGCCTAATTTTATGCTGAAAACAGCTAGTTTTGTAGCTTGTGGTATTCTAGAAATCGTGAAGTAGCAAAGATTTAGGTATTTTTTTGAAGCTTTTTGATAACTAAATTGAACTCTTATTTTTTGAACGTTTTCACGCTTGAAAAGGTGTCCAATATTTTATTTATTATCGAAAAATGCGTAGTTTTATTCTGGGAAATATGTATTGTGTATTAAAGCTGGGCTAAAGTAGGCTGGGCCGACTTTTCACGAACGAACAAGCTTTTCTAAGCGTTAAAACGGAAAAAACCCCGCAAATACCGTAAATTTAGCACTAATGGGGGTTTTTGATTTCTACCGTATCCCAGCGTATCCTACCGTACTCTAAGCTACAACTTACAAAGTTTTATATAAAAACCTTGTGCTAAAGTAGACTGCGTTTTATTTTTTACAAACGGACAAGGTTTTTAAGTCTTAAAACAGGAAAAACCCCTTCAAGATCGTCAATTTAGTATATAAAAACCGGGAATTTTTATTTCTACCGTATCCTGCAGTACTCCACGCTACAATTTGCGAAAATTAAACGTATTTAACGAATTTTGTTGCAGATGGGAATCGCTGGAGGGCCTCGTTTCGGTGGGCGGTGATGGCCTCTTCAACGAGATCTTATCGGCGGCCACCCAGCGCACCCAGGCGGAGGCCGGTATGTAAGCCCCCTCCACCCCGCCCATCCCCACCGCCGCCATAGCTCAGTTGGTTAGAGCGTGGGTCTAATAAGCCCAAGGTCGCAGGTTCGACCCCTGCTGGCGGCAAACTTTTTGCTTTTTGCGAGACTTCCTTGGAAATCTGTTTGTATTGATTTAGAAATTACAAATTTCTATTTTTTCGCCAAATTTCCACTCAAATTCGCGGTACTAGACTGTTAGCGGGGGTTATTTTTAATTTTTCGCTTATGATATATTGATTTTTTCAATAGATAGTGTCTTTTAAAAGAGTTTTTATCAGTTTTTTTATTCCTATGAAATCATAAACATACTGACAATTTTTGAAAATGTAAAATTTAGATCTTTTTGGCGATTTTTATCAAAAATATTTTTTTTTATAATTTTGGTATAATTTTTAGGTGCTTTTTATGTCAAAGAAGTCCCCCCCCCCCGCTAGCAGTCCAGTACCAATAATTTCTATCCCTGATTTTCCAGGCAAGGATATGAACTCGCCGTCGGCCCCTCGACTCTCGACGCCCTCATTCCGCTTCGGCATCATCGGCGCCGGGAGCGCCAACTCGATCGTCTCGACGGTGCACGAAACGGACGACTGGGCCACGGCTGCTGTACATATTGCCATTGGTACGTCTTTTGGTTCTTTTACATTAGCGGGGGGGGGCTTCTTTTTATGTCCAGAAATTTCTAATAAGGTAATAGTCAGTGTTTTAATAGTGTTTTTAGGCAAATTTAGCTACGTCTTAAATGGAAAATCAATCGGAAAAAAAGCATAGAAAATTTTTTTGGCTAAATTTTTGGTCGCAATTTGGTCATTTTTCGTCCGAAAATCTATTTTTTCGATTTTTTAATCAAATTTCTAAACTTTTTGCATTTAGGAATACTTGCCCCCCACCGATAATGCCACAGAACCCGTGGAGTTACGTAGCTTGCAATCTACCGTATTTTCCAGGCTCCGAGTGCAACGTGGACGTGTGCACGGTGCACGAGAACGAGAAGCTGCTCCGGATATCGGCCAACGCCATCTCGTACGGATGGCTCGGAGATGTTCTCGAGGATTCCGAGAGGTTCAGATGGCTCGGGCCAATTCGATATCAGTGGAGTGGTCGGTGGTTTTGGCAAGCTTTTAAAATTGGAATTTCTAGGAAACTAGCAGAGATTCTTTAGGAAATGGGGGAGCCTAGCAGAGATTCTTTAGGAAAGGGCACAAACCGAGGTTCTTTAGGAAAGGACAGGCTCGCAGAGATTGTTTAGGAAAGGACAGGCTAGCAGATATTCTTTAGTAAAGGGCAAGCTAGCAGAGATTTTTTGGAAAAGGGTAGGCTAGCAGAAATTCCTTAGGAAGAAATCCTAAAATCTTAATTTCAGCCCTCCGGACTACCGTACGCCATCCGATGTACCGGGGCCGGGTGCAATTCTCGTTGGTGCCGAAGGAGACGCAGGACCCGAAAGAAGCCCTGCCCGCCTGCGTGGGAGAGTGCGCAATTTGTGATGGGTGCGTAGTTTTTATTGATTTTATTTATAGTATTTATTCGTTGGCCAAAAAGCCAAAAACCCGCCTCGGGTGGGATCGATCATGGGCCCCATTTTCAGAAGCCGACCCGCTAGCCACTAGGCTACAGCTAAAATCTGTCTCTAAATCCGACTTTTCAGCAAAGAAACAGCGGGCCCGTACCAGTACCACTGGCAAGCCGACTTCACCCACGTCATCTGCTGCGTCATCCCCACCATCACCCCATTCACCCCACACGGACTCGCCCCATTCACCGGAATAGGTATTTATACTTTTCCTAAATCTCTGCTAGCCTCATCCATTCCTAAATGATCTTTGCTAGCTTGCCTCTTTGTTAAAGAAAACCGAATTTGTGAATTTAATTTAAACTTTCAGGTGATGGCTCGCTCGACTTGTCGATGGTCCCAAAGATTTCGCGATGTCACAACATGCAGTTTATGCGAAAGGTCAGTAAAAATAGAAGATAAAATTATAGAAAAATAGAAAATAGGTAAGAATTAAAGTTTAACCAGGTAATTTGATAAGCCCATCACTTAGATAAAACATATAAATCCTATTTTCTAGGTGGCCATGTACGGGGGAAAGGGGCTTTTCGGACTGGACTCCTCGCTGAACGTCTACAGGGTCGAGAGGTGGTCCTACAAACCCGATATGGCCGTTAATGCATCACCGGGAGTCTGGAATCTTGATGGAGGTGGGTAAATCAAAGAAAAAAGGAAATAGAAAATGATAAAACTTGAAAACTAGCGCGAAAATCGTAAAACTAATCAAAAACCATTTCAGAAATCCTCAAACAACCCGCCGATGCGGCTCTACACTTCAGGTAAACCGCATTTTTCAAATTAAACATTTTTCATTTAGATTACACCCACAACTCATCTCATTCTTCGGCCGCGACCAAGCCGGCATCGAGCCCGCCAAACGCAGTGTCATCAAACGACACCGCAAATCGTCGATCGTCTATAAATAACGCAAAAACCTTTTCCCCGCCCTATTCTGCTGACCTCCTTGAAATTCCCCGCCCCGCGCTCCTCCTCCTCTATTTCAGGCATTCCGCATATCAGTTGAAAAGCGACCAGAGATTTTTTCGAGCCGGTTGCTAGCTTTTTTCCACCTCGTCCACCGTCCCAGAGCTTTCTACCATACTCTATTCTTTGCTATCTGCACCCTGTGGATGGTCATTTGGTCCTGCGCGCATTTTACCGCTTTTCCTTGTTACGCAACGAAACAGCCAAAATATTGTTTGTTTTATAAAATCTACAACTCAACCTCTAAAAATTACAAATTAATGAGACGTTTCAAGGCGGTTATTGCCTGTTTATTTTTATAATCACTGAAATACAGAAACAGCCTTCACCCTAAACATTTCTAGCTTTCAAAAAATGTAAAACTTGCTTGTTTATAGAATTCAACCTCTGAAACGCTAACTTTTAAATTAATGAGACTTTTTAACGCAGCTATTTTTTATTTATTGCTTATAATCAACTGAAGCGCAGAAACAGCCTTCACCCTAAACATTTTCGTTTTGAAAACCGTTGTTTTTTATTAATTTAAAGTTTTAAAAACGTTAGAAATAACAAAAATCCTCCATGTGGGTAGGCTACGCGCGGATACAAATAACGCCGCGAGTCGGTGCGCCCATCGGCTCGTCGACGAGAAATGTGAAAGAACGGGAGACCCAGCTGGCGAAATATTTCTCTTTTCCTCGCGAAAAAATGAATTCCGGGCCTCATCGTTTGATATTTGATAGTTGCGCGATTCAGATACGCTTTCCTGTATTTTTAACTTGGTTTTTGCACCGCGCTCTTTCCGCCGAACGAGAAAAATCGCTTCGAAAAACGTCGTATTTCGCGATCTAAATTTTTTCGATAAAAACTCGGCCCTGGAACCCGCAATAATTACCATATTCTGAATCTTCACCAAAAACTAAACTATATAGGGCTTTTAGAAACAAAAAGGGCGCTATTTCGGTATAGGGGACCCACTTTTATTATACCAAAACTGGGGTTTGTGCGATGTTTTCCTGGATAGTTTTCCGCGCTGGTTCCGAAAAAACACCTCGCTAACTTTAAAACCTAACATTTTCACAAAAAAATTGATTTTAGTTTAATGGGCTGCTAGGGAATCTAGCGGCGCAGGCCCGACTTTTGGCTACAATACACTCCTAGCTCCGTTTTTGAGGCTTAAACGTATGCATAAATAATGCTAAATGCTAGCAAGCTCGATCTTAGATTCATTGAGACCAAGCCTAGGCGACCCTGATCTACGTTAACGTGAGTAGAGCCCACCTGTAAACTAGGCCGGCTCTTCGCCCCTGTAACGTAAAGTAAGGTCGCGATAAGCTGTTATTAAAACACGGAAGCGTGTGTGTTCCAATACTTAGATTATACTTAGCGCATTTGACGCACTGGGACACCGTATTTCGGAACAAGCGCGCAAAATTACACCAGAAGAAGTGGTTTTTATAGTAATCAAAGTGGGTCCCCTATTCCGAAATAGCGCCACAAAAAGTCCTGATTTTCCCGGCGATACATTGTTTGGACGTTTTCTGTTGTCTTTTATTTTATCCCTTTTCAATCCTCGCATATCAGTTCCTTTTCAGTAATCGACTCCCGGGCCGGCAGCCATGAAGGTCGAAACCTGCTGCTACTCCGGCTACAAGATTTACCCCGGCCATGGGAAGAGGTCCGTCAAGGTCGACGGAAAGGTTTCTTTGATAATTTGCATCCTTTACCTTCCTATTAGGTCCAAATTTTCCTCAACGCCAAGTCCCAGCGAGGAACGGCCCTGAAGCGCAACCCTCGTGAGGTCACATGGACCGTTCTTTACCGAAGGAAGAACCGAAAGGTATAATTTTATCGAATCCCCTTGTACGGTTTTCTCATTTTAGGGAGCCCACGGTGAGGAGAGCACCCAGAAGAAGAAGACCAAGAAGACCGTCAGCCACATCACCCGCGGTATCGGAAGTCTGACGCTCGACGCCCTGCTCGCCAAGCGCAACCAGAAGCCCGAGTTCAGGAAGGCCCAGCGAGAACAGGCCGTCAAGGAGGCCAAGGATGCCGCCGCCAAGAAGAAGGCCGCAAACAAGGTATACATTTTTACTTTACCCAATCGTTATTGGTGCTTGAAATCCTGGACCTGTCATCGCGGTCGACAATTCCGTTTTTTGTTGGAAATGGGCTAAATTAATGATTCGCACTGCCGTTTTCAAAGCCCAGGGTCACCTCGGCCTCGGCCCGCGCGAGACGTATGATTGAGTAACACGCTGAGGCCTATTGATAAGCCGAAGCTAAACCTAGGCTTGTGACAGGCTAAACCAGACCTGTGACAGCCGGCTGAAAGCAAAGCGGCGACCTGGCAATTGCATAGTACCGCTTCCTTTTCACGACTCTCGATCATAAATAATATTTTCTTTTCAGGAAAAGAAGGCTTCGCAACCCAAGGCCGCCCTACCGAAAGCCCCGAAGGCCGTCAAGACCCAGCAGCCCCGCGTCGGCGGCAAGCGCTAATTTCCTTGTAACTTGTTATTTGTTCAATAAACATTTATTGTGCCAATTTTGCTCTATAAGCCTCCCAAGTTGACGGACTTTTGCAACATTACCTCGTCGCAAAGAAGAGTTGTCCTGTGTTGCTGCCTGTATTTTTCGTGCACTAGGAGGATCAGGAAATATGAGCAACAACTGTTGTGTAATTTCCCCTGTTGAGCAAATTGGCTACTAAAACGTCGCTTTTCGCTAGTTGCGCAGACGTTGTTGCTCATCTCTCATGATGCTCTGGAGATAGTCTATCTTCGATATCCGTGTCTGCGTGATTTTTCAAGGCTAAGTTACTTCTAGGCCATGACTGTCAGCAAGCTGAAAACGAAGGGCAAAAAGAAGGGGCAGAGCCTGGACGACAAGGTCCGGAAGAAGCTCCACCTGAACAAGCAGGATCGAGGACGGGTCATCAAACAGAAGAAGCGGCTTGCCATCAAGGTACAGCGCCCAGATTCCTATCGACTATTTTCTTGTAGAAAGCCGTAGAGGAGCGCGTCAAGGAGAACATGGCCGAGCTGGGCATCAGCGGGCGTACGCGCGAGCCCTCCGTTGCCTCCGAAAGCAGTTTTGGATCGGTGCCGCCGCCGAAGAGACTGAAAAAGAGGGTATGAAGCTTTACACACTCAAATCCTGAGTTTTAGGTCTCCTTCTCGGCGACACTTTGCGAGCAGAAGGAATTCAAGAAGACGGACGAGATCGAGGCGCGCCTTTCAGAAGCTTCACCTGGGCGCAGCATTTTGTCAACGCCAAACAAAAAGGTGAAATAATCTGCTTTTTTATAATTTAAGCCTTTCTAGAGTCTTCGAAAGGCGGCCGCTGCCAAAGCAAATACCGAGATCGCTGACGCTGACGACAGTATGGATGGTGTAGAAGAATCAACCGACACACCGACCCCTAAAAAAGCCACCACCAAAGTTCCAAAGATCAAGCCGGTGCTGCAGGTATATTTTGCCACTTTTCTGTAATACATCTTTGATTTTTTAGGTCCCAAAGAAAGTGAAAGAACAGCTGATGAATATGCCGCGCAAGGAACGGAAGGCTTTCCTCGTCGAGTTGCGCAAGAAGCAGAAGCCCAATCTAACCATCGCCAACGACTGTAAAGCACTTTGGGAACGGGCCCGGATGAAGAAGGTCGCCAAGGACGAGAAGGACGAGATCATCAGGAAATTGGTCGGGCTCGTCAAAGGCCATGCAAAGCAGCTCATCTACGCCCACGACATGTCGCGCATCTTCCAATATTTGCTAAAGTTGGAGCGTGAAGGTAACCTTTTGTTTTGATGGGCGTATGATCTTTTTTAGGTATCACCGAGATGCTCTTCCACGAGCTGAGCTCCGAGCTGGTGCGCATGTCGAAGAGCCCCTATGCCCGGTTCTTTGTGAAGCGGATGCTAAAATATGGGTTGGTCTTGTCGGTTGATTTCTATTTTCCGTTCAGTTCTCGTCAACAGCGTTCTACAATTATCGACGCGTTCCGGGGACACGCCGTGGCGATGCTTGGCAACGTTTTTTCTGCAGATGTAAGTTTTGTGCGTTCATCCTTTCTTTACAACCAATTTCAGATCCTTGAATCCGTCTACAACGAGTACGCCAACGCCCAGCAGCGCTTCGACATGATCACCGAATTTTACGGGAAGGAATTTGTGATTTTTAGAGTAAGCGTACCGTTTTCTTTTCCTAAAATATGGTTTAGCTTGACAAAATCAAGACCCTTGACGAGATTATTGCCGCCGAGCCCGCGAAGCGACCCCTGATCACCAAATATCTGGAGGAAATCCTCGTCGACAAATGCACGAACAAGTAAGGGAATCGAAGAATGCGTTTATTTTTCTTTAGAATTACCCTGCGCCATTCGCTCGTCCACAAATTGATGTCCGACCTGTTAGAGCACGGGGACAAGGACCAGAAGAGCAATTTGCTGGATGCTGTCAAGGATAAGGTATTGTTTTTTAGTTTAACAATTATGATGTATCTTTGTAGATTCCCGAAATCGTTCACACTCCATATGGTGCGCGCGTGGCGATGAAATGTGTGTGGATGGCAAACGCAAAGGACCGCAAGGTAAAAATTTACCTTGTCTTCAAAAAACCCTATTTAGCTGATCGTCAAGAACTTCAAAGACCTCTCCGTGAAGGCAGCGAAAGAAAAGTTTGGACAGCGGGTACGACTTTTCCCAATTTCTTTTGAATTAGTATTTTTAGGTACTCTGCACCATCTTCGATCAAGTCGACGACACCAAGCTCGTCAACAAGTTCATAACTTCGGTACGTTTGGCGTTGCACTTCTCAACTGAGGTTTTAGGAATTGGGCAACCACGTCGGTGACTTGATGCAGGATCGATGGGGCTGCCTATGTCTCGAGTACATTGCACACCCTCGTGACGGGCGCTCGATGGACCATGCGGTAAGAATCAGTTATTCGCAAAATATACCGATTTTTCTAGTTGATCAAAGAGCTGGAGCGGGGCGATGGCAACGAGCATTCGAAAAAGGAAAAGAAGGACAGGTACTTTTTCTAAAGTTTCAGCATTTTTTCTTTTAGATATGCCGAAATCTTCGAACAAATCGCGAATCCGCTGCTCACCTACTGTGCCGCCAACATGGACGAGCTGATCTTTGGGCAAATGGCGCCCGTTACCGTGCACACCGTCCGAAAGATGCTAGAGCTTCCAAGTAAATTTTTCAGCAAAAAATCAAACCAATTTAGTTCCCCGTGATCTCTTTGAACGAAAGGTGGAGGGCGCCGATCGGATCGCCTGCTACGAGGCCATCGCCAAGCTCGCCGCCGAGGAGTTCATCCCGATGAACCCGGAACGTTTCCACTTGGTGCGTTTTATGCTCTTTTTTTGAAAATCTCTTAGATTGAATCCACGAACGGCGGCTACCTGGTCGGGCAACTTCTGCGCCAAGATTCGCGATTGCCCGTTGAGCAGCGACTTTCCACGCAGTTCATCACGCATGTGCCGTTGGAGTCGTTGTCGGGCTGGCTTTCATGTAATAAGGTACATATCAGAAAGTTATTTGGATTTTTGAGAATTTTCTAAAAGGCTTAAATTTCTTTGTTTCTAAGATTTTTATGCTTTTTGGCTACTTTTGGAAACCTAGATAATGGCTGCGAAGGAATTTCGATCAGCCTGATTTGAAAAAAATGTTTTTGCAAAAATAAAACGAATTCTTTCTGGATTCCTTCTGAATTTCATATTTTAGGGCTGCTTCGTCCTGCTGCGCATGTGGGAACACGGCGGCGATGCCGTGCAAAAGAAGCTGCGCAAGCTGATCGACGTGAAACGGCTCGAACGGTAGTTTCCCCATTTTTTTGTGTTTACCCGAATTTTTTAGGTACTCCTTCGTCGGGGCACGCCTGTTGCGCGAGGCGTTAACTGGAGCCAAGGCTACCGTGAAGAAGGAAGTAAAGGAGGAGCCCGGCATAAATGGTGTCGCGCTCGATGAGGTATCCAAACTTCAGATTTCCTTGATTTTTCTGTCTAGGATGAATACGAGGTGCTGGACGACGGGGACGACATGGAGCAAGCCAATTCCGACAGCGACGACTAGAGAGTTACCCCCCCCCCCCCCCCGCGCTGTTAATCTGTCTTTTTTTAATGTTAAATGTATTTGTTGTTTTGTTACTGCCCTCGTTGTTATGTCTGTTCGATGGCATTGAATAAAGAGTTAGTTCGTCCGTCGTTGACTCGGAAATGGCAATGCAGACTTGGTAGCAACAGGATTTCGGCAAGCATTTGGGATGGTCAGACGAACAACGGATATGATAAGGTCTATTCTTCTAGGCGCTCTATATAATTCTCTCAAGAATGAGTGCGCTTACTCTTTTTCAAACGTCGCGGTGGCCAGCGAACCACAGCAGACTTCGCGCGGCGTACACTCGCCACTTCTCCGGAAGGGCGTCGGCGAACTTCGTCAGCGAACCAGCTCGGCGTGGCTTTTGCTTATTTACCACGCGAGAATCTTTATATGGTAGTTTTTGAAGCAGGGTTGACCCTGCTTGTGTCAGAGCTTTAGAGACAAATTTAGAGATATTGAAATCAGATACCAGATCTTATGGGATACACTGTTGAATGAAAAGATACGCAGTTTCCGCGGCGGCAGTTTCCAGATAGCGTTTCTAAATTCTCTAGCTTACGTTGGGAGCATCAAATGCGAAATATTCCTTCAATACGAATATTTTCGGCCCAGACACGTCCTTCATCTCAAATTTGGTGTCAGGTAAAGCTTGCGGTTGGGAGGAGGAGCTTCGTTCCTTTTTTTCTACAAAGTACTTTCGCGTTATCATCTCGATCGTTCTGAAAGTGTGCGTCACTTTGCACGTTGAACTTTGCGTCACCTGTGTTAAGTTTTAATTGGCTAAAAAAGGAAAATATAATGGCCCAGGCGGGTTGCCTCGCAAGTGTGCTGGCCAAGCCAAGGCAGCCCGCCTCATGTTCTATAAACGTCCTATAAAGATAAAATATCTTGTACAAATGTACATTTTTACGGGCTGGGATACCGTTTTTCGGAACACGCACGAAAATTTACACCGGAAGTGGTTTTTAGACTAATCAAAGGGCATTTCGTAAAGCTCGAACCCAGGGAGCCCAAGACAGTTTTGCAGTATGAGGGTATAAAATTCGTATTAAATCTTGTAGTAATGCACCAATACTAGTATAATAGCCCAAAATTAAGGGTAATGGTACTTTAATATACCTCCGGAAGCTCCTTGAGCTCCCTGGGCTCCCTGGGCTCGAGCTTTACAAACTGCCTAATCAAAGTACGTCCCCTATTCCGAAACAGCGCCAAAACGAAGAGATCTGAACAGTGCTGTAGAAGTGATTTTGCTGAACATCCTCGCAAGCCGTTTGTGAAATTAGGTACTACCCCCGGAGCTAGTTAAGTCTGGTGGCCCCAAGGGCGTCAAAAATTTTTGTCGATTGTGGGGGGGGCGTCCTCGAAGAGCCTAAAAACAAGTGTCCTGGGCTAATTTGGCGTGCTAATTTAGTATTTGACGCCTTTAGAGCACCAATTTAATCTTGGGCTAGAAACTACAAAGCCCCCTAAGTTATCAATATCGGCGAAAAACACCTTTCCGGGGTCGTTTTTCGCGATCAGCCTGAAGAGAACAATGCCTACATTATCCAAATATCCGAATTTCAGAGACAAAGATAACCATAATCAGATTCGTCGGGGAAACGCAACCCGGAAAGTAGTTTTACTCGAGTTTTTGCGACATTGGCACTACAGATACCAACTTGTTGCATTCTTCGTAGTTTGTAGCTCAAATTTAAAAATTTGTGTGCTCTAAAAGTGCCAAATTCTAACTCAGCACATAAAACTAGCCTCGGGAGCCCTTTTATATGATATATAGGACGATCAGGCGCCCACGTTTAGGGAAAATTTTTTGACGCCCTTGGGGCCATCCGACTTTCAACTAGCCTCTTGCTCTTGTTACGCTCCGCAGCTGTTGCGAGAAGCGTCGAGGTACGCAGGCGAAGTTCGCTAATATAACAGATTCGCTCTGTCGCGGCGAAGTTCGCCACGGTTCGCTGGCCACCTTGCCGAGCCCTGGTTCGCTGGCCACTGCGCCAACGTTCGCTAGCCAGTTTGCCAACCCTTTAGGTTCGCCGGTCACCGCGCCGTTTGAAACAGAGTACGGTCGTGCTCCGGAATTGATCGGAATTTTTAAAAGTTCGACTGAAAAAAGCCATTTTATGTAATTGTTTCCTCTCTCTCCCTATGCTGGCTTTCCCCCATAGAGCGCTTTTGTCGTTGGGCGCTTTCTGGCATTGGGCGCTTTTGCTTTGGCGCTTCTGCGTGCGCGCTTTTGTCGTTGGCGCTTTTGCTTTGGCGCTTTTGTCACCCTCCCAAAAACCTGCATCAAAATTCAAATTATTTGGTCTTTTTGTAACTTTATCATTCTTAGTTGTAGCTTTCTTGAATTTTTGATGCCTATCTTTTCGATATGAGCAAACGCCATAAAAGACTATTTTGGTTTTCAAGTTTTATTGAATCTGGCGAAGGCCGTCCCTGTTGTTCTCTCCAAATCAAACATTCATGTACTTTTTCTATGAATTTTTACATATTTCTACTTCTTATATTCTGTTTTCGCTTTGACTTTTATATCATCCTTTTCAGTGCTTCCCGTACAACAATGTCACACCGCGACGATGACTCTCAAGCGAGTAAGCCTGGTGTTATGTTCTTAAAACTCGTTTTTAGACGCCACCCAGAGATCTGACGGCGGTGAGGAGTACGACAGGGACATCGAAGAGGCCCTCGGCAACTATGAAGACGCCCCGGATGAGGAGGAAGATGAGGGTGAAGATCTTTTCGGAGACAACATGGAACGGTGAATTTTTCTTCTATTTATTTGCTTTTTGAGCTTTCGGATTTAGATTGTTGCTCTCCCTTCTTCTTTATGAAGTGTATCTGCATTTTTCAGATTTTATCGCGAACAGCCCGAGCTCGATCGCCTCTCCGAATCCGGCCTCGACGACGACTCTGATGTCGACGAATACGATCCGGAGGCCAGACGGCGCGCCGAAGCCGAGATGAATCGCCGCGACCAAATCGACGACCCGGATCGGCTGCTCTTCGGGCCGATGGAGACTGACGGACGCAAGGATCGGCGTAGACGTCGAAGGCGCGGACTTGACGAAGATGAGGAGATGCCGGCGGACGAGGACGAAAACATCCCGATCGACATCATCGAGAACATGCGCGGACGGTCGATGAAGGATCACGTCAATGACGAGGCCGTAGGGCGGGAGATTGAGCGCCGGTAAGCATTGGTCCGTTTTTGGCATACTGGTTGCTTTTTAGTTTCAAGAAGTTCATCCGCACGTTCCGCGAGGAGGGCAGCAGCCGGATCAAGTACATGGACGCCGTCCAGAAGATTTGCTCTGAAAACAAGTAAATTGAAGCGTTTTGGCGAATATTTAAATTTAGGGATTCGATCACGGTCAACTACGACGATCTGTCGGTGGATTGCGGAGAGCAGAATATCGCCTACTTCTTGCCCGAAGCCCCGCTTCAAGTAAAAAAAATCACGCTTTTCCTTCATGTCTATTTTTAGGTGCTCGCGCGCCTGAACAAGGCCATTTCCGATATTGTCTTCGAAGTCTTCCCGTTCTACAGAAATATCTGTCCCGAAATCAAGGTAAATTGCTTAATTTTTTGTCTGATTGCCATTTTAGGTCCGTGTCAGCGATCTGCCCGTCCAAGAGAACATCCGGATGCTCCGTCAGCTTCATCTCAACATGCTCGTCCGCACCTCTGGCGTCGTCACCCAGACCACAGGTTTTTCATATTTTTTTTAACGCAATTTTTGTTTAGGAATCCTGCCGCAGCTGTCGTTGGTGAAGTATGACTGCGTCGTCTGCAAGTATCTGCTCGGCCCCTTCTACCAGCAGCAGAACGAGGAGGTCAAGCCGACGATCTGCCCGTCGTGCCAGAGCAAGGGCCCCTTCGAGCTGAACGTGGAGAATGTAAGGTTTTTATCGTGTTTTTTTTTTGAGATTGGCTATTTTTATTACGAAACGCCTGTTTTTGAGCTTCAAACATGCCAAATATTCCGAGTGTCATTTTTGTTTTTAGACGATCTACCAAAACCTCCAACGTATCGTCATCCAAGAGAGCCCGAACAAGGTCGCCGCCGGCCGCCTGCCACGCAGCAAGGACGTCATCCTCCTCGGCGACCTTTGCGACAGTTGCAAGCCCGGAGACGAGATTGTCAGTTTTCTAGATTATTTCAGTTATTTTCCTTTTTAGGACGTGACCGGCATCTACACAAACAACTACGACGGCGCGCTCAACTTCAAGCAGGGCTTCCCCGTGTTCACCACCTTCATCCAGGCCAACCACATCTACAACCGGGACAAGGTCGAGGAGAACCCGCTCAGCGAGGACGAGCTGAAGGTAACGATCTGATTTCTGAGCGTCTAAATGTTTTTAGATGATTCGGGAGCGGTCGAACGATCCGCAGATTGCCGGCCACCAGTTCGCCTCCATCGCCCCGTCAATTCACGGCCACCAGGACGTCAAGAAGGCCATCGCGCTCGCGCTGTTCCGCGGCGAGTCGAAGAACCCGGGCGAGAAGCATCGGATCAGGGGTCGGTAACTTTAGAATGTTGCTAATCTTTTCTTGTTTTTCTTTCTTTTGGGTGATAATGTTGATTTTCAGTTTCGATACCTGGGTTTCAAAAACACCAAGCTTCGCTTTTAAAGATGGGCTAAAATCGGGACTTTCAGAGCGCATTTTCTCGAGAACCGGTCGTTTTTCAGTAGATTTGAAAACCTTTGCTTTTTCAGAGTTTGAAACTATCAAATGAGCGATATGAAATTGCAAAACAAGCCTCCATTATCACCTAAAAATAGTTTTTTCCTAGTTTGGCGTCGCATTTTTATATTTACTGCGTGAGTACCTAACTTTGACGTTTAGGCGACATGAACGTGCTACGCTGCAGTGACCCCGGATGCGCCAAGTCGCAATGCCTACGCTATGCCGGCCACATTGCCCCCCGCGCCGTGCTCACCACTGGCCAGGGCACTTCGGCTGTCGGTCGCACCGCCTACGTGCAGCGCCATCCAGTCACCCACGAATGGACCCTGGAAGCTGGTAATTTTTTTGTGTATGAATGTTTATAATATTTTTCAGGTGCGATGGTGCTCGCCGACAAGGGCGTCTGCCTGATCGACGAGTTCGACAAGATGAACGACCAGGTCCGTACTTCCATCCACGGGGCCATGGAGCAACAGTCGATCTCCGTGTCGAAAGTCGGCATTGTGACGTCGCTGCAGGTAAATTCGGCATTTTTGTTTTCAAATAGTTCCTAGGTAAATAAAATTTTTTGGATCAGGAAAAACAAAAAACGCGATTTCGGACCAAAATTTGACCTATCTCTCCCTCTCTTACTCTCTTCTCTCTCTCTCTCTCTCTCTCTCTCTCTCTCTCTCGCTCTCTCTCTCTCTCTCTCTCTCTCTCTCTCTCTCTCTCTCTCTCTCTCTCTCTCGTTTTAGCAGTGTTTCTCTCTCTGGCAGACAGTGCTCTCTCTCTGACGTGCTCAGACAGTCGGTCCATACGCTCGCGTTGCACGCCGCCGCGCACACCAAATCCGTAGCCGTGCTACAGGGGTTGACAACGGGCCGGGCCCGGGCCTGGATTTCGAGATCCGGGCCGGGCCGGGCCGGGCCCGATTTTGATGATTTTTAAGCAATTTTTGCGAATTTTTGGCCAAAATCGTAATTTTTTTCAATGTTTTCGAAATTTTTCCAAACTTTTCCAACTTTTTTAGGTTCCTTTTGTTAGATTTTGGCTTATAACCCTATTTTCAATTTTTTTTTTGTTCCGGGATTTACAGGCTAGGTTCCTAGGGCCTGTTTTCCTGATTTTTTTTGCCTGAATGGACTAGAAGACACTCCTTGCATGATTTCTAACAGGATTTCGTTTATCCAAAGGATCGCTGAACACCATAGTTCTATATTTCACCAAAAAAAAACGATACAATGCATCTACAAAACCGCCAATAATGGTTATCCGAGCTTTACCATTGGCCGGATCCGACATTTTTGTATTTTGAAAATACAGTTTCTAATGTTTTTATGTTTATTAATATTTAGAAAATAAGAATAGTTGATAGTTATTAGTTGTCTATATTAGATAGTATGATAGATAGTTAGTTTATACTTAGATTAAAAAACTTGGGTCTTAGTGGAAAAAAATTTTGACCCCCGCTCTGACCCTAGGTGTCTGACCGGGCCCGACGGCCGGGCCTTGGATTTTGGCTTTCGGGCCGGGCCGGGCCGGGTCTGGGGTCGGCTGGGCCCGGCTTCCGGGCCTCGGCCCGGCCCGGCCCGGCCCGTTGTCAAGGCCTGCCGTGCTATAGTTGTCCCTTTAACAGGGGTTTTGAGAAGCTACATCTGAATTAAGCTATGAAACCATCCATTTTCAGGTCGTCGATGACCGTCCCCGCGTGATGCGGATTCGGCGCATCTGGCCGCTCGTTACCCTGTGTTGCTTCATTCTTCTGGTCCCTGGAGCTCAAGCAGAGCCTGGCGAGTGAGTTTGCACAATTTTTTTGCGGTCTGCTATTTCTTACTAATGTTATTTATTCTCACACCAGGGATCACAAGCCCGCGAGCACTAGCAAGGGTTGGACTACTAGACGCTTATCGGGCAAACATAACTTTGGTCTATCGCCCCGTAGCATCTCAGTAATTAAATACAGACCATTTCCAGGCCTTGATAACGGGTCGGGCCGCGCCGGGCCGGGCCTGAGGGGGTCGCCCAGCCAGGCACGGGCCCGGCCCGGCTCGGACCAAATCGGGAATTTCAGGCCCGTGCCCGGCCCGGCTAGGACCAAAGCGGGAATTTCAGGCCCGAGCCCGGTTTAGTACGCGGGTATAAGGCCAGGGTGCGCGGATCAAAATTTTTCGACTATGAGCGGGTTTTCTGTTATAAATGGAGGCACTACTTTTTAAGCCTTTTTTTAACTAATTACCAGCGCTGACCCCCCGCTGCGCGGGGGTTCAGCGCTGGCTTCCCTTCCCCACACAATTTGAGTTTTGAATTTGAATGCAGAATTTGGCTGAATTCCTGGACGGGCGGACGTACGGACATTAGAAATTTATATAACTAATTATGAGCATAAAAACTTTACAAACTGCCTAAAAACAAAACAAACTATTTACAAATCTCGTGGTGCCGGCTAAAGGTAAAGGCGATCATCGACAATTTTTGTAGGTGTTCTGCAGTTTTTCGCCTAAGATCTATAAAGCTGATCCTGACGATGCCCCACATCAGGTTGCAAACCATCCCAAAAGTTCCTGCTAGTCCATTCAGGTGGAAAGAAAAATATTTCAAGCTCCTAAATCTCCTAGAGCTCCAAAGAAAAATTGAAAACCGGGGCTGTTAATCACCCGGCTACGGTCACTTATTGTTAAAAGCACAAATTACCAGAAAAAAATGAAAAAAAGTCGAAAAAACATAGATTTTTGGTTCAGAATTCGAAAATTTTTCTCCGAAAATCATGCACCAGGACTGATCCGGGCACAGCAGGCCCGGCCCGGCCCCGCCCGGACCTCGACGTCCAGGCCCGGGCCGGGCCTTGGAACCTGGCCCGTTGTCAAGGCCTGACCATTTCTATCGCTTTTACGCCCTTTTTAAAAATCGAAAGTTCATAAAACTTAATTGGGTAAATATGGGATCCATTCCCCCATTCCACGATTTCTTATCAGGCCCGATGGGCGGGTTTAAATTTGTCTCTGTACGCTGCCTTGCGCATCTGTCCAGCTTAGGGATGCACTAACGATAATAGTTTTGGGTTCTTGTGTATTGCCGGGGGGGGGGCGAACTTTTTTCGGCCCAAGCCTAGATTTTTTATATAAATAATGACAATGTTTCTAAACTGTTCTATTCCTAAGCATAAAAACTTTACAAAATTTAATTTCAGGTCGAAAATCAATTTTTTTCGGCCCAAGAATGACCAAATTTTCGACTTTTTCAAGCGTTTTTCTAACTTTTTAAAAAGTTTTTCCGATTAAAATAGGCTTAAATTTTGCTAAAAACAATGTGAAAACACTTTATATTTAATTACTATCCCCACCAGGGCCGACAGGAACGATTGCACATAATATTATTTAGAATTTTCTAGCCCGTAGGATAGATTTGCGTACACATTTTCGAAAGTCATATTTTCGAAAAGTCAGATTCAGGGACGTAGCGTAATGTAGGTGTTCCCTCGGGGGCTGACTGATAATGTTGTTAGCACTAATGAACGGCTATATATCAACGTCTTACAACCAAATTCTTTCTATATAACGCATGCCAATATAATAATTCGGTTTTTATAGACATCAAAATTAGAATCGAATCGAATCTAATAATGCTTTTGATGCACCCCTCAGGAAAGGATCCAGGACGCAAGGCCAAGATTTTAAAGACCGTCAGAACACTGGAAGTGAACGGCGCTTATCAGTTTGATCAGACCGTTATCAGTGCACAGATAGGCGATAGGCGCTGCGCGTTGCCGCCCCCGGAGCAAAATCTCCTCTCATTAGTGCGCGCTTTTGGCTACGCACGGGTCCAATTTGCGTTTGGTTCAGGTGTCCTTTTGGTTTGCCACCCTCGGGGTGACAGTGCGCGTTCCATCGTTCTGACAGTCTTTAAGTGCAGCTTCCGGGCCCGAAAAGTTCATAAGGGGGGACGCTTATGATTTTGCTTTCTCAAAAATTTTTCGATTTTTCTGTTTTTTCCTTAATGTATCAATTTTGTTACAAAAATTTTTTCTGTCCCTCGCCGAAATTTTTTTCTGGCTACGCCCCTGGTCAGATTTTCGAACGTCATAGTTTTGGAAAGTCAGATTTTCGAAAGCTTCTATCGATTCCCAAGACTTTGTTAGGCAATTAGTGCGGCAAAATTTTATCGTTAGCTACCTTGGCAGATGCGCAGATGGCACCAGGGAAGCTGCACTTATGAAATCTTGGCCTTGGGTCATGTTTTTTTCAATCACTTGAGAGGGCCTTGTATTAGAGGGGGGGCTTATATTCTTTTGTTCGACCAAAATCTCGAAAATGGGGGGGTAAAATGGTCGGTTTTTGACCAAAAACGCATTTTTTCGCTATAGAACGCTTATATGGCGAGACACCCAAGCAAGCCTTGGCACAGTTTTTCGACCCTATTTTTATGATGCCATCTGAAAGAGCGTGGCCGGATTAGTAGGGTAGTAGGGTCATAGTTTTGAAACTTTGAAAAGTTATTTTTTTTTTGTGTTTTATGGGCGTCAAAGTTGTCGACCACGAAAACTATCTCGAAAACTACAGACATGGCAAAACGGCCGCCGCGGCCGGCCGGAAGCCGCATGCAAATTTTTTTCACGGCTTTTGCAATGAACTGCTCGTTGCCTTTTTTCTTTTCAGAAATCATGCAAATCAGTAAAATTCCACTCGAAATCCTAAAAATCGGTCATTATTTTCGCCATGGTGCAGCCGCGGCCGGCCGCGGCCGGCCAGACTCTTTTTTGGAGACGGCCGCGGTGGCCGGGATTTCCTACCTTATATAATTTGGTCGCGTATCTTTGTGTGTGTGTGTGTGTGGATGTCACTTTCGAGGCCTGATTTAAGGACCTTCGCCTGGATAAAATGCGCTACTTTTCCGTCACTTGGGCGAATTGACCCTCCTCTTTCCGATGGCATTTTCAGAATTTCGATAAAATACAAGTTTACAAAGTTAAAGCCGATTTTATTCATTTTTGGGGGTCCAGGAGGGCTAATTTGCATATTGTGAAAAAATACAAATTTACTCATTCTGGCCAGTTGCACTCGCGGGTTTGGTCGGGGGCGGGGGAGGGGGTCCGCAGGACCCAGGCTATCGGAAAGTCAAATTTTTCATGCAAAGGCCGCATTCCAGCGCCCAAGGCCCGCGAAGCGGGTTTTGGGCGCTGGTATCCTACTATATATAAAAAAATAGTGTCTATGTGTGTGCATTTGCATGCAACTTCCGTCCGGCTGTTCCACACGTATCGGGTCAGGGGAAGGTTTTTAAGGTATGGGAGGTATGTCATTAGGTGAGAAATCGGCTTGGCATGAATGCCGACCTACCAGATTTTACAAAAAAAGCTATTTTCGATATTAAATTGTAGATTTTCGCTAAAATTCGGTCACACCACTTTGTTAAACAAGAATTTGCATTCGCCGGAAGCGGTTGACGCCTATATAAGCCAGCAAAGGAGATCATTTTCATTTTTTGCCAAGCGGGTTTGGCCAGAACTATCCAAAGTGGAGACGGTTTGGGGATCGGGACGGGGCCAGGGTTGAAAAGCCGCGAAGCGGTTTTTCAACCCTGGTATGCTAATAAATTTCTAATGTCCGTGATCCCGCCGACCGGGAATTCAGCCAAATTTTGCATTCAAATTACAAATTCAAAAGTTGGGGCGGGAGAAGGCCAGCGCTGAACCCCCGCGTAGCGGGGGGTCAGCGCTGGTTTATGCTAATTTCATATGCGGCCGGCCGCGGCCGGCCATGGGTAGCTACGGCCGGGCCGGCCGGGCCGGACCGCGGCCACTTGCCATGTCTGGAAAACTACTGAACCAAATTCTTTGAAAATTTGTGTGAATACCTAATTTGGGGTGGGGATCATCTCTAATGCATTGCAAACCCCAAAAATGAACATGGTTAAATTGCGTACTAAAAACAGTTTTTCGACACTTTCGAATTTTGGGACACCTCAGCGCAACTGCAAAATAGCATAGAAAGATGCGCCAAAAAATTCTGCGTCGGATGACGTATTGATCGTGTTGCGCCCAGGTGTCCCAATTCGAATATAACGCGATTCTTGTGCTGAAAATGCACCAAAAATGACCCCGAAAATTACAAAATTACGAATTATGAAAATCCAAGACATGGAGTTGCATGTAGTCATCATGCTGAAGCTGTTGCAAAAAAGAGCAAAAAGAAATCCGGCCTTTGAGAGGGGCAGGAATCGAACGCGGTTCGTGCGCCTGGGAGCCCTATGGCGCAATAAGTAGGGCGTCGGCGTACCATTCCAGAGCCCGGCCTGGGTGCCTTACAAGGCATTACGACATGTAATCGCGGCGCACTCAAAATGACGTTTTCGCCCCAAAAAGAATTCGGTTTTTCTCAAATATTTTACGTTTTTTTTTTCGCAATCAAATCACTTTACTGGCACTTCTAGGCAGTGACTCTTTCGTTTTTTGACCAGTAGGGTCAATCCTCGGAGGCACGAATTTTGACTTCCGAGCCCCTTTAAAAGCGAAAAATTCCAGTATTTGTATGAAGAGGTAACCAATAGCATTCTTGCCGATAAATAAATGTTTCAATTTTTTAGCTTCTAAAATTCTCTGTAACTTAGCTGGGAACTACCCGATCAATTTGAAACTTTGAATACTAGTTAGTGAAGCCCCCTTTAAGCTCCTATAAAAATTACAGGAATTTTTGTGGTGTTTTACCTAGATTCCCGGAATGGTTACCCACCCTTTTGGTCGGGTAGGTCCAGCCTTAACAAAATTATTCCCAGAATGGCATTCCGGGAATTTGTCTAAAATTCCCGGAATAGATGAAAACGCATTCCGGGAAAGGATTCCCTGAATCATTCCCAGAATTAATTCAGGGAGATTCAGGGAGATTCCGGGAATGAAAAAGGCGTTCCCGGAATAGTTGAGGCCGGGCTCAGAGCTGGCGCCAGTTCAATCCCAGCCCCCTCTCAAAAGCCGAATTTCTTTTTGCTCTTTTTTTGCAATGGCTTCAGCATGATGACTGCATGCAAATTCATGTCTTCCATTTCCAAAACTAGCAATTTTGAATTTTTAGGGATCGGTTTTGGTGCATTTTCAGCACACGAATCGCGTTATAGTAAAATTGGGACACTGGGGCAACACGATCAATGCGTCGTTCGACACAGAATCCTTTGGCGCATCTTTCTATGTTATTTTGGAGTTGCGCTGAGGTGTCCCAAAATTCTAAAATGTCGAAAAACTGTTTTTATTACGCGATTTAACCATGTTCCGGTCGTTTTTGGGTATTGCAATGTATTAGAGAAATGATTCCCAAATTAGGTATTGACACAAATTTTCAAAGAATGTGCTTCAGTAGTTTTCGGGATAGTTTTCGATGTCGACAACTTTGACGCCCGGTACACATAGGATAACAGGGGGGGAAAAAAATAACGGGGGGGCACTCATTATTATGAAATTTGCAATTACTGAGGGATTTTGCGAGTGCCATTCGATAGAGCGTCGAAAAATATACTAAGAGAATTAATTTGAGCCCAAAATAATGTAATGGAAATTTTTTATTGAATAAACAAAAATTGAGGAAAAGCTATGGGCAGCACATAGGATAACGGGGGGGGGAAAGTCAAATTTTCGAAATTTTCGAAATTTTCGGTATTTTGAAAACGTCATTCGGTAAAGCGTCGAAAACTGCCCTAGGAAAATTAATTTCAGCCCGAAATAATGTAAATGAAATTTTTATCGAATAAACAAAAAATTGAGCAAAAACTATGGGCAGCACATAGGATAACGGGGGAAAGCCAAATTTTGCGATTTTCGATATTTTGAAAACGCGAATCGATAGAACATCAAAAAATATACTAAGAGATTTTTTTACAACGCGAAAAAATGTATTATAAAAGTTTTATAGCCTAAAAACTATTTTTGGAAACTATGGGCAGCACATAGGATAACAGGGGGGGAAAAAATTTTCGGCGTTTTGAATATTTTCGATATTTTGAAAATGCCGTTCGATAGAGGACCGAAAAATGACTAAGAGTTTTTACAGCCCGAAAAAAGCATATTTAAAAATACTTTTATCATATAAAAAGTTTGAGTGCCCCCCCGTTATTTTTTTCCCCCCCCGCTATCCTATGTGTGCTATCCTATGTGTTTTCGATGTCGACAACTTTGACGCCCATTTAAACCAAAAAAAAAAATCACTTTTTAAACTTTCAAAACATGCCACCCTACTAATTCGGCCACCCTCTTTCAGATGGCATCATAAAAATAGGGTCGAAAAAGTGAGCCAAGACATAATGGGAACAGTTCGAGTGACTGGCGGACGGCCGTTTGAAAATCAGTCAAAATCGCTGTCAAGCATAAACTTCACCTTCTTTGCGTTTTTTTGGTCCATGACGGCACATTTGAGAAAATTTTTGAGGGGATTGTATTAGAGGGGGCTCTATTTTTTTCAATCATCCCGGGGGAGGGGGTTGTATTAGAGGAAATACGCTAATTGAAATTACATTGAATTAATAAATTGATGAATTAAAAGAGGATGCTGGAGCTGAGAGGACGGGGCGAAACAGAAAGATGGATGAATGGGGGAAGATAGTAAATGCTAGGAACGGGTTGAATAAATTGGCGGATCTGCTTTTAATTAGTGTTTAAATGATTTAATTTTTCAGCGCGACCGCCGCTTGGGCCAATTTCTGCTTGAACATGTGCTGGCTCGTTGCCGGTGGGTTGATGGGAGTTGCGGCGGCGCACCATTTCCCTTCTGCCGAGCGACTGATCGTCCACTCTGGAATAGTGGCATTTTTTGCTGGTTTTTTCTACTTTTGGGTGCTCCTCTATCGGGCGTTTTGTGATGGATTTACGGGGATGGTGAGTGATTTGTGGTCTGGTTGTGAAAAACTATTTTTAGTCTATAGAGTTTCCGTGGGCAGCAGTGGCGTGTCTCGCTTCGGCCGGTATCCTCTATTATCTCATGCTCGAAAAATGGCGCAACGAGGACTACGTGAAAAGAAGAATGCGCTCGTACAAAGATCAAGTCCGCGCTGAATTGGCTGAGGAGCGGGTGGGTGATTGGTTTCTGTAGTTCGAAAGCACTTACAATTTGCATATTCCATATTTTTAGTTCATCGGAAAGCGATGCTACTACTGCTGGACGAGGATTATATGTAGGCGCCTCACTCTCTTTTATTTAGTTTTTTTTAGGGCTCCAAGAAAAGCTGAAATGTCGTCAATGCCCCCGTCAAGCTCATCCCCGATGCATCCCCGGCCGCCACGTAGTAGATCGGGTAACTTATCTGCAATTTCGACTGACTTCTGAGACATTCAGGTTCGCCAGCAGTGGAGGTGCCCTTGTATTCATTAATCGCCATCGTTTTTTTGACATCGTAAAGCCAAATCTAAAATTTTCTCTGATTGTTTGCGATAATATTGACATTTGATGACGATTGACCGATTCTTGGACTTGACTTTTGCCGAGTATTGCTACTTCGTTTTTTTGTTGACGTGGGTAGGAATGATAGCGACGAGTGATAGGAAATGGGTTTTGTGCTAATTGCGGCAAATTTTGAGGAAATTTTCATCGATTTTTCTCGATTTTCTTTTGCCTTGCTTGAATACGATACGAAAATACTGTGCAAAAATACTTGTTTTTGAGAAATTGTGAAATTTGGTGACATTCTGTGATAATTCATTGTGTTTTCCGCGTTCTCGTTTGCATTCACATCTATTCTATTAAAATGAATAAATATTCTGATCGTTTCTTTCGTCCAACTCAATTCAGGTGGCACACGGCTCTCTTGCAAGGTTTGACATAGTGAGGCAGGTCGCGCGCATTCCGGAGAGGGGGAGGGAGCGCAGGGGGAACCCCCCAGTTCAGCCGCTTGCAGCGGACTTTTTGCTTTTTGCGAAGCGTGCCTGTTTTTCGATGTGAATCACTAAACTGACACCCAGACTACAGGCTACAATCGTAATTTCGTAAATTCGATGCTTAGAAAGCTGTCACCCACAAGGCGCGGGTTCGCCCCCCCCCAGCCGCGGCGCACTTTTTGCTTTTTGCTTTTTTTTTATAAATCGATTTTATTAATAATTTCAATCTTTTTCAGCCCCTCTCCGACACGTCCGACTACCAGCGCTTCGAGGAGATGCTCCTCCACCTGACGCCGTTGGGGTATGAACAGTTTGTGGGTTCTGAAAACTCGCTTTTTAGATGCACGGTCCCATACAACGTCGTCTACGACGGGAACGGCGACCTCTGGGTGGCCAGCAAAGGTTTGTCGAGTTTTTGATTGGCTTGAAAAATAGAAATTGACTTTTTTAGCCTAGAAACTTTACGAAGAAATGTTTAAGTTTAGCGAGGCCTTTTTTGCGCTCTCATTAGCCTTGATTAGGCTTTTTTATGCTCAGTAGCGTTAGAAAAATTTAGCTCTTAGATGTTTTTAAATTTTTGCGGGAAAATTTTGTCAAATTGTCTTAAAAACACCAAAATATCGATTTGTTTTTTCCAAAACTTCAACCAAAAAAAATTTATAGGCGTTTTTATTGTTTTGAAACAATTTTTTCCACTTCAATATATGGTAATCTTAATAAAAACTCTATTAAAACACCTGCTATTAAATTACTAGGATTTGTGGATGTATATGAACCCCCCCCCCCCGATAATGCAAAAGAACTTGATAACTTACTTACAAAAGTACCCATTTTTTCCCCTTTTCCAGGCGGCGCACTGTGGGCCCGGAAGAACCCATTTCCGAAGAAACAGGCCGCATATCCACAAGTCGCCATCCACAACGACACAATCATCCACACCACCGCCGACGACAACGACAAGATGACGGAGCTGAGGTTTTTCGACTTGGAGGTATCTTTTTTACGATTTTCTAATAGGAATTTGCTGGGGTATTTTGTTAAAAGCATATGAAAGGCAACGCGACGCATAACGCCTTTTTGCCATCTATTGCCAGAAAGTCAGAAATATTTTTTATTAATTTAATCGACGAGGTATAGAGCTAGAGCTTTCGCCGCGAGGCGGGCTTTTTTATGATTATTCTAGGAATCTAGATATTCTTTTATTAAAGGGACGAGCAAAGTAGCGCTGAGTATTTGCCGCTTCGCAACGCGCGAGAATTTTTATTGCCTATATTATTACGAAGATTTTTCGATGGTCAAGCAGCGCGCGTTGAGTGTCGCGAGCACGGAAAATTCCATGGCGAGACCTTGCCCGGCCCTTTAAAAATATTTTCGAAAGTAATTCATGCTCTGTATTGTAACAAATTTTGTAGGAATTTGCCAGGAGTTTTCACTAAATCCATGGAAACTTTTCCGCGCCGCAACACGCAACGCTCCGCAAATCTCCGACGTATCACAGCGCAGAAAATTTTACACCAATCCCTTGGCCATCTCTTTGAAAAATTGAAAAAAATTATTTTTATTGTTCTAGATTAATTCCTTCGTTTCTTATTGAATTGTAGGTTAAAGAATGCTTAATTTCCTAATCTAGTTTCAATTTGTTGTATTTCTCATTTCCAGGGCAACCAGAAGCACGAGCAGTTCATCGACGGCCTCGTGCAGAGCCTGGACGTGTCCCGACGGCACGATGTACATCAGCAAGCAGCCGCGCGGCGAGGAGTACTGTATTTACAAGTAAGCAGGTTTTTGTACGCTAATACACTTATTATTACTTTTTTTTTGTAATTGACATCTATAATTTTGTAAATTTTTGTAAAAGGTTTTTTAGGGCATCGTTCGACGCGCCGCTGGGCTGGGACGAGCTGTGCGCCGACTTCTACATGGCATTCCAAGCCCTGCGCGCCTACGACGATGGGCTGCTGATCAGCGCGTGCGCCAAGGTCCCCGTAAACGTGTACAGCAAGTGGGTCTTATTCTTTTTCTTATTTTTCGGATCTTTGCCATTATCGGGGGCGGGGTGGATTTTTTCTAAGCATCGAAATTTTCTAATCGAAATAGAGGAAGTGTTTCTAAGCTGCTGTTTTTTGCTATTCAAAACGTAAAACTTTACAAATTTTGTTTAAAAATACAAAATAACGGTTTTCCGGTCAAAACTATGATTTTTTCGGAATTTTCAGAGCTTTTTATATAGGTTTTCCACTTTAATATAGTTAGATTTTGCTAAAACCACAATTAAAATACATACTATTAAATTACTAAGAATTTTTGGACTTGGAGGAAACCCCCCGTTAATGTCAAAGGTCCTAATCGCGATTTGACGATTTTTCTAGGCTAGAAAAATGCGAAATTCATTTTTCTAGCATTTTAGCTCTCCTAAAATAGATTTAAACTATTTTTTTTGCAGACAATGCCTCAAGTGGATCAACACCGAGACGGGCGCCGTCGTCAAGAAGGTCCCCTGCGAGGGCAAGAACGACTCGGAGATATTTTTCCCCCGAAAAATTCAAAGGTAACGTCTTTTCACTAATTTTTAAACTAGTACACCTTGAGGCACAACGACGACATCATCGTGGTGGACAAGACGGGGCGTTTCTTGAAGTTTGACAAGAGCGGCGAGTACAAGGGATTGGCCGCCCAAATTGATGCCTATCTCGCGAATGGCTTCTGCATCAAGGACGACGGGGCGGCGATTGTTTGCAGCGGCATCGTGCAGGATGATGTGGGTTTAGGCTTTATACTTTTTTAACTTCAAAGGTACCGTGAAGGTTAAATTTGCTATCAGAATGCAGAAATTCCGTAATATGGAATTTTCATCATGCTGAAATTATAATTTGGTCAATGTTTGAGATGAATAATACGAAAAAGGCAAAATGAGATTTCGACGAAAGTATATTTCGCAAAATTGAATGATTTTCGTCTAAATAAAATTGCGACAAAATTATTTTCGACAAAGTAAATTTCTACGAAATGAAAATAAGCCAAACCCAAGGCTGGAGCGCGTCTCGGTGCTGGTGCGTTAGCGGGGGGGAGGGGACATTTTTCTCGATATCTTTAGCTTATTGTCTTAGATGTCATTATTTGAGCGATAATTAAAACTTTGGAAGTGGATCTGGTATTTTGAAAGCGTTTTCAGTAAATTTAACTAGTTTCCATGATGAAAGGCTTAGAACAAAATTTTAGTTGGAAACTTTCGTCGAAAATCGAGGTTTTAATTATTTTTTACGAATGGTTGTAAAGTCGCTGTTATTTCCTATTAGGAAAGAATTAATTTTCTGCAATTTATTTTAATTTAATTCCTTTTTGAAGCTTCTACACCTATTTTATTTCCTTTTTTTTCAGGCGAAACGCTCGGTGTGCGACGACTGGGTGGAGGTGATCCCGCTCGACGGCAGCTCGTGGAAGGATAGAAGAAGGGAATAGACATCGACCGACATCTTCTAGCAGCTCAGCCTCCCTCCAATTGATCTATATGTTTTTGTAAGGTTTTGTAGCTTGTAGCTTGTGATTTTGATACATTATGATACATCGATACCTTTCAATTCTTTTTTTCTAATCTTCTACTCTAAATTCTTTTTTACATAATTTTTGATAACCTGGAAACTGTGATATATTTAAATTCTTGGTTTCAAAATTATCTTTTTTTTTCCTCCGCTTACTCTCCCTCACTTCTTCGAAAGCTCTTTCAAGCGTTTCCGTTACATTCCGCCCTCCGGTCTCTTCTCTTCTTTTGATGCCTTAGAAAACATAAAATTCCCGTTTTTATGTTGTGATTTTGTATAGAAATAAATATAGATAAATTGGCGAGAAACTAGCAAAAAAAACCGCTGAAAATACTCCTGTTGTTGCTCGCTAAAAACCCTGGTCTTTGAGTGTTCATTGCATGCTTTCTGATCGCCACTCACTCGCCCCCCTCTGGCCCACTGTCAGGAGATAACTTCCTTGGAAAACGCGCGAGATTGGGGATGGCATTTATGCCGCCCCTCAGCAGACCCCTCCGGGGGTTTTCTCAGAGTCACGTCACCAATTCTCTTCGGAGAAACGGGACCACCATTTTCATAATTAAAGTTTGGGATTTATCCTGGACCTTAACTTTTTGAAACTCTATGAATTTCTATTTTCCTCTAAATTTGGAATTCAGGAGAGAAGTTTAGAATTTAGTAGTAGTAGTTTTTTTGATAAGATAGTCTTCTGAAGACTATCAATAATATAACAGGAGTATCTTTAATACTATTCTATTAATACTATAGGATACTTTTATTCAAAAAGTATCTCAAATAATTGAATAGTATATCCCCCAACATTCCTCCCACCGTTTTTTTTCCGAGGTCTAGTTTCAGCTTGGTCCAGCCGGGTGGCGAGTCGGTGGTGATCAAAGAACACTCAACGACGACTGGCCGCAACAAGGTTAAGTTTGATTAAAAAAATCCGAAAATCCTCGGCCGGAGCCGCACTTCAAAAATGTGGAAAAAGCCACTTTTGGCGAGAGGTTCGCCATGGCCGCGTCGGAGGGCGCCGTATTAATGGCTTCCCGTCACTCTTGGCATATAATAAAATACTAGCCAATTCAGCTTCACCAGAAAAGCCGAAAACCGTGGTCTTCGAGCAGTTCAGGAGAGAGGCTGAGCTTTGCAGGAAAAGCCGAAGCTTTTCGAGCAGTTCAGCGGGGAGAAGTCGTAGCTTTCCTCACACTGATAATAAATATTGGCTTTACGGGGCCACCGGGTCAGCACGAACGGCATAAAGCCGAACGACTGACAAATGAGGGCAAATTGGCTTGGCCTATACGTCCTGGGGGTGGGCCAGGTGGGTGGCGAGTGGGGAAATGTGAAAAAGCGCGGCGGAAGCCCGGTTTAGTTACCCAATTTTGAGGTTATTTTTGTGAGCGTATTTTTCCTGGACTTTCCCTTTTTCATTTAAACAGTTTTCCAGCCGTTTTTCGGCCTCATCTTCGGATTGGTCGTACGGCTTCATTTTCACTTCCACTACTGCGGCAAGTTAGCTTCAAAAACTTCAAAAGCTTCTCCTCATCAGCATAGCGTTGGAAAAAAGAAGCTGGAGAGCGAGAGAGTGAGAGAGAGATAGAGAAATATGCACAGACATAGATACAGACAGAAAAAGTAACCGGTAGCAGCCAAAACTTTTATTTTTTAGCTTCAAAAATACATAAAACCACACGTAACAGTTTTAAGTATAACGTCAGCCCATTACAAAATTAAGAACTTTGCAATTTAGAATATAAAGTTGCAAAATTTAACAAATTCGTTATCAGGGGGGGGGAAGATATTGGCAGTTATTAAATGGGCATGTGAAAGCTACTTTTTTAAAATTCTTCTAATCAAAAAAACAATGAACATGGTACTTGCGTATTCCCGGGGGAAAGAATTCGCGGGGGAAACCGAACTTTTTTCGGCCCAAGCCTAGATTTTTTATATAAATAGTGGAAGTGTTTTTAAATTGTTTATAGCTATTCTTACAAATAAAAACCTTACAAAATTTAATTCAAAAATTTAATTTTAGGTCAAAAAAATCAATTTTTTCGACCAAAAATGACCAAATTTTCGACTTTTTCAAGCGTTTTTCTAAATTTTTAAAAAAGTTTTTCCGATTCAAATAGGCTTAAATTTTGCTAAAACAAGATGAAAACTCTTTATGGGGGAAATATACTGAATAGATACGCGTTTTCGCAAAATCGATAAAGGAAAATTTGAGATGTGGGCAAAAAAAGTCCCCCCCGCGAATTCTTCCCCCCCGGAATACGCAAGAACCATGAACATTTATAAAAACGGCTACTTTTACAATTCTTATAATTAGAAAAAGGATTTGAGGCTTTCACAGACGCCCATTTAAAAATCTTTAGAAAAAATAGGAATTACTGATTTTGATGGTCTCCTACGCGACGTGGGCCTGCACCATGGCCTTCAGCTCGTCCGCGTTGGCCCCGCTGAACTCCTTGACCTTCTTTCTGAAAAAAGAACTTAGAAAAAGCTAGAAATTTATAACGTCGTTTAAAATAGCTATTTATTTAAAAAGCAAAAATAAAGCCAAATTCCCCGATAAATATTTTGAATTTTTTAGGTTTATTGCTAAAACTTAAAAAATAAAATAAACGCCGACTTAGAAATTTTAAAAGCTGAAAAATAAAGGTAAGAAATTAAACCTTTTAAAGGTATAAAATTTAATAAGAAAAACGAACCCATTCTTGATGACGCGGAAGGTGGGCATCGCGTTCACGTCACCGGCCGCTTCTAAACGAAAAGTGAAAAGTGGAGAACACAAAAACTTACCGGTGCACTCGTCGACATCGACCTTCAAAAAGGTCACATTGGGGTGCTGCTCGGCGAGCTCCTCGAAGACGGGGCTGATCATCTTGCAGGGGCCGCACCTGGAAAGACGGGATTGGAATTAGGAATATAATCGATTTCATTTAGAAGACAAAAGTAATCATTCAATTTTGGTACTTACGCGTTATCGGGGGGGGGGGGGGTGAATTTTTCCCTAGGAGTCCAGAAGTTTCTAGTAGCTGAATAGTCAAAATTAAAAAGTTTTTTAGTAAATACATATATAAATGGAAACAATAAAAAATACGGTGCTGTTCTATTTCGCGGGGGGGGGAAACTGTGCGGGGGGGGAATGTTCTTCGTTTTTTTTATAACTCTTTTATATGATGCTATTTTGAGTTGTAATTAAAACCCTTAGTATATTTTTTGACGCTTTATCGAATGGCATTAAAGAAATTTTTGAATTTATCGAAAATGTCGAAAACTAGCTTTCGACTCCACGATCCCATGTGGACACCGAATAAACCTTGTTTTTGCTATAACTATTTTATAAAACAACCAGGGTTCAAAAGCCGCTTCGCGACTTTTCAACCCTGGCCCCGTCTACCCCCATTTTATCCTTCACTTTACATAATTGTCCTAATTCAGATGACAAAAAATGAAAAACAACTTCTTCTGTGCCTTTATATAGCCGAATCACCACTTCCGGTCTATGCTAATTATTTCCTAACAAACGAGCTTTCACAAAAAGTTAAATTTAATGTCGAAAATGGCTGATTTTGTAAAATTTGATATGTGTGCAGTCATTTCAAGACCATTGCGCACCTAATGACGTATCAAACATACCCGTAACTTCATCCCCTATCGAGATATCCTCCGGACAGACAGACGGAAGTGGATGCAAAGTGGCACACACACACACAGACGCTATTTTTTTATATAAAGTAGGATATTTTTAGATGAAATTAAAACTCTTAGTATATTTTTTGATGCTCTATCGATTGATGGGTTCAAAATATCGAAAAACTGGCGAAAACTAACATTTCGGCACCAGTTTCAATCGTTTTTTTTTGTTTTTGCTATAATTTTTTTATATTACAATATTTTTAGCTAAAACAAAAACTCTTAGTATATTTTTTGATGCTCTATCGAATGGCGTCGCAAATAAACCAAGAAAATAGCGAAAAGATGGAAGGTTTGGCGAAGCATATTCCCCCCCCCCCGCGAAATAGAACAGCACCAAAAATACTTTTAGTCTAGTCTATAATAAATTTTTAGTCGAAATATTGGTCGAAAAATCGCTATTTTGTATTTTTTATAAAAATTTGTAAAGTTTTTGCGTTCAGGAATAGTCAAAAAAAAACGGTTTAGTAATAACTCTTCAATTCTTTCAATTAGAAAAATTGAAGCCTACGAAAAAATTGCCCCCCCCCCCGTTAATGCGAAAGCACCTTCATTTATGGAACCGAATCGCAAAGCGTACCATGAGGCGGTGAAGTCGATGATGACGACCCCGTCGGCGTTGTCGGCGAGAATCTTCTTGAAGTGGGCGTCGTCCTCGACGTGGATCAACGGCATTTTCTGCAATACAAAAAAAATTTCCTCTTAGAAGTTTCTAAAGTTTTCCTCGTAGAAAAGCGAAGGAAATGGAAAACGAAAAATGTGGACACAATATTGGAGTGAAAGCCAAGAAAAACAGTAGCAAATAAAGATAAAAGCGGAAGGCCTAAGATGGTAAACTGCAAAAGCTAATTAAACTATGCGTTTTTATAGTGTTTTCAATAAGTCTTTATTGTTAGGCAAATATAGAAAACTGCTTAAAACCTGAGAATTCAAACTACTGAATTTTTGGTTTATTTTCATACATTTTTGACCAAAAAAAGCAAATATTCTAAAGATTAAAATTTTTTTGCGTCCCTTGTCGCCCTTTCCTAAATAATCCATGCTAGCCTACCCCCTCCTAAAGAATCGATGCTAGCCTGCCCTTTCCTAAAGAAGCTCTGCTAGCCTGCCCTTTCCTAAAGAATCTCTGCTAGCCTCTCCATTTCCTAAAGAACCTCTGCTAGCCTGGTAACTGCGGAAAATGCTCCCCCGCTAAAAGAAAAGCACCGGCACCTGGAATAAAATTGAAAAAACCAAAAAGATGTCACAAAAAATCATTTTTAATACTTTTCAATGCCTAAAAAGCCCGAGTCATGGCGTTCTTTTCAAAAGGTTCCTGGAAAGCGGGCCGGCCGTTGAAATACTCAACACAACGGCGAAAAACGTGCATGTTTGTCCAACATTGCACCTAGAAATGGGGCGAGGGTGGGGAAATTGAGATACCTGAAAATGACGAAAGAAGGATAGAAAAGCTGAGGCGTGTAAGGGAATCATAGAGGTTTTCCAGATCTTCTTTTCGTGGGGGAAATCAGAGAAAAGCAGCTATAAACAGCGCGGTGCAAGGACAAGAACGGGATCTAGACTGACGCTTACCGATGAGTCATTCACGCTAGGATAGCTAAAAGAGGAAACAGAAGAAAACGCAACGTCTACCCATAAAAAAGCTCGGCGCAAGGGAAAACTGCCTACTAAACTGAACTGAAGAAAAAAAACTGTACTGGTTCCCGATGAGTCAGAAAACCCACCTAGAATAGAGGTTACAAAAGAAAAAGGTTGTATTTACTAGAAAAACACAACATTTATAGCTTAAGATTCTAATGCAGCGCTTTACGATTCGTTACCAAAGGCTTTTCTTTCAAGCCTCGCTAACAAGGCTTTTCTTAGGTTAGGTGATGCGTAAACGAAGCGCGTCTCCTGGAAAAAGTTCAGCATCAGAAAAACGCTAGAAACAATCCTTTGATGAGCCGCTCTCGCTAAGAAAAATAAGATAGCCGGACGAAAGCTCCTATTATCTAGCTATCCCGATCAAAAAGCTCGGCGCAAGGAAACGAATAAAAAAAGACGATAACTCGATTTTAGTGGGCTTTTTCATAAAGCCAACAACTTTCCAAAAAACTCGGTGCAAGCAAAAAAAAAATACGCGTTCTCTTGCGTGGTCGCACTCAAAAATTTTTTAAACAAAAACTTTTCACTGCTATTGGGATTAAACTCAACAAAACAAAGGAGCGTTAGAATCCTTGCGTAGCAAATTCCAAGCTTTTCTGAAAAGGCATTGATGCAAAAAATAAGATACTTGAATTTTACTGATATTCAGGAGAAAACGGCGCAAAACCACGCTTAAAAAACCTCGAAAAAACGCGTTCAACTAAAAACTACGTCGTTAACAAGAAAAGGAAAATCTAGATAGCTAAAAATATTCCCTTACGCTCGAAGTCTACGCTCAACAAGCGCTGAAAAACATGCAAAACGCGCTCGTAACTAAAAGGAAGATTTTCGCCCAAATCTGAAATGTTCTCTAATTGTTTGCGATAATTGATACAAAATTGCCGATTCCTGGACTTGACTTTTGCCGAGTATTGCTATTTCGTTTTTTTTGTTGACGTGGGTAGGAATGATAGTGACGAGTGATAGGAAAAGGATTTTTTGCTAATTGCGGCAAATTTTGAGGAAATTTTCAGCGATTTTGCTAGATTTTCTTTTTGCCCTGCTTGAATACGATACGAAATTACTGTGCAAAAATACTTGTTTTTGAGAAATTGTGAAATTTGGTGACATTCTGTGATAATTCATTGTGTTTTCCGCGTTCTCGTTTGCATTCACATCTATTCTATTAAAATGAATAAATATTCTGATCGTTTCTTTCGTCCAACTCAATTCAGGTGGCACACGGCTTTCTTGCAAGGTTTGACATAGTGAGGCAGGTCGCGCGCATTCCGGAGAGGGGGAGGGAGCGCAGGGGGAACCCCCCCAGTTCAGCCGCTTGCAGCGGACTTTTTGCTTTTTGCGAAGCGTGCCTGTTTTTCGATGTGAATCACTACAGGGTGCGTCAAAAAAAAGAACGAAGTTTGCACTAAAATATTTCGTGAACGGAAACGAATCGGACCATGGTTACCTTGCCAGAATGCTTAAATATGCTGGGCATGAAGAAATAACACAAGTTGTTTTTTAAGATTTTTGACGACCAGTGGGTCGTTAAAAAGTTTTGAACATTTTTGAAAAAGTAGAAAACTTTGAAGCGATAAAGTATGGAACTTTTGAGGAGTTAGCGGGATTTCAAGGGTATCAATATGAAGCTCTTGGAATGCGCTATCAAACCAGTGGTAAAGGAGTTTGATCGATTTAACTAGCCGTCAATAGGAGCATTCGGAAGATCCGGACTTTTTGAAGAAAAAATTCCAGATAAAATTTTCTTGCCATCCGATCTTTCTGATAATTTGCAGCTAGCAATATATAAATAACTACTAACTTTTGGCATCAAGATTTTCAAAATCCCGATCAAAAATTTTTTTGGCAGCCTGCCAAAAGTCGGTCGAAACTGCAAGTTTTACTTTAATATAGTTAAAATCGTAGCATGATTGGCTTTGGCAAACAGAATTAAATTTAATCAACACAAAAAGTTATGAGGGCGATAGGCTTTTTATGGTCAACTCGGAATCGCCCATTCCCGAAAAGTCGGGATTTTCCGAAGACTCCTATTGACGGCTAGTTATACCGATCAAACGATTTCCGGCCAACTCGCCGACATTCGGCTCGCCGACAGCCAACTCGCCGACAGCCAGCCCGCCGACAAGCCAACTCGCCGACAGCCAACTCGCCGACAAGCCAACTCGCCGACACCCGACTCGCCGACAGCCAACTCGCCGACAGCCAACTCGCCGACAGCCCTCAGTTGACCACTCACATTGGTGACACGAGAATTTCTGGTATCACATTGGTGAGCCGCCGATTTTTGGTGACACAATGGTTTTGGGCTTCGTGTCACCATGGATGAAGGGTTGGTGTCACAATGGTACAAATGCTCTGTGACACACTGGTATCAAGTCTGGTATCACCATCGTGAGGACCAAGTCTCGTGTCACCAGGCCACTTTTTCGGTGTCACCATTGTACGAGTGTTGGTGACACCATGGTAGGAAATCCCGGTGACACCATAGTACAGGGTCAGTGTCATCTTAGGTATGACAGTCGGCGGGATGGCTGTCGGCGA